TTGCATTTGTCTCTACATTAGGAGACTTTTTTTTCCAAACAAGACTAGGTATAAACGTCTGTGGCTTCTAACTTTCTCTCTGAGGGATCATTTTACAAGTAGATATAGCCAAAATCCCAGCACAGTCTTTGTCTTTACATCATACTTCTTTACAAAACATGTAAATGAAAACACATTTATTGGGCATTTGGCTGTATTAAAATACAGTATATGTAGCACAGAGAGTAGGGAAGAGAAGCAAACAGATGCAGGGCTGAAAGCAGCTGACTCTAGGCAGAATGCAAATACGACGCCATGATGTCAGTTGTTTACAGTTTTCAACTACTTCCTCAATTGCGCACATTGACCATAAGCAGTCCAGCCGTATACTAGGGTTCAATCGCTCATTTTAGCCCCCATGCCCTGTTTGTAAGGAGCTGCGTTGAAAAGGAGAAACGATCTCTACGTGACTCATAAGACATGTCTCATACATACAAATCTGTTAGTGTGAGTGGGTCTTGTGTGAGGCACAGTGTCTGACATTAAGATGTTAAAAACATGAGAACAAAGAAGTAGAAAGCTGCATTAAATGAACAAATAATCTCATTTTACCAATTACTGTAGGTCTAAAGCTACTTGCTATATTTGAAACGGAGTTCTCGCGTCATTATCATTGCTGTTGCTTTTCGCTGTCTTTTAATAAACTTTTGAAAAGGAAGTAACATATTGTTCATCACGGCTGAGCTAACAACGACGCTCTGATTCCTCTGTGAGGGGAGCTCTGCTGCCACAAGCTCCTGATTCAGTCACTGACGGTGTGAATTCAGGTTAGACACTTCAGTTTAAAGATTCATCGTTAAACAAAATATTAGCTTGTTATTGTAACTATGAAGTGAAATGTGAGAAGAGCAATTAGTAGCGATTTCTAATTCAATCCAACCATTCAGCCGTTCATACAGTCGAGCAGTTTTTTTAATACAACAATTGTGCCTTTCACCGATTCACATTTTTCAGATGTGCCAGCTTCATTAGCACATGATGCGTTTCATTATTATTTATCCCAGGCCATTGGAGGCTTCATTAGCTGCAAGCTGATGCAGCACACAGCCTCTAAATTTAGCATCTTTTTATTTATTCAGAATAGCCACGTGCCGGATGGTATGCCCATTTGCCATGTTCTCTCACAGCAGCTTAGAGACATGTTGGGAAAAGAGAGGTGGGCTGGTCTGGGGAGAAATGGGCCTCATTCCACCTGTGTCACCCCTGCCAGACGTCTACCTCTCTTCAGCTCTTTGAAGCCTCTTTAATTCCAGCGTTCAGGATTAAACCCATGAAAAAAGGATGAAAAGTGATAGAGCGACAGAAGGAGACGTCCTAGGAGAGAACGGGCTCCTTTGAAATATGTTAAGAATTTAGTTTGCACTGACCCACAATGCAGCATCTGAGGGAAATTTGTGTGACACCTTTTTTTTTCTTTTTTTTTTTTTTTCTCTGAGCGGGGGCTTGCTATAGGATTTGCATGAATAGGAAAAGGACTCTTTGAAGTCATAGATGTAAGTGGAACTGGAGTTTTCTGAAACCTAAATGAGCGCCCCGAGACAATTGTCCTTGCATTGTAAATTGCAGTCTGAGAAAGTTGCTTTGTCACAGCACGTTTGATTAGGAGTCAGAGGAATCAAGTGATTTTTCTGTCACAGAAACCATTGACATAATCCACCTTTTGTGAAGTCTCTCTGTGTGGTCTGTATCACGGCAGAGTGAATTGATAGAAATGTGGATATTACAGTGTTTAGTGGATGGCACACAATGGAAATACATTCAGTGAGGGAGTCATGCTTCAATTACTGTCAATATTTACAATCACGCTCAATATTTAGACAGCACGGTCTTTCCTTGTGTGCAAAACCAAAAAATAATTCAGCAGCATTAAACAAACAGCTGCTGTTTAATTTCCAATGTTGTGTAGATGCACAGACCTTCTAGTTTTAATTGGTATCTACAGGAGTCGCTGATGAAGTTACAAAACACTGGATGTTCCTGTCAGGTGTTTCCACAAACAGAAAGAATGCACATCAAAGGTCATGACTGCCTGAACCTGTTTAATCATCAACAGACTGACAAAAAAGCAGCTTGTAGTGAGCAAACGCAGCCCAGCTGTTGAAGTATACTGAGATCAGGTGGGCTTTAAAATGTGACAAAATGCCTACACATTGAGAAGTAGTGGTAATAAAATCTGCATTTATATACTGTAGCACTTCATTAAATGAGCGAAAATGAGATAAACAGACACAGAGGTAGAAAATTTGTGGAGAGCAACAAAACTGGTTTAATTAATGAAGGAAGGAGGAAGGATAGACACAGGTCATTGCTACTGACACCCAAAAGTTCACACGCACAGTGCACTCTGGAAATGTCAAATAATGATCGTAAAAATGACACGTGTCTGTTATCACAAGCAGTGCATTCATGCGATCAGTTTATTGAGGCTTAAATTGATTTTTTTGGGGGTGTGGGTGGGTGGGGGGGAGTTTGTCATTCAGTACAAAGTCATCTGTATTCCAGCTCTGGTGTCCTTCAAATTGTTGCCAAAAGCCAGTGAGGAGTGAGGCTTTATGAAGCTCACTTTTACAGAGAAAACTTTATTACACCGAGACTGTGTTCATTTATTTCTGTGATCATTTTTAAAGCCGGTTTTCAGTGTCTGTCTGTGAACATTTTGAAATTTGCCACCACTCTCTGTCTCTGCAGCTTGACTGTGTTTAGCTTATGTTGTCAACATTTCGAGGCAGCAAAAGCCGTTTTGCAGCTTGTGCAGTTTTTGTGACGCTCGCTTGAAGAGTCAAACATAAAAGTGAGTTATTGTGGCGCCTCTTAAAGCTGACACATGCTTGTAATTGTCAATTCAACTTTGCCAGTGGAAATGTTTTTGTAATTGAAGTTTTGTTACTTTAGAGCTGAAATTATTATTGTATGATGTTCCTTTTATTTTGTCCACCAGTTAAGTGTCCACGGAAACCCCTCAAGGTTTTTTTTTTTTTTTTTTTAGTCTGTTCCTCTTAGTTAAGTCTTGACAAAAGGCTGAGTGCCCCTCCATCTTAATTAAAGCTGTATAAAACCAACCACACACGATTCTGTCCTGAGTAAGCACAGACCGGGATTTTATTGCACCATTTCAATTTTAATGGAAATATTTAAGGCTATGGATTGAAAAGGGCACGATACATTTACGGAGTGAAATGGGTGAGGAGGGGGAGAAGGACTGAGGTAGTAAAAAAAAAAGGGGGGGTGGACATAAAATCATCAAACTGAGTAGTGGGCACTTGGGGGTTGCCAGTGAAATTAACACAGTCCCCCCCAGGGCAAATGTCTAATCAGTGCCCCCCACACACACTTAGTCCAGTGAGGGAAGGCAGGTTAACATCATAAAACATAGTTTTGGCAAACGACTTCCCGTTAGTTTCATCAGGGGTTTTCAATTTGACAAATATGCCTGTGGACTTGACTCGCAAGGTGAAATGAGAGGGAGGATGCTATTGAGAGTGCGTGAGCGTGAAACCGCATCCAGAACGTAGATGCACATTTGCTGTGTGGGCAATAGCTGTTTCGAAGCCACCTGCAGTTCCATATTTACCACTGCCTGGGCAAACAGCAGCGAGCGAGGACTCCACAGACACCTGCTGTTGGCCGGGACATGATGCTGTCTGTATTTTACAGGGATATTGTGTGATCATGTTTCCGGAGACAAAACGGTGTATTTCCTGAGCACATTGTGCTAGGAGGTGTTGTTGAAGCAAAGTGCAAATGAAGTTGGAACAGATCCAAGCTTTTTAAATAGGCTTTTACTGTGTTATTCTTTGAAATCTCGCTCTTGGCCTTAATCTTTCTTTACCCCCACTCAGAACAGTTTTATTTTTCACCAGTGATCATTTCTGATATTAAGTCAATTAAGTCCAAAATAACACACCCTTTATAGAACTGGAGCAGAGAGCTGAGTCATACACAAACAGCTGCACTGTGCACTGTTAGCTCGAGGCAGTTTTTAAAATAGTTTTACCCTAATACCCTAAATCTATATCTTGATATGCTTCATAAATAGTACTCTTGAGGGGGCAGTTAACCCAAATGACAAAGAAGAAACATTTTTTCTCCATTTACTCCTGTTGATTTGAGGCCATGCTAATAAATGGGATTTATATTTGAAACGATGCCATTTATTCTGTGGAATCTACAGACCTCGCCATGAACAAAGAAAACATGTTAGTTATTCAGATTGACTGAAATGCTTTTTCTGGAGGGAGAAGTTGATTTTGCATTTTTACACACTGCAAACAAAATTGAATTTACCTCAGAAGGACTGGAGTGGCTGGAGAAATTTCTGACAGATATCTCAAAACCTTGCCAGATCAAATCAAAATTATCTGCATGGCTACATGCTACAAGAGGCAGCTAAGAAAAGATGTTTAGTTTTAAATTCAGTGAAGCAGCCCCTTGAAAGGAATAGTTGGGAAATATGTTTTTTTCACTTTCACACATGAGAATTTGAGGAGAAGATCCATATCACTCTCATATCTGCACGGTTATATATAAAGACCAAAATCCACCTACCAACACCTAAATCTCACTAATGCATGTTGTATCTTTGTTTAATCTGTACAAAAATCAAAGCGAGAAAGAGCTAAGCTAAGCTATCCCTCTCCTGAGTCCAGCTTCATATTTAGCGTGCAGACATGAGGGTGGTATTGATCTTCTTATCTAACTCTCAGCGAGAACTGGAATAAGTGCATTTCCCAAAATCAAACTGTTGCTTTAAAGCTTGTGATTGTATCACTAACATGAATTCAGACTTCATACACAATGACCATTATAGTAGATACATGTGTTTGTGTTCATTTGTAGGGGTGTATGTTAATCGCACACCAACCCTTCTGTTGAAGTCTTGTGTTGTCTATAGTTTATGTATATTTCAATTTGCATTTAACTTCACTGACAATAAAACATCTCTCCCTTTCTTTTCTCTACAGAGATGGCAAGCTGGGTCTCCCTCCTCCTCTTCCTCTTCTGCCAGTCGATCATTCGAGCCCAGGACGAGAGTAGCAACATCCCCATCCTGGAGTTCATCACGGAGACCCCCATCAACAATGTGGTCCAGGACCCACAGACTGGTCGCATCTACCTGGGAGCGGTCAACACCATCTTCCAGCTGGGGCCGTCGCTCCGCCTGGAAGCTCGTGCCGAGACGGGCCCCAAAGAGGACGCCCGGACCTGTACGCCTCCTGCTTCGGCCTGCCAGGACACGAAGCTCATGCCCAATCTCAACAAGCTTCTCCTGGTCCACCCGTCCAATGGTTCACTTATAGTCTGCGGCAGCCGCTACCGAGGCATCTGCTCGCTCCTGAACCTGACCAACGTGGAACAGCAGATGTATTACAGTGACAGCAAAGGAGAGAGGACTTACGTGGCTAGCATAGAGGATAACGTGAACGTTGTGGGCGTCATGTCCACCTACGCAAAAGATGGGCACAACTTCAATGTGTTTCTTGTTGGGAAGGGCTATGGAAGCCTGGACAGTACAAAACTCATCAGCACACGAATCCTTCAGGACCTCCGGGACTGGGTTGTGTTTGAGAGCATCATCGAGGCATCTACGGTCCAGACGACACCATTTGTTCCCAAGTACCTGCACGACTTCCGCCATGCCTTCAAAGAGAGCGGGTTTGTTTATTTCCTGTTTTCGCGGACACTCGACGGTACGGATAATAAAAACTTTACCTTTGTGTCTCGTCTTTGCGAAGACGACCATCACTACTATTCCCACACAGAGCTCCAGTTAAACTGTGGTCTAAATAACCGATACAACAAAGTGCAAGCCGCATATGTGGCTTCTCCAGGAAAAGATTTGGAGCGGGTCATGGCTGAACCAGGTATGTATGGTCATGCTGACTCCCCGACCAAAGTTCTGTTCATGGTGGCGAGTCCAGATGACAACGAAAATGAGTCTGCCCTCTGCATGTACCCGCTCAAGTCCATCAACGAGCGGCTGGTGGATATCATCAGCGCCTGCTACAGTGATTCAGGGAGGATTTCCGGGTTTCCCGCTGTGGACATCCCCTACTCATCTAAAACCGAGGAATTCTGCACGTCAAAAATTGCAGTAAGTGCTTCTTTTGTGTCAGCTGATGGAAGTTTTGAAAAAAAAAATCTGTTTGAAATAAATGGGAGCGCGTTAAGAAGAATTCCCTTTACTACCATCAATAATGCACAGATGTGACTGTTTACTTTAATGTCTCAGTGTTTACTCTGTTCTGCAGATCCTTTGCATTGTCCTGTCTAAATCTGTCTCTGCCTCATACATTTTCCATCTCTCCATATCTCTTTTCCCAATTCCCTCAACTCATCCAGAATAACATTATATTGAAGTGGTAGGAAGATGGAGGCCCATGGGCTAAATCTGGGCCTGTAGCAAAAATATTTAGCCCTGTGATGGAGGCTCAAGTCCAAATCTTTTATACATTTTTCACGAACCTACTGTAGATGACACTTTAAATACAAGGCCCATGTAAATAAATAAGCGGATGTTGCTTTTTTATTCAAATTGTGTACTTCAAATTGTTGTATAAATACATTTTATTCTAATATAAATGAAATGAAATTACCGAATGAAACTAATTACCGAAAGCTAATAATAAGCTTCATTTACACGTAGCTTATTTAGCAGAGCATCTACAACATTCCTAATGGATTTGATTCCCACATATTCCCTCTCTCACCACTTTCAAGTAAAGGACACACAATGCACAATCAATATTTTGTTCCTCATTTTCTCTTTGCAGAAGGATACGTTGGAAAACTTCAAGTGTGGTGCGGACTTTCTGCCTTCCCCTCTGGCCAGTAAGCCGAAGTACGCCTTAAACGGAAATGCAGTGTTGACCATGTCGGGCCTTCTGACCTCTGTGGCTATCGCTGTGGAGAATGATCACACCATCGCCTTCTTGGGGAACAACCAGGGAGAGGTCTTCAAGGTAGAGTTGTCATGTGACCTGTTGATCTTCTTTTGCTTTAAGCTTTTACCCGAAGGGAGGAGAATTGGGGGGGAAATAACCTCATATCAGACGGTGCTACTTCTTTTTTTTCTGTCCAGGTACATCTGACCGCGGACCCATATGTGTACAGCAAGACTCCTGGCACCACCACTGGGGAGAAGGTCAACAAGAACATTTTCTTTGACCTCAGTAACAGCCACCTGTACATTACCACTGAGAAAAAGGTGTGTATGCCAGGGTCCAGGTTCACGCACAGTACTCCGTGTAGGTCACCAGTTCGCAACAGAAAAGAAAAAAAAAAAAGATGCTTTTGGTTTGCAGTTAACACACGCAAATGTGAGTTAAACAGAAACTAGTATACCGCCTTTGGAGACAGCTGCATGGAAGCGTATCTCTTCATCAGATATTAGTTGACATAGATAACTGAAAAAACCAACCGAAATGGATCCTGTGTAGACGGGGTAGCAGTTGCTTCTTCATTAGGTCCCCTCTGCTATCTCAATGACACAGGAAAAGTGTGTTCGTCACATACACACTGTCTAACTAGTTCTTACCACAAAGGAAGATGATATACAGTATTTCCGTCTGTCTGACAGTTGAACTAGATGACTCAAGTTTTTGTAGATGCCCTTGCCACACACAATATGACAAATACATAAATATTTCATGCTGTAAATAAACTATTTATGGTGCAGGGTACAATCAGTGGAGGAAGAGCTACTCGATATTTTAGTTTAGTCTGCATTGAAAATTATTATATAAGTATTATCAGCAAAAGTTCTTAGGTATCAAAGGTATGAGTCCTCATAATGGAGAACTGCCCCTTTCAGAATGTTACATCATTAAATACATTACATAACTTGAACTATTTTAAGATGATTGTACCATACGGAGCCTGGTAATAAGACTGAATTGCAATTTCATATCACTTCATTCAGTCTATTTGAATCACTGAACAATGGGCTGATGTGGGCAGTGATTCAGAGGTCTGGAACAAGGCTAGATCATCATCATATAAGTAGGTTTGGATGACGGATCACCTGGTCTTGGAAAGTCAAAGAAGGGTCAACACAGCCCTCCCTAATGTAACATCAGAAAGGTGTGTGTGTGTGTGTGTGGGGGGGGGGCTTTCTGAAGTGATTCGACTCTCCTACAAGCAGTTCTGAAGTTACTTTCCACCCCTGGGTACAGTAAACATTTAGCATGTAGATGGAGGGAATTGTTTTAGTGATTAAACACGGGGAGCAGACATGAGGGACCCTGTGCTGCGACAGAACTTGTTTTATTCTCATTCTGCACACCGGCAACAAACCAAGGAACATTTCCATTTAAAAAGCTTTGTATTCTGTGCTGTGTCTTCTCTAAGGTGCACTGTTAGATCATATTTCATGTCGTAATGCTCCAGATTACCAAGGTGCCAGTGCAGACGTGCCTCCAAAAGAAAGACTGCCAATCATGCGTGGAACTGAGGGACCCTTACTGTGGCTGGTGTGTCCTGGAGGGCAGGTGAGGGCCGAGCATACACACTCATGCATGCACTTATAAATGCGCGCACACAGCGACAGACTAACACAAACACCCACACTTGCAATTCCATCTGTAAAACACAGCAGGGTATTTGTTCAGTGTTTTATTGCAGACACTTTTAGTACCCCCTGGTGTTTATATTCCATCTCCTGTTGTCCGTGCAGCCGTAAGGAATTAAAGCTGTTTGTCAGCCTCATGCAGCGAAGGCAGTCTGTGCAATTTACTCTCATCAGCCTATATTTATCAGGGTCTGGAGGGTAGAGGGAGCGTTATGTGTCATGTATTTTACTGAGATGTGATCATGAACAGGGAAAAAAGCAGAAAAACAGTTGTGTCCCTACGGGAGCTGTTGATACTCTGTGCTTTACCTAGCATTACATTTTTAGCAGTTGTTTGATCAGCCGATTAGTAAACTGACAGAAAATTAATCAATTCAATGATTATTTAACTTTTAAGCAAAACATTTGGTGGTTGCAGCTTCTCAAATGTGATATTTCTGCTGTTTTTCTTTGTCTGACTTGACAGTGATCTGAATATATCTGGGTTTTGTAGCTGTTAGTCGGATAAAATGACATATTTTTCTGTTTTCTGATGTTTCATAGATAAGAGGAATAATCCATGAATCAAGAAAATAAATGTCAGATTGAACCATAAAAAAAGTCATTATTAGCTGAAGCTGTACTTATTTTGTTAGCTTTTCTCTCCGTACTGCCTCTTCTTGAAAACAAGTTAATCCAAATTATTTTCCACTAAAATCTGCTACATTATATTGAGTTGTCCTGTTTGTTTGCACATTATGAAGACGTGTGACCAGACGGGAGTTGCATTATACTGTATTCCCCTGGTGTGTGTTTAGTTTGTGTTTAGTGTGTTTCACCTGAGTGATGATGACAAAAAATGAATGAAATCTGAACCTGTATTAACATTTTAGATTATGTGTGTATGTATGTGTTCTATCTTTCCTATGCAATATGTTGTAATTATGAAAGTGTGTAATTACAGTATTTTTATATCAAATTATATTGCACACTGTCAAATGTTTTAACTAGCAAACAAAAATTGTCATTATTGATTAATCTGGCAGGTGTTTCTGTGATTTGACGATAACAAGCCTAAACCCCATTCTGGCGTGATCATATTGCTCGTTTTCCTCGACCTACCGTCCAAAACCAAAACAAATATTCAGCTTCCTATCATATAAGACAAAGAAATGCAGTAAGAGAGTTGAGAAGCTGGAATAAGGGAATGTTTTGCATTTTTGCTATAAAAAAAAAGACCCAAACAATCGATCCAATTTTGGAATATAGTAGCTTTAAATTCCATACGATTGACACTTTGCTGTGAAACCATCTGCCCACGAGTCCATTTAAGGTTTTACATATCTATACAGAACTTTATTTTGAAAATTTGAACAGGCCCTGCTTGAAGTCACTTGGGCATGGGCTTGTTGTGCACAACAGCACATTGAAAATCTGTTAGAGTCCATAGGCTTTGTTTTTTGAGGCCTTGTGAAAGTGTTTAGGGGATGTGGAGCAGAGACTGATGGGAGTTGTTCATCCTTCGTCTGAAGGTGTACCAGGAGGTCTGAGTGCCGACGGGCAGAGGAGAAGAATGGCTGGCTGTGGAGCCCCAGGCAGCAGTGTGTCAAGATTGTCTCCTTCAATCCCCCGAACCTTTCCTGCAAAAAGACTCAGAAGGTACAGTGCCGCTTCTCTTCTCACTCATTCTCGTTCACTCTCTCCCTTTGTTCTCTGAACCTCTTTCTGTCTCTCGCTCTGCAGTACACAGCCCCACTTACATGCACACCACACAAACATGCACCGCCTGAGTAATAAACTGTTTCCATTGTGAATCAGAGGCCCCGGCACTGGGTCTTCCTACTCTGTATTGATCCATCCAAAAAACTCCAAGCTGGCTTATTATAACTGACCTGGTTGATTGTGTTCACAGCCTGAAGATGGAGAGCCTCTCTTTCCAACAGCGCTTTCTCTCTCACGTTGTTTTTTTCATTCCTCTGCTTTCTGACTACTTTTCTGTCCCTCCCTCTCTGACTCACTCTTGTATTTCCATCAACAGCACCTCTCATCCTTGCTCATTTTCAGTCAATCTCCAGCTTTTCAAAAAGAAACAGTTCCTCTATTGTAACTTCGGTTGAATTATATGAATTATTATTGAATTATAGACCAAGCAGAGAAATAGTTTAATGCTAACTAATTTTATTCAGCAAAACTGATGATAAACTTCAATGCTTTCAATGAAAAACTCAATGCAATCAGCGGTTTACACTGTTCTGCATATTTTTTTTCTGTCCAGGTGAAGATCAACATCCCCTCCCTGCCCACCATCGGTCTCTCTGACCGCCTGCACTGCACCATCGAGTCTTTCCGGAGCGAAGGCACCATGTCTGATTCCAGTCAGGTCTCCTGCGATCTGCCCCACCCCTCACTCATACCACAAACACCTGAGGACCAAGGTTTGTCCTTTATAATTAAACTACCCTCTTTTAACACATTAACACAAGGCAAATGTCTGCTCTTTTCCATTAAAACTAATGCTGCATTACCAACTAGGCAAACTGGGAAAGAGCACCGGTCCTAGAGATTCTGAGGGGCCCGAAAAGAGCCCCAGGTTGACCCCATGCTGGTTGTTTTTGGTAATTTGATTTATTGCAGATTTGTTTGGAAATTTGCATCACAAAATTACATTATCAACAAAGAATTTACTGGTGACTTCTTGTAAAGGTACCCTGTCTCCAAATCTAGTTTTAGTAACTTTTTTATCATTATTATTATTATTATTATTATTATTATTATTATTATTATTATTATTATTATAACTCAAAATATTATTCCAGCATAGGAGTCAGTTTTTCCATGTATTTGTTGTTTTTTGTTTTTTGCAGTGGTGGGCCATTTTCTATTAAACAAAGACCATGAATTCATGACATAAAACATTAAGCTTTTTGGGAACAGAGCAGAGGAGCATTTCCCCCCCACAACAAATGCCATATATTTACTGAGTCAGGCTGTTGTTTCGCCAGTCAATCACAAGAAGAGATGTGTCAGTATCAAAGTGGCTTTCCACCTCAGCTAAACAATTTCCTGGGAGGACTGGTTGCTCTAGATTTAACGGGTACCTGAAGCTGACACAATACTCCCTAACAGGTTCATTCAGTGATTATTGTAACTTTTTGAATGAATACATGAATACATGACTTATTATAAAGACATTTGAGGTCATGTTGAATTATTTACAGGTCATGTTTTATGTATCATTCTTCAAATACACAAATGACATCTTATAATGAACTGGATGTCTTGGATATTCAGACTCCTTCCCAAAGACATCATCTCCCACCCATAAATGTGTAAAACTTGTACACCCCCCCCACACACACACACACACCCCCCCACCCCCACCCATCTCTTGCCAAATGCTAGTGCATTTTAACCCTCCCTTTGCTGTGCCCTCAGACTTTGTGGCCGTGGCCATCAGGATTTTTGTCAATGAGACGGTGGAGCTGGCCACGCGGGAGTTCAAGTTCTACAACTGTGCCGCCACAGTGAGAAAATCCGAAAACACACCGTGAGTCAGACTCTTAATCTATCAGTTCTGCTCCGTCACTCGCTGAAAATACCCAGTGACACTGAACACAGCATCAACTGACAACCTTGATGTAAATGTATCACTGTGCATGAGCAGATGAGAGATCAAGGCTCTGTTTGTAAATCGTGATGCATGGTGGTTTTGAATGCACCTCTTGCATTTTCTTTCCTCCTTTTATTACCATGCTGAGGAAATTGCCTCAGTTTCCTTTTCATTAATCAAAAAATGAAAGTCGATCTTGCCGTTTTTTTTTTCTCCCTCCTCCTTATTTCTTTTTCTTCATTTCTTTCATGCTGAGGAATGTGTGATGAACGAGCTTTGCTTATGTGAAGTTGCAGAGATCCATTTCGTTGTCAGCAGCATGGATTTTTGTGCCGGACGCTCTTTGATGAGTTTGCATGTTTTTAAATTTTTGTTTGCGCGTGCCTTTGTGTGTGTCTCTGTGTGTGAAAGCGTTTTCTGATCTTTGTTGTTTATGTGTTTCTGTGTGTATTTTCAGTTGCATGTCATGCGTGGCCAGTCAGTGGGGCTGCCAGTGGAACACAATTGACCACACCTGCAGCGACATGGATCCCAGTGTGATGGTTCCTAACATCATCAAGCACCGTAAGGTTAGTCACCTCAAGGGTAAACACATCAATGGCAGGTCAAAGACTCTTTTTATTTTTTTTTCTCCGATAGCGTGTGTATGATAGATGTTGGATAAAGCAGTTCAGTAAGAGACGTCTAATCACCACACGTGATGCGCCGCCTGAGCGATCCACGTTTCCCCCTCCCGAAAATTAATAAAACACTCAAATCCCGGTATCAGCCGCCACCATCTTGCGTGACAAATGTTGTAGGGTGGAGGATATCAATTTACAACTCAGCAGATGTTGCAGCGATACACTTATCTGTTGCTGCAGATGAGGGTGTCCGTTAAGTGGTTGGCATATTTAAAACGTAAATGATTAAAAGTGGGAGGATCTGATTTGTTTTGATGCCTTCTCAGGGAGCCAGGTGTCCTCAGTTTGAGAATCCAGATCCTGTGCTGATCCCCGTGGGCTACAAGACTCGAATCAGCTTTGAGGGGATCAATTTGGAACTCTACCAGGTAAAGTGGCACAGACACAGAATTTAAAGCATGTCTGGAAATCTTTTCAGCTCTTTGAAACACTTTGCTTTGGTCTTAGGACCACAGTGAACCAATTGGTCGCGATTTTCAACCAGTGCATAACTGATGCTTGTGTCTCATAGAAAAACTTACTAACACACTGACAAAAAGAGACTCCTCAGATGCAAAAAGAATCCATTTATTACATGTACAAAAGCTGACAAAATGTGAAAAAGAAAGAAAGTAGATGTTTTGGTCACAGAACCATTGTCAGTACAATTTACTTAGACTATGTTATTCAAGAGATTTAAATAGAATTTCAGACAAACAGCTCTCTGGATTTTTCTATTGTTCTCATTTAGAAAATCACTTTACATTCTGATGTAAGTGTCTTTTGATGAAAGACACCACCTCTACATGCTTTTGTAGTCCATCGGATGGCACACAATGAAAGTGATGACACTTTAAAATGTTTTTCGACGGAGAAAATCACATCATTTCTGTGTTACGGCTCTTGCGTGTTCTAAAACACATGTCCTGACAGGCCTGCATGTTTTACCAATACTACCAGTATCACTAGCAATGAGAAGAAAAAAAACCCATCAGATCCGTATTTTGTGAATTGAAGCTAATTGAAGACGCCATGTTTCTTTGTCTGGCTCTCCAGGGTCGTGTTTTCACCATCGGCACTGAGCTGATGAGAAACACGGAGGAAGAGGTCAATTTTGAGGACGGGCCATTCTACACCTTCAGCGGCTTCAATGTGAGTATGGCAGTCTGCTAGTTGCTTGACTCATCACTTGATACTTGATTGTGTGCCTGTGTTCACGCTGAACTGTTACTTTTGTTCCTTTGCTAAGCTTGTCGTTGTTTCTGGCCAATTTGCCCTCCACTCAACATAGGTCCTTGAACTGTGGCTGATTTGTGGACCTGATTATTGAAGTGCAATTTAGAACAGCTCTGAAATGGTGAAATATACTGTAGAGTGCCACTTGATTTCAGTTTTAGTCTATATGTACGCTTTCTCTCAATGTGAAGCTGACTTTATTCTCCAGACTTATACACCAAATCACTCTTAAGCTGGTTTTCACAATCCCTTTGATATTCTACAGCACCCTCTAATGGACAGACTCCCCTCACTGGAGTTATTTTAGCTCCATCTCCACATTGTGAATTCTGTGATTGGGAAGCTCAAACAGTGCATAGCCCCCAGCTATGTTCTTTTCCAACATTGATTTCTTCAGCTGAAAATCTGCCAGACTGGGTATAATTTTTTTTTTCTTCCCTTTTTTTTCCCTTTGGCATGAGGGAGCAACAGCCCACACTGTTTGCCGAAAAGAGCTTAAGTGCCATTAATCACTTGATTCTGTATTAATAATTCATTTTCTTCCAATTTCTTAGTTTTCCTACGATAAGTCACCGGAGACCAATGTTCTTTTCTACGTGAAGGACAAGGAGTCAGGCAAGAAGATGGACAGCACGCTGAACGGTATGCTCTCACATTTTAATGCGGAGACCTTATTTATAATGCTTTGTGTGTACACTGCTAGCCCCAGTGTGTGGGGGGGCGGGGGGCTCCATTAGACTCCAGGAAGCTATCTTTAATGTATGATTGGAAATTAATAAGCAAATTAATTGGTTAAGCAGTGACTGTAATCATCTGCGTTTTGACAGAATAAGAAAGATTCAGACACATTCGTAACATGTGATTGTGAGGTTTTCATGGTTTTTCATGGTTTTCATGCAATTTAAAACAAAGTTATCAGATATGACCATAGACCTCTCATCATCCATTCAAAATTCAAACACATTTCACAACATTATAATATATACAAGGGCATAGGTTTGGTTTCAGAAGTGGGTTGAGGGTTGGGAGGGGGGGTTCACAATGAAGAAGAAAAGTTATACTTTTCATAATAATGGTATAACAAAACATCTTGTGGGAACCTCTGTATTATTAATGCATTAACCCTATTTAAAATCATGTTTAATATCCTCAGTAGACACCTAATACCTAATACTTTGCATCTTTACTACAAAGGATACTGCGTGTTGTTGCTTTATCCTTGATTGAGTCTAGCATCTTAATCTTAATCTTACCACTTTAAGTAAAGCGAGGCTACTGATCCTGAAAAACATGCAGAGGGAATGGTGTAAAATATAAGAAGTTTTTTTTTTCTTTCCCTCTCCCACCACTTCTGATATAGTCACCCTGTACAACTGCTCCATGGGGAGGGAGGACTGCAGCCTCTGTAAGAACGCAGACCCAAAGTATAGCTGCGTGTGGTGCGCCAAGCAGAAGGCATGTGTGTACGAGAAGCTGTGCAATACTCAACAAGGCTCCGAGTGCCCCGACCCCCAGATCACTGATGTGAGTATTTACAGAGTTGTCATGTCTGTATGTTGACCTGTGAACTAGAAACAGTAGATGCTTTGAAGGCTTGTGATTAGCAGTGAAATAGCATTGACTTTGGTGATTGGATTGAAGCACTTTACTGGCCATATTTTCTTCCTTCCTGTTTGTAGACAGACCAGCTGAAAGTCTGTTTCTCCTTGAGGGTGTGTGGAGCTGATCTGCAGCCTATTAGATTGGATCAATTCTTGCTTTTGCTCACTTAATTGTTGGTGCCTCATTGTCATTGACAAAAATCCATCAGTAATTGTGTTGATGTCGATGCGACAGAGGTTATGACCGTACATACTCCAGCCTGACCGATACACCAGCAGGCCAGTATTATTGGCTATAAGTCCTCGCTGCATGGAAAGCAGAGTCCGCTCTTATCTTAAGATAAGTGTAGGGTCTTATATTTAATCCGGTGGCTCTTATTGCTTCACACAGATCTTGAGATTGGGAAGTACATTCATTTTTATCATTTCAGTTGGGTTTGACGTGTCTAGCGGCAGTATGGTCCATCTGTCAACATCTGCTTTAATTGTAAAAGTTACTTCATATATTTTGGGATGCAAACAGATATTTAAAAGCAGGGGAGTCCCATTTCAAGTCAAATCTCCCGTGCAAATCAGCATTTCGTGTAAAATTAGCAAATCCTTTCTTCCTATAAAACACCCACCCCGCTCCCACACACTCTATCTTCCCATTCAGATCATCCCTCGTTTCGGACCCCTGCGGGGAGGCATCTCCATCACCATCCGCGGCTCCAACCTTGGCATCCACAAGGAAGATATTAAAAGCATCATGGTAGTCGGAGAGCCTTGTAAACATCAGGAGGAGAAGTACTCTGTCTCCACAAGGTAATAATCACACATCTTCATGTATTTATGCAAATATGTGAGCAGCAGTGCACACACTGTCTATTTATTGAGTTCTGCTGGTCAAACTGTGTATAGACAGTTTTCATTCTGTAAAGTCTTGGATACGTTATCAGGTAAGGAGTGCCTTGCCTTTCCTTGAGCTAACCTGAGCGTATGTTGTAATTAGCTCATTATATCGCTGTATTGATCTGAGAAGTTTCCAGACGCAGGTTGATTCAGAACCAGAATCACTCTTTTAAAAGGCGACAACAGTGGAGGAGAGGTGTTCAGAGGAAGTCCCAATAGTGCAACACAAAAATTACAAGATTACAATCCTACTTAAGCAAAAGTACAGAAGTACTACAAAATATACTTAAAAGTATCAAAAGTAAAAAAAAAAAAAAAATGGCCCCTGCAACTAATATATTATTATGTATTACATTTTTAGAGTCTTAATACTGATGCAACAATCTGTAAGCAGCATTTTACTGTTGTAGCTGTTTGAGGTGGAGCTAGTTTAACTGCATTGCATACAGTTTTGGGTTGTGAAATGATTAAAGGGGCAGGAAAGAAGAAAAAACAGCTCTGCTTTATAAGCCTTTATTCATATTGAAGGCTTTTTTTTTTTTTTTTTACCTCTTTTGGCCTCAAACTGTTATTTAAACAAAACCATCAGAGAGGTTTAGAGGAGAAATGTCTCCTTGGTGTGTGATGGAAATCTGGCGAGGTGGTTAACTCTTGATGGAAGAATTTTCAGGAGACCCAGATAAGCAGAAGCATTTATTGAAGCTCGGTCGCGGGGAATAGAGATGAGCAACACACTGTGTGAAGCCACCCAGCTCTGAAGGACATCTTTCTTGCAGGGTGTATTTAAACCTCATACAAAACTGACCACATGTCCAAATAAGGATGTTCTTCATGGGACTACAGCACCCATCAATGCATGTTACCAAATCCTAAACATTAAATCGTGTTTTATATTTCATGCAATACCTGTCTCCTCGACAAACAATATGCAATGCAAAGATTTCTCTCACTCTACTAAAACATATGATGACCTAAATGATTATTACATTAGCAAAACAAACTTAAGTATAAGAGTAAACCAAACACCGTTACTCTGTCTGCAGGTAGAGACAGATATATATCTCTTGGTTCATATGATATGCGCAGACATCTTCGTCTCCTTGTTACTTTTCTTTTTTTTTAATCAGATCATGGATTCAGACATTCATCTCTTCATCAAACCCACTGGAATCCAGTCTTCAAAACCCCGGAGGTCATGATACTTCAACTCCAAATCATTATCATATAATAACTTACCACTTGCTGTGGTGCTCGAATAGCAGTTGTGGCTCTGCGAATAACCAGTTTAACAGTTGTTACCAAACATGAACACAAGAGAACCGAGAGGAGCACTGATGCTGTAAGAGTAAACAAGAATTTAACTAAGCCGGACCCCCAAGCCCCAAACAATTCTGAGACATCCCTCAAGCAAAGTCTGTGATTAACATGTAGCTCTTAAATACCATTATTCTGCATCACAAACCACATCCGTATCCATTACCTCTGTTGTTGCGTCGGAGATGTAGGAGCAACAATCACTACCAAAGACTTTGCATGTTCCCCCCTGGGATGCTAACAGGGAGATCAAGTCCTGTTGGGAACTCCTATCCTACCCCTTCCTGTCTCTGCTAGAGTGGCAGCAACAAGAAAGAGGAAGTCTTCATCTGTCTGTCTCTTGTCTGGGCCCGGCAGATTAAGAATGCATAATATTATTAGCAGACTCTCTGGGGTGAGTTTGCCTTGGCGTTTTGCCCACCCATACATCTCTGCTTTAGCACTCGCCACAATATCGTTAGGGTGGTGCTCTTTGATTTTTGTCATTTCTGCAGCGCTGGTCACAGTTTCCAGCAAAGGCAAGTGAGCACATCTTTCTATAGTGTCTCTCAACTCTTCAGACAGCACAACATCACAATGTTTGTTGTCGTCCCCCCCCCCCCCCCCCACACACACACACACACTCATGCCACACTTTAATTTCCGTCCACACTCTCATACTCTCTCATGTATCTGAAATCCCTGGCCGGATTTCCTTTACTGCGGTCAGTCATCATCTCGGCCATCTGCAGCTTACACTCATCAAAGGAACCCTCGCATAGCCATTCACCATTCGCTCATTCACACCTGAGCGCTGTGAAAGGCAACACATGATATCATATTCTTTGCCCACCGACTTTTCCTGCTGGCATTCATGGGGGAAAACTTGCCGACTCGTGGCAGATGGATCTTTTTACTTTCAAGTTTTACTTTTTAGCATATTTTGGTGAAGCATTTACAGATGTACTTTAAATCTCTGCTGTGGACTGATTATTACCCATATTTGCAACATTCAAATTCACATTAAAGCATTAAACTCACAGACATACACTTTCATTTTCTTCTATTCTGTTCTTTCCACATCAGTGGTGGCAATTTGAGACTTTTAAAGCGAAAACTCAGAGTTAGTAGTCTAATGCCGATATACCAATCGGTGCCAAGGTTTCTGAAGCCATAAGCAACAGTTATGTAATTTCCCCGATGGACACAGACTCACCATGGGTCTTGATTACACCAAAATAGGCTTTTTTCAGCTGACTCACAGCATATTTATGTGGGTGTAACCTCACTGTGGGTCTTATCTGTGTCGGGCGCAACCCAAAATGGCTCCAGGAAAATAAAAGACTCACACAACCACCAGTCTTTTACCTCAGATCTACTGATCGACCACTGACTTCAGCATTTTACTTAGCACACGAAATTTCTACATTATCTGTATTAGATCAGAAACACACTGAGTTAAGTCACAATTTTTAGCTCACTTCAAACTTATCAATTTTGATTTAACAACCACTGGGAGGTTTGTCTGGCGAAAAAACAACTTGCAACTGATTTTCATGCAACACGTACAGTATGTCCTTCCCAAGGGAAGAATGAGTATCTCTTGAACCTGAAGGACACCAGTGTTATGACGGTTCACTCCGCTGACCGGAACCTCGGTCCATCATATCCTTCACACGGTGAAACTGCTAACAAAAAAACAGACATCTGAATGCATAACTACTGTTTTGGTTTTTTTTTTTTTTTGCCTGTTTTTTTTTTGAGGGAACCATTGACTTAATCTTTACCGATGCCTTGTACTATATGTTTTTAATATAAAATCTGTCTGTGGCCAATCAATCAGTTATATATGATCGACCGAGCAACCTAAATTCTTGTAAATATGTATTCACCAAAGCACTGGAGATGTACCACACTGATTTTCCACAGATTTCTTTAGTGGTGTATTCACGCTGCAGACACACTGTTCCACCTCATTCCAAAGGTGCTTTAATGAGCCGTGTATTGCCAAAAGGAAAACCCACTGAAATAAACTTGTAAGTCTGTCAAATGCACTTCAGTGACAGCAGTGTTTAAAAAGTGTTCAATTCATTCAAATGTTCTATAGAAAAGAAAACACCCACATCGTTCAGCATGCCCACTAACGAGAACTGTTGACACCTGGCAGGATAGATCCACGTTTTGGACGAATTCTTGTCCCGCCATCTGCAGGATGAGGCATAAACCAGGATTTATGAGACCAGATGGAATGTTTTTCACCCTTAAATCTCCCAGTTTTGGAGCTCATGTGACTACTGTTGCTGCCTGATCTTTTGCATGTTGTAGCTTACTTGCTTTAAGTTTTTCCAGTTTTTCCATTATTATAAATTTATTACATAGTTATTGCATTGCTTCATGTTACCGTCTTACTTTTTAATTGTCTGCTTGTGGCCCACCTGTTAGCCCGCACGAGGCTTGCCATTTTATGCTGACCTCTTTCATCAGCAACACATTTTCCCCTCAGGACTGCAGCAGACTTTGACGTGTTTGGTTTATCACACACGAGTCCCAGTAAACTACAGACACTGCAATGTGGAAAAATTCCCAGAGGATTCAATTTCTGAGCTTCTACAGGCAGTCAGTCTGGCATTAGAGATCATACAGTACTACAGTAATTCATAGCTGCTTAGTCAACAGCATTAATTAAACATTAGCTTAACCTGTTAAGCATGTCTGCCATTTCATTTTCCAAGGTAAATGTGGAACATTCTCTTGATCCAGCTTCACAAATGTGAGCATTTATTGCATTTCTTTGTCTTAAGTGAAAGTTAACCAGATATCTTTGTCGATGTTGCCTAGACAAACGATTAATCAAGAAAATGGTGGACTAATCAATAATGGAAATAATTATTTGCAGCTCTAGTCTGAAATATTTTCTCATCTTCCTTTTTCTTTCATGTTGTCCTGTCCAGCGTGGTGTGTGAGATTGGACCTATTGGCCGTTTGAGCCAACAGTGGGGCCAAGTGGAGGTGGAGGTGAAGGGGGGCAAGAGAGGAATATCCTCCATGTACTTCACCTACAGGGTAAATACTCTCTCTTACTAACACACACACACACACACACACACACACACACACACACACACAATCTCTCCCCTTAACTGCATTTCCAGTATGGAGGCGCTCAACTTTGACCCAGAAAATAAACACATCCAAAAGCGTTCTGCTGATTTTTGTTGTTTTATGGCCTCTATTTTGTTTTCCATTTCCTAACTGCACAGAGCCCCTTATCAGAACACACCTACCTAGGGCATGTCATTTAAGAAGGAATGTTCAAATACAACATCCTAATGTATTGGCAAATTATGCATCTAGACGCTGTCATATTACAATGGTAATGCATTGTAAGATAAGCCAGAATGTGTATGTATTCCTCTTTAACCAGATGCTGTGCAGTAGTTCCCCTTTTCTCTCTAATACTTTAACAGGCAGCAGCGTAGCTATTTAACTGGCTTTTCATATCTCTGGCTCTGCTAAAGCTTCCCCACAGGGGAGTGCTCCGCCTAACTGTTTGCTCAGCAAATTGAGGCAGATGTGGTGTGTGTGTGTGTGTGTGTGTGGTGTTGTGCGTGTTGTGTGTGTGTGTGTGTGTGTGTGTGTGTGTGTGTGTGTGAGAATGTTTCTGATAGAGAGGGGGAGATCAAGGAGGGTGAGAGGAAATGTGTGTTTATATGACATTGGTGTGTGTGTGTGTGCTTGAGGGAGTGTTTGCCTGTGTGTTTGAGCTTGTGTATTCTTGTAAATCCTTGCAGAGGAAAGATGAGTATGTATTCATTCTGTATCTTCTGACCCCCCCCCCCCCCCACCCCCCACGCCCACCAGGACCCGATTCCCGAGGCGGTGACACCTGCCAGAGGTCCTAAAGCTGGGGGCACCCTTATTACAATTTCTGGGCGATTTCTGGAGACTGGCAGTAAGGATGATGTCCAGGTTACCATCGGAGGAGTGGTCTGCATTGTGTAAGGGTTTCTTTTCTCAATAACTGTCACACACAGCAAAGACCAGTTCTGTTTCAGTTCAGTCTTCTCAGTTGATAAGTCCTACTTGTTATTCAGACATTGGGTTCTGTGAAAATTCTATAGTAGCCACACTTTGAAGCCCATAAATTGATTTTTTTTTTGAAGCAAAAATGGAATTGACCTTAACTTTGGTGTCATAAGCAGGATTTTTTTTTCCTTTACCATTTGCCTTCACTGTTGTGACCACAAGTGTTCTGTCAAAACCAGTGCACGGTGACATTTTAGGCAGAGGTAAGGGAAAAATAACAAGCTAGAAAAGCAGCAAAGCTGGGATTTAACAAGCTGTCAGGCTGCTGCCATGTTGGCTTCCACTGCACGGTGACCTTGCGCGACCCCCACTTCTCTAGCCAGCCAATGCTAAGTTATGTCCTTGTCTTGGCAGGGAGCATTTCGGAGCAGAGATCACCTGCAGGACGGGAGAATATCTAGCAGATAAGGTGCCCTCCGACCCTCTCACCGTCACAGTGAAGTATGGAAAGAGTACCCCAGCAACCATTCAAAATGCCTTCCAGTTCTGCGAAAATCCCATCATACTGGACCATCACCCCAAAGGAAGCTTTGTCTGGTCAGTTTAAATTTAGTAGCTTGCATGTCTTTTACCTCTAATCAAAGTGTTTGTAATATTCATTGGTTCCATTTAATAAGTGCTTTTGGTGCTTTCATTTTACCTGGAGGCATATTGGACTGGATTGACAGTTCAGGGGTAATTGTAGTATATCTCATATTTTTGTCCATTCTGACCATTGGACATGATAACATTTTATCTATTACCATCATTGTTTTCTGCAACAGTTAAAGGGATTTCCAGACGACTTTCTGTTTTTTGATGTTGGACTCTGTGGCAACTCTTTGATATGATTTCTGTTACATTTACATTTTTACTGGCTTTAGGGATGGCAACGTCAGTTCATCTCAATAACTACCATGAAATTTTTGTACATGTTAATACTCCCCAAAGGATAAACCCATTGATTTTGCTGATCCTAGTGCCACCAACTTTTCATTTAGCACCACAAGTGTCAAAATTTCACTTTGTCCAAGACTTGCCTTTATACCCAAACACTTTTTAAGATGTGTTTCGTGCTAATTAGCGAATGTTAGCATGCTAACACGCTAAACTAAGATGATGTGTGTAGTAAGCAATGCACCAGCTAAACATCAGTCTCTAATCCAATCTCTAAATGTTAGAGAACACATTTAGCTGAAAGCACTGCTGTCCAAAAGTACATTCTCACAAAGTTGTGTTTTTAGTTCTAGTTATCTTGAAACATCAGTCGGTCTTGTTTAGTCCATGCATTACAGCATAGGCCTATTGAGTTAATAGACTAAAATTTGGTTTGAAAGCTGTAGTAAATTTAGCCTCCTTGCCCTGATCAACATCCTTCATGTAGAAGTTAATGTTTCCCAAATATCTAAAACAGAGGTGGTGAGAAAAATGTTATAAGATTGACAGGCGTCAAAATGGACAAAAATAGGAGAGTAAGACGAAGGTTGACAAATAAAGGGATTTCTCCTTGAATGCCTTATGTTGTCCTTTTGTTTTTAAAGTAGAGAAGCAAAGAAAGAAAAGGCAAAAGCTGCTCAGGTGACACTGATGACAAGGTCGAACTGATAGTACTGTACATGGAAAATTGAACACTTTGAAAGCCACCTGCCTTGTTGTCTGCCCTGCAGGCTTCTATCTGTCTGAAACCTTGGTTAAAGGTCATTAATGCCAAGAACATTTTTGTTTTTTACAAATCTGATCTGTCCTCCAAGAGTTGCTGAGTATGCCTGTTGTGTGTGTGTGTGTGTGTGTGTGTGTGTGTGTGTGTGTGTGTGTGTGTGTGTGTGAGTGAGAATGAGCATGTGTGTGTGTGAGTGTGAGTGTGTGTGCATGTGTGTGTGTGCAGACTGGCTGAAGGGGATACAGATGCTAGCCTTTTGTTGTTGTAACACACTTCTCGATGGTCACTGAAAATGGATGCATTAGACGGTTACCTTGCTTCTTTTTGTCTTTTTTTTTGCAACTGAAAGCACTACAGCACATGTGATTAGACACACAGCCTGGAACAACAGGCAGCAGATAGGGAACGCGCAGGCTAAACTAATTTGTTTTCATCTCCGGAGAAAATGACCCCAGGTGCAAATTTAAGAACCGTGTCTGTCTTCTCATAACTCTCCCCATGAGCTTGTCTTTGTGTGGCTGGGCATATCTATGCTCATACATGTGTTTTTCTTTGTTTTTGGTGTGTATACGTTTGTTTGTGTATGTGCTTTAGTGGAGGGAGGAACATTGTGGTGACCGGCTCTGGTTTTGACCTGATCCAGACTGCTGTCATGAAGGTCCAGGGAGACAACGTAACAGCTTTTGAGGTTTCTACTCCCTTTTATTTATCAGCATCTTTCTCTTTCAATCTTCATCCACCTCTAATAATGATCATTTCTTTGCTGTCTTCACTCTTCCTCTCAACTGTTTTTTTCCTATGGTTCTCTACTTTTCCATTGGCTCCCCTCATCACAGCTCAGCACTGTCCATCAATCTCCCCACATCTCATGAGCCCACGACTACAGTGGTGATTCATTCAAACTCTGTGAAGCATTTCAACAGTTTGAGCCTACACACACACACTCTCACCAACAAATGTGAACACACACACACACACACACACACACACACACACACACACACACACACATACACATACACATACACACACATCTCCACTTCTCTGCTTCCACTGATCAGTGAGATTTCATAAGCCAGTATTACTTCATCTCTACTTACTTCACTTCTTAGACCATAAATCCTTAAAACCTGTAGGATTGCAGATAGCAGTGCCACTGTTTCACTCTCCCCAAAATCTAACTATGTTCCTGGTCCAGCTTAATCAAGTAGGACTGACTCTGCCAGGAAACTTGAAGGAGTTCCACACAGCAGCTTGCCGGGGCCTGCCCTCCAGTGTACTGGGCGGTGTTAAGCAGTAGCAATTTTGTTCATTTCATTTAAAGGCTAAATTTAATACCGGAATTAAGGTTGCAGAAGATTATGTGACTATGCCGCTCCTCACCACTTTACTCCTGGCCAAGTCCCTGGTCCCTGCTACCCAGGGACAGGAGAGATTTGAAAAGACTTCTGGCTGCCACAAACTAACAGTGTATGTAATGTGTTATCTCAAAGGCCTTGGCTGGTCAACTTCATAAGCTTCTCTTGATTTAAGTCCATCCGCTGAACTGGACCCAAATATTTGGAGTCATTATGGCTGCTGGCTTGTGGTAAAAACATGTTGATATTGTAGGTCAGGTTAGTGGCTCAAAGCAGTGATGTTTTTTTTTTTCTTTAGAGAATAGATCATTTGTAGAGCATAGAGAATAGTTGTTATTAAATTTTCACACATACTAATTGCCAGGTGATGTGGTGTAGCTAACGGAACCAACTGACAAAACTAAGTTGTTAATATGGCCTGTTTAGAAGAAAGGATATTTGAGGTAGTAGGGCATATGGGCGACATATCTGCCCTGACAGTTAATCAAGATTTGCATAAACTGGGAAGATTTGAAATGACATTTTATGTAGACTAAATGACCTAATAGCTAGGTTGGTGTAATTGGAAACTGCATGAATACTCTGACAAACATGTTTCTCCATGTACGACATTTATTATTAAAACAAAGCCGAGTCTATATTCCAATAATATTACTAAATATTGTCAGGTTTGATATGATGTTTGGTCCATAAAATTGTTGATTTAGGCAGTTATAGTGTATGCATGTTACAGTTTGTGATGCTTGTGCCTTCCTTTTCCCTGACTTCCTGTCTTTACTTTTGATTGGATTGCACTACAGATGTTCCCTTGCAACAGATTTGCACATTACTTAATTTTTCTTACTTTAATTCCGTCATTTATTCATCTCAGCTACTCTACTGGCATGGCTTTGTGGCCATTGTTCAGTCAGACGTTCCAACCTGTTCTATCTAAACAACTATTACATTTTTTTTTTTTTTTTAACATTTTTAAAGACATTTGTGGTAACTGACTGTTCATCCAGCACCATGAGGTCAAAATTTTAATTTGTCCAATACAGTGTAAACTAATGACATTTTCCGCAGCCTCAGCTGCACTTTTTGTTTAGTGCTAATTAGCAAATGTTACCCTGCTAACAGGCTAACAGCTAGCTGATAATAAACTAACTGTTGAACTTGGTAATCATTCCTGCTAAAGATCAGCATGTTAGCATTGTCATTGTGAGCAATGTTAGCAGACTGCTGACAGGAAAAGGAGAGAGAGGAGGGATGTCATGCAGCATAGGTCCACAGTCAGATCTTAAACATTTTGACCATACTGACGCTTTAAACCCATCAGGACATCAAATCACGTTTTTAGCAGGTCGAAGGTATTCCTTTAAGTATTAATGGTGCAACCTGGTGTAGTAAATAATTAGTTTGAAACTAGCTGTTACCGAGAACCTAGGAACAACTTTACAAGTAAACCTGGTGATGGATTTACAGATAGCTGGTGCCACCCAATCCTCTACATAGTTTAATGATAAAAGGCATTCGACTCATACCAACCAACCTCAAAAATTATAGTAGGTCTGCTTGACTTTTTCGAAGCATTACTCAGTGCAGCCTACGTCTTTTGCCTTTTCCTTTTGAAAAACTTAGAAGACTGCGTGTAGGACTAAAGGGTTTTGCTGTCACACACAGTATTGTCAGCCCTGTATGGAAACAATCAGAGAATGACAGAAATATCACCATCAGTCCAGTTAATCAAACACAAATAAACAAAGCCAGAGGAGGAATAACTCAAAGCGGCCTGTGATTCATCAGTGGCTGCTATTCTACGATGGCAGATTGGGATTTTAATAGAATGACTGAAAAGAGACATCATTTTACCTACCCCATTGTAAACCAGGCTTTTTTTCCCCACACCACCCCACCCCCTAAACACTCTTCCTTCACACAACAAAAATGTGAATTCACTGCCTCTTTCAAAAAAAAGTCCTTAACGCCCACTGTTTGCCTTTTATTTTTCTTTTTTCTAATTCTAACCCATATTTTCTATGTTGAACTACATTTACTTTCATATTCTTCTTCTCCTTCATGTCTTGTCTTGCTTATTTTATGGGTTTTAACTACTTGGCTGTTTGTGTCGAATTAGGACTAGGACATTTTATTCTACCTCTCTCCCACTTTTAGATGGCCCGTGAAAAGAACGACACAGTCATCCAGTTTCACTCCCCAACAATAAACAGCTCCCTGAGCCAGCACTTTAGAACGTTCATTCAGCTGGACAACTGCAAGAAGGAACTGAAGCCCTTCGACTACCACCCTGACCCCATCTTCAACAAACTAACGAAGAATGTCATCACCGAGGCCAGCATCATCATCGTCACTGTGAGTACAGACCACACGGCTTCCTCTAACGCTGCAGTTGTACTATGACAGCGCAGTGTTTCTAGGAAGTCAGCCTTCTTTGTGTGAAGGAATTAAGACAAATGGTGTTATTATCTGACTTGAAGATAAAAATGGAAAAGATGCTGAACTGCAGCTGCTGTGCCACATTTTCACTTTTTAGCTGCTGATACTATGGTTGAGTTTCACTGCATATAAGAATTATGCAAATAGCAGCACATTTATTATTTTAGCTGGTGTGATTGTTTTGGAAGTCAAATGAACCGAGGCAAATGTATATTCCAAGTCGCAATTAGCAAACATTTATTTGTTTTAAATCTCGTAATCAGATAAAAAATAATGCTTGTAATGTAAATATCCATTTCTCTAAAACAGGGGCCGAGTCAAGAGGTGATCAATAGAGTAAAACGCATTTCTGAGATGCAAAATTTAGTTGTTTTTTTTTCTTTTTTGTTTTTTTTTCTAAAATGTAATTTGCAAATGTAACTTGGATTGCTGCATAATTTCACCTCTTCAAGACTCAAAACTTTTCAAATACAGCAATCCAGTAACAAAGAATCTCTTTTTTGGTTCACAGTGATGAGGCATTTTAAGTAAACATAGCCAAAATGGTTGGGAGCAGCTGCTCTAAGTATACGTTGAATATAAATTACAAAAACACAAGACTAAGTTACTACGTATCCTTACTATAAATAGAATAGATAGTCAAAAATAAACAGAAGAGGACAATCAGTTAAGTTTTAATTTATTTTATCAGCTGATTAGAGGTAGAGGAAAAACAGGCCTTTCTCCTAATTCACCAAATTATTTGATGTTAAGTGAAAATTATAAAGGCTTATATAACTTTTATATAACACACGCCTTTATAATTGTTTTTGACTCATCTAAACCAACACTTATTTCATCATCCATTAATTGCAGATAATTTATTTGATCATTTTGGTCTATAAAATTTCAGAGTAGAGACAAATGCCTATAATACTTTCCTAGGTGATGTTATTTTGCTTGTTTTGTCTGACAGACACTCCAAATCCACCAGATATTCAGTTTATTATCACATAAGTCAAAAAAAAAAAACAAACAGCAAATCATCATAAGTGAGAAGATGAATATGGGGAACATGAAGCATTTTTTTCTTCGAGCTTTGATGTAACCAATTAATTGATTATCAGAATGGTTCAGATTCCTTCCAATAGCCTGTTTCCTGCTTTATGTCGGCTTTAGGGCTCCACAGTATTTTCTCTTTAAGTTTCTTTGGGTAAACACACTTTAGGTAAATTAGCTGGGAAAGGAAAAGGTCTGAGGCCTTTTCAATTACTCCGCTACTGGTTTACTTAAGCTAATTTCACCTTTCTTATATTCCAGACTGCATTAGAATAATTGAAAGCATGTCTGTAGATATAGAAGTGTGCTGTAGAATCTCAAAGTGTATACTGCAGCAATGCCAGGGCTGTGGGATTGACTGGAGCTGTGCCTAAAGTGTCTTAAGCAAGAAACTACTTACAAATGTGCTTACAACGACTATAATCTTAATCTTTCTAATTAATTTTGGCACTCATGGTGGAACAGTAAAGCGCTGTTCTAAACTTTCCACCCATTACAAATGAAAATGCTTACAATAATGTTTTTAATACTCAACATATGATTCTTGATGGTTTATAAACACAGTAATTAATCCCCCCGCCTCCATGTTGTTCAGTCACGACTCTTTGAGCATTGCAGTTGCTCTTCCCCTGCAGGGTCGAGGATTCTCCAAAGCTATGACGGCCAAAGAGGCTCAAGCGTTTGTGGGCGATGTTTCCTGTCTGGTCAACACACTTCAGGACGACAAGCTGTTCCTGGACCCACCGCCCACCCCGCCCCGCGCTCGCTCCAGACGGCACCGCCGAGACACCCGGCCCGAGCTGCTGGATCTAACGGTCAGATCAGACACAGAGAGACAAAACACGCAGTGGTGGAGGAAGTACTTACATCATTTACCACAATAAAGATATTAATAACACGCTGCAGAAATACTCCTTTATGAGTAAATGTCCTGCTTTGAAAATGTTACTTAAGCAATGAATATGTAAATATAATCAGGAAGATATACTTAAAGTATTAAAAGTATATAATGCTGAAAAAAAGGTCCTGTAAGGTTTATATTATTATATATTATATCATCAGAGTTATTACACAAGGATTAATATGTAAGCAGCATTTTACTGTTGTAGCTGGCTGAGATGAAGCCAATTTTCCATAGATTCTTTGGTTTATGAAAATTAAGAAAATAGTGAGAAATGTCCATCACAATTACCCAGAGTAATTGTGATGGACATTTCTCCTTTCTCCCCCTCCTTTATTATAGGAAGGAAGAGCAGCAAATCCTCACGTTGGAGAAGCTGGAACCGTGAAATGTTGACTTAAACGATTAACAAAGTAGTTGCCAATTACTTGTCTGTCTCTTGTATATACATTACTGTTGGGTAGTTTAATCTATATTAAAGCATCATATTTTATGAGCCCTTGAAATCTTCATTTATAAAGTAATTAGTCAATAAATCAGTCAGATAAATGTGGTGCAGTAAAAAGTATAATATTTAATATATTATACTCTGAAATGTAGTAAAGTAGAAGTATATAAGGAGTGGTATTAAAAGAAAATACTCAAGTAAAGTAAAAGTGATTTAAATAAGCATGTTAGTAAAGTACTTGTGAGTTACTCTCCACCACTGTAGACACGTACACAGACTTGAAGATGAGAGTGTGCATGCATCATAAATCTTTATTGTATTTCTCAAGGCGTGTCCTCTGTACTATGAGACCCCATTTTTTCACCGGTTTAACAATTTTCATGTAGCTACAGGCTCTTATAATTATATTTAATTAAAGCTGAGCCACAATTTTGATGAATACTGTAACCTCTTCTCTGGATAATTCCTCTAAATGAGCTATTGTTTTATTCCTGTGGCTGTGTGCTGCATAAAGAAGTGACACCACAGCCCTATCAATAGTACAAACTGTACCTACATAGAAAAACCTTGATTATGAAGGGCAAACTGAATACATTTATGCATTTGCTCAGTTAATGTAGGCCCTCCAACTTGAACCTAGCCCCAGCACTTTAAAAATACTGAAAGGTCCCGCAGCTGTTTTAGCAGAACTGCAGGCAATTATGCTGATTCTCCTCAGTCCCCCGTTTCCTCTCCAACACTGTCAAAGCTTTACCATCGACACCTACCTGAATTACTGTCTGGCTAAAATGTGGAGGGCTTGTGCAGATAATAAGATTCCCTCTCTGTATTTCTCCACAGATCAAGTTTGGGAAAGGGGAGTGGTTGGTCGGCTTGGTGCAATACGAGAATAAGAATGACTCGTCTCTGTACATCATCATCCCTGCTGTTATTGTGCCCATGCTGCTGATCATCGCTATCTCTGTCTACTGCTACAGGTAAGTCAAGCAATTTTAGGTTAACTTCACATACACTACAATAAAATGAACTTCTAAAGTTATAGAATCTACAGAAATCTGTATCGTCTCCACTTGTTGTCCCAAAGACAATTAAATGTCACATAGTACTCTATAATCACTATTGGTGTGTTGTTTAGGACTTTTTTACTGTTATCGTTTTCAACACTTTTTCTTGCAGGAGAGGCTATGTTTGTGTGTTGTTGAGAAAAAAACACACCTACAGTTACCTTATTGTAGCAATTGGCTTTACTAGACTCAGCTCCTGTATGTATAAAAAATTACAGTAATTGCAAAATCAATCAATTTTTTTGCTCAAATTTCTTTTTTCTCCCTTTTCTTCCTCGACCTTTTTAAAACCCAACATGTAGAAAAATATTTCCAAAAACTGGGCTTGTACATTTGATGAAGAGAACTGTACTTTCAGTATGTTTGTGGTCAATTAGATTCCAGAGAAGACAAGAACAAGAACTCCCTGTTTGATCTCTAATGGACAAACTTTTAGAAAACTCAAATAACAGAAATTCAAATAGACTCATTGGGGATTTGGAAGGATAAGTGCTGCATAAAATGTACCAATTAGACACCAAAAAAAAAAAATCCATTGTATTGTTTTACAGCTTGTGTTCTTTAATCCCAAAAATTGAAGTAATGTAATAATTTTCTGTAGCAGACATCTGAAGCATGTCGTCAGTACTAGGCTGATAAAACAATGTTAAGTATGTTTTTGAGAGGTTAAAAAACCCGGTGTGTCCGGGACACTAAATGGAAGACTTGAGTTAAAATGAAGCAAAGTCCCACAGAAAAGTCATTAAAAAACTATTTTACGCAATTTAGCATGCTTATTCACCTTATTGGTGGTAAAGCACTGCTAGCTGTAATTAGCTTTAGCTTTAGCTGCGGTTAGTTTCTTTAACTGCTCTGTGGCTTTTGTTTTATTATATATTCATGAATCTAGACTTTGGCATCTGTTTCAAAGATGGATTCACAACTTTGATCCACAGCAGCAGAATCAGGACAGCCAGTGCTAGCCAACTAAAACATGAGTCGCGGTTTGATGTCTGTGTATCATCTATAAGCTGTGACCTACAGATGAATCTTTGTTACGTAATGTTACTTCAGATCATTAAAGTTTTCGGTTCAGCAAAGTCTTGCTCATTTGAATTGCTGCAGGGCTGATATAATAGCTCGCTCTTCATTATTTGGTGTGCATCATCTAATGTGGTGATTAAACAGAGAGGTTATTAATGAAACAAAAATGACAGTTTACACCTGACAAATAAAGATTGAAGTCCCCTGGGCCAGTGGTGCATATTCATGTCGGGGGCGGGGCTTTAAAAGCTTTAAAAAAACATTTTATTCCAACCAACTCTCAAATACTTTTAATTTTAAGACAGTCAAGAAATAATAATCTGTTATATCCCTATAAAGTTTAGCCTGTACATATTTCCTTGAGGTTCCCCAAAGGAGAGGCTTTGTGTGGTAGTTAATATATGTCAGTTATAGGCAGTCATGCATTTGTTAAACTAGAACATTTCAGCTAAATATTCATGAAACACCTACATCAGGAACAGCACACCCACAGTGGCAGAATAATAGCTGCAGTAATCAGATATTTTTGTTAAACTTAGAGAAAACACTGTGTGGCTAAGTTATCAACCAAATGTGCCAATTATCCTCCCTAAATTACAGCGTGTAATCTTTGAACAACAATTACATCTATGAAATGATTTTTTTTTTCTTTTCTTTTAAGTTAAAAGCCTCTCCACAAACTTTTGCTTTAATGAAACTTGTGTTGTGTTTGCCGATCTGTTTGTCTCGTCAGGAGAAAGAGTCAACAGGCAGAGAGGGAGTATGAGAAGGTTAAACACCAGCTCGAGAATCTGGAGGAGAGCGTTCGAGACCGCTGCAAGAAAGAATTCACAGGTACAAACAGTGAAAATGCGCTAAAGCTCAGCAGTGTTGCTAATGCCCCTCAAAGGATCCATGTCTCTCAGAAGCTATATGGTAATGAAGTGCTTCATAACTCTGATTACATTACTTTGATGCATGGTACTACGGTGAATTAAATAAATCCTCCAGCTTAACAGCATGTTATCATTGTGAGGAGTTTTACACTAACAGTATATATAGAAAACAATCTTTCAACGCTGAAATTATTTTCCCGTGAATTGCTCTCCCCTCTGTGACACAGTGATCGAGACAGATGAGCAATGCACAAATGACGAAAGCTGCTTATTTAAAAGGAACCAGGAGCTATATTCATGTTTCTGTCTCGTAGACTTGATGATCGAGATGGAGGACCACACCAACGAACAGAGCGAGGGACGAATCCCCTTCCTGGACTACAAGACCTACACAGACCGCGTCTTCTTCCTGCCCTCTAAGGATGGTGCCAATGATGTGATGATCACAGGGAAGCTAGACATCCCAGAGGCTCGAAGGGCCACTGTGACCCAGGCGCTCAACCAATTTTCCAACCTCCTGAACTCCAAGACCTTCCTCATTAATGTAATTATACTTCACATAGCAGATATGTATCACGTAATGATCATCTGTGGTCTGATAATGTCCACACACACATTATGTTACAGCTGTGTTGTAAGAGTGTGCAGCATTAGAGCTTCACAAAGTGACAGATGGAGGGTTTTCATAATTTTCTTTTTAGCCACATTCCCAGCATAGCTCAAGGAATGTCAGTGTTGGTCAGTCCATCACTTTGGTCTGCACTGAAATATCTCAGCAACCACCAACAGGCTGACATTTGTGCTTCTGAGTGAAATATCGACAAGTGTTGGATGGATTGCTACAACATCAGGGTTGAAGGAAGGCTGGGTTTATTATATCTCCTTGCACCTGATTTATTAAAGGAAAAACAGCTTATTTAATGACACTATTTACCTCCAACTGAGAGCATTTTTTTAATTTAGGTGCAAACATAAAAATAATTTTTAAATGGCTGTATAGTGAACTCTCCCATTCTCTGCTATACCTGTTTTAAACAAAGAATTCCTAATCATTATATTGTTATTGACCCTTTATTAACTTATATTAAACCTTTCTAAGACATTTTTTGCACATTTTTTATACCTTAATTTGTTCCACAAGACAATTTATAAAAACTTTGGCGAGCCTCTGACTTTTCCTGTAATGCCATAATCAGTTCAAAATTTTTGATTCATGACCAAATAGCCCACCTGTAAAACTATTGATATTCCCTTCAGCCCCAGCTGTATTTTGTAATTAGTGCTTATTAGCAAATATTAGCATGCTAACACTTTGAACTTAGATGAAGAATATGGTAAACATTATACCTGCAAAACATCAACATGTTAATATTGTAATTCTGAGCATGTTAGCATGTTGATATTAGCATGTAGTTCAAAGCACTGCTGTGTTCAACTAGCCGAACAGCTATTGATAGCATGGCTGAGGACTCTTATGAAACATCAATCAGTCTAAATTTAGATATATAATAACCTATATTTGTTCAGTTTCTAGCATACAGTATACAATCATTTTAAAAGTATTTTTAACAAAATCCTCTCATCTCACCAAATTAGCAGCGTAAACTTGTCGTCCTTGAGTGTGAGCAGTAATGTCTCACTGATTTAGAGCTACTCAGAAATCGAAAATGCCTTTGTAGAGTTATATCTGAATAAACTAAACTAACCTTGTCCATTGTAATGAAGGACTGTGTCAATTCATCAATATGGCTCTTTTATGTGCTGGGACGACAGTGGAGTTTTATGGCCTGGAGCCATAAGGCTGTAGGTACACAGGCAATCCTCCTAAAATGCAGCGGGATAAATTCACTGTTAGTTTTCAGGTAGCAGTAAAAGGGTAAAATCACCCCAGCTTTATCCTTAGTTACTTAGGTAAGCTTTTATTTAACAGTCACAAGTATGAATTTACCTCACACTACATCGATAGTGCACACGGCCCTGCATCTCTGCAAGCTTTCAAAATCTGCCATAACCCCAGTCAATAATACTTTAAGGTCCTTTATATTTATTTTAAATTCAGGGTGTCCTCCCTTGTAGGACTCTGTAATGTTTTAGTTAGTGGAGTAAGCTACAGTAGTAGAAGTGAGAAGCAGAAGACATAGCAGAGGGAGACGTGTGAAGATTCCTAATAATACAATATTGCTGGCACAGAAATGGCCTCTGAGGTGTAAACTGCATATGTGTGGGTGATTCCTCTTCCACTAATTGGTATCTTTTCTACGCCACAACATTTTACAGGGCAGAACTAAATTTACCTTGATAATTATTGTTTTCACTAGCATTAGTCTCTCGATTATTTAATAGCATATCATGTTAGATTTGTGTCTGTGTGCGCAGGCTTCATCGGGATAATTAATTTCACTCGTCATTTGCCTATTTCTGTGTGTGTGTGTGTGTGTGTGTGTGTGTGTGTGTGTGTTTGTATGTTGTTTGTAGTTTATCCGTACTCTGGAGCGCAGTCATGACTTCAACGCCAGGGCCAAGGTGTACTTTGCTTCCTTGCTGACGGTGGCTCTGCATGGGAAACTGGAATACTACACCGACATTATGAGAACACTGCTGCTGGAGCTGATGGAGGAATATGTCAACAGCAAGAACCCCAAACTCATGCTGCGCAGGTGAGTGAGCACCGACTAAGCGCTGCTGCTCAGTAGCTACTGGTGCAGTCACAGCGAATATATCAGTACCAAGTTCATAGCATAACTTTGATGCTTTTAAGCCATGCTAGCAGATAAAATTTTGTAGAGACATTTGTGTTCCCCAGAGGATGAATCCTAGTGACATTGGTGATCCCCTGACGTTTCATTTAGCGCCACCAGCAGGTTGGTTTTCACACATGCATTGAAATATCTCGACATCTACAAGATGGGATGGCACTAAATTTTGTACAGACATTCCTGGTGCACAGAGAATGAATCCTAATAATTTTGGTGATCTGCTGATTTTTACCTCTAGTGCCATGGTGAGGTTGACATTTGTGGCTCTAAGTCTTGACAACTATAGGATGGATTGACATGAGATTATGAACAGGGGTTCATGTTCCCCAGGCTTATCTTATCTAGTGCCACTGTCGGGTCAACTTTTCAATTTGCCCACTAATTTTGTTTACTGCCAAATACCTGCAAAACTAATGACATTCCCATTAGCCTCAGTTATATTTTGTGTTTTGTGTTTCACACTAAACTCAGATATTGACCAAGGTGAACATTATACCTTCATTTGTGTTAACATTTATATTGTGAGTGTCGTAAGCATAATAACATTGACATTTAGCTCTGAGCACTGCTGCTTTAGCACATCCTCACAGAGATGCTAACATGGGTTTAGATTATTACTCTTGTTTAGCGTCTACAGCCCTGAGATTTGAGAGACGTCCTTATTTCTCAGCTCTATAATCAGAATCATCCTGTGTCTAAACACTGGCGCTGATATTATCAGCCAGTTTAGGAGAACTGGGATTCAGTTCAAGCTGTGGTGGACTGTTTCATTCTATTGCCATGTTTTCTGTTGAATTTTGCACTGAATACTGTGGTTCACTATCAAGAGCCAGACGATTGCTTGATCTATTCCAGTCCTCCTCCTTCTGTTTCTCCTTCTGTTTTTTTTTCCTCCTTGGAGTCCAACCACAACGGGCTGGATGATTTTTCTTTTGCTGTTCCCCTTCATCATCCTCTTCATTATCTTATCTCATAACTCTTGACCAATGGGACATCAGCTAAAAAATTACTTTTGGCCCATAATGTGTTTGATTGAATACACAAGTCAAATTATATTGGCTTCCTGGGAGTTGCTTTATGGCATCATCCCGCATCAAGATGGGGAATTCAACGTTCAATTCAATCTGAACGACTTTCATCAACTAAACTATCACCTGCAGCACTTGAGCCAACATTTAACATGTCTCAGATCAGATTCTATTTTAATAGCCCTTCTCGCCAAGAGGATAGATTAGTTATTATGTTACAAAAATTAGCTATGCATCTTGTAAAAAATTTTTGCAAATAATATTGTGTTTGGCATGAATCATAACGCGGTTATTTTAGCAACTTGCCAATACTGTGGATGTCTTCCTCTGATATTACCGAATATTAATTGCCCAGTATTTTCTCTCTTGGCAGTAACTCATAATTTCTTTGTTGTATCAGAGTCTGTAAACATTCAGCTGACTAATTTGATTGAAGTAAATAGCCTGAAGAAAAGAATCTCTAGTTTTAGTGCTCTTTGTTCTTTACTCTTATCTTAGCTGTAATGATCATACCAAGGTCAAATCATCCACTGACGGCTGCCTCCCCTCCCTCAGCAGGACCAACTTGTGTGACAGTACAGTCGCTCATCACTGCTGGGAGGGGGGTTATGTGATCTGAACTGTCTGTTGTGCCTAGGCATGCTGTGACTGGCTTTTATGCAAGTACACATCTTAATTATCCCCCAATGGAGAGCCTCATTATGCTGATTAGGCCATTGTGCCAACACAGGCCCCCTTATATACAAGACATCTAATTAGGCATGCTAACAGCTAACAATAGGCGCCACCAGTGGATATCTGTCATTAGGATGGGCGATCCGTCAAGTGACCACTGACATGAGTTTTGAATTAAAATATCATGACATTGACAAGCTGTGCAGAAATTTCCCTTGTTGATACGTTGTAGAGGAGCTGTCGTAAGAAAGTCATGTCTCAAGTTTTTAAGCGGACACAATGAAAATGGTCTGCAAATTTTTTGGCTGATACTTTCTGAATTTAAGTGGCATGATTTGAAAATACTGATTAAACATGTCACATTTTTTTCTTGGATTTGCTAATCAAATGTTATGTGTGCACTACTCATTAACATACAGGATTAATGCTCCAAAATTATTCACTTACTCTGACAGTGACATTAAAAACTGCTCATCATGTGTTTTCCAGGTCAGAGACAGTTGTGGAAAGGATGCTGTGCAACTGGATGTCAATCTGCCTTTACCAGTTTTTGAAGGTAACATGAGGTTTTGCGTCAATTATTGTGTATAAAATGTAATATGCTGACATGGGCCTCAAAGATTAGTTGATAATTAGTAGAAAATTCATTATGTAATTGATTGTTTAAGTCATTTTCCAAGCACAAATGCCAAGCATTTGATGGCGCCAGCTTGTCAAATCTGATAATTCTGCTGTTTTTCTATGCACTGTATTATAATAAATTGAATATCTTTGGGTTTTGCTATGCTGGTTGGATAAAACAAGACATTTGATGATAGCACATTGGGCTCTAGGAAACTGTGATGGATGCTTTAAGTTTTTCTGATGTTCCATAAAATAAACTATTAACTGATAATAAGAGGATTGTTTGTTGCAGCCCTAATGATAACTATATTTTTTTATAATTAGTCTAAGGCAGTCCTGACATGTATAATTTCAAAATGGTCTAATTAATTCAGCAGCAAATGAATGTTATGACATGCTACAGCTTTAAACCACAGGCTCGGTTTATGGATTTCTCCATTTCTTTTATTAGTTCTCGGTATCGATAATCTGCATTTATCCGTCTTCCAAACTGCTAATCACAACAATTAGCTTCTTGACAACATCTGCTGCAACTTTTAAATCTGTGTTTGTGTGTGTGTGTGTGTGTGTGTGTGTGTTTGTGTGTGTGTGTGTGTGTGTGTGTGTGTGTGTGTGTGTTGTGTGTGTTGTGTGTGTATGCCAGGACTCTGCAGGCGAGCCCTTGTACAAACTGTTCCGAGCCATCAAGCACCAGATCGAGAAAGGGCCCGTGGACGCCAGAGTGAAGAAAGCCAAGTACACCCTCAACGACACAGGCTTGTTGGGCGACGACGTAGAGTACTCAGTCCTGGTAAGGACAGACACTGACACACACACACACAAACAAACTGCACACAAGTACTCGTACATAAAAACTCCACAGTCAGAAAAATTGCACACACTGCTTTGAGATTGGATGGTGTTTTGTGCCTGGTGAGCAGCACAAACACACACACACAAACAGATACACACTTACACACAGTGCAGTTGCCATGGTAACCACCAAAAACCCCCCAGGCGACTGCCCGCTTTTGTGTGACATCCATTTTCAGTGTCAATGTTCTCAGCTCGAAAACGACACAGGCAACACATTCCAATATAGCAGTGAAATGCATGGCTTAGGTGAAAGTACTACAAGTCGGTACAAGTAAAGAGTACAAGCCACCTACACAACCCCTTCTCAACCTTTCAACCGGCACCAGCTCTGGATTCATTTGGGCAGCTTTGGGGAGTCAGGAAAAGCCTGTGTGTCTCGCTTTTGGTATCGTGTTTCAATAATGGAAGCTAATGTGAACACAGCTGTTTTCTGTTAAAGTCAGCACAAATAAAAAGGCCCATGGGTAATGGCGTTGTCGAGGACAATTATCAAATTAGCCTGAATTACACGTCTCCCGTCGTGATGGATCGCCTTCTGTGATTGAATTATAGAGGGAGAAAAAACACGATGAGCTAGATTTCACAGGCAGAGGCAGTGTTTCCTATTGGCTTTAATTCCCAGCGTGCTCTTCTCATTCACTTCAAAGGCAGACGGGCTCATGAGGTTACTGTTGCCACTGGATTGTCTGCCCCTCTGTTTGAATCTGTTGAGTGGTCAGTTAGTTATTTTCTGACAGAGTGTGGGAGGTGAGGTGGGTCAGAGTTTGCTCCTGCTGAGCCTTGGTCATTAGCTGGCCAAGGTGACAGGAGTCCTGTCAGGTGTCACCGCAGTTTGTGTTCGTCTGTGTGTGTGTGTGTGTGTTCTTACAGAAACCCGGTTACTATGGCGACAACATCCCGATGAGCTTGGTGTATGTGGGTGTGTGTTTGTGGGTGGGTGGCTGGGTGCTCTGGCCATGTTTGAGTATTTCTGCATATTTGTCATTTGTTGTGCGTAGGTGCATGTGAACTGCACATGCCATCACCATGTGGTATTAATATGTGTTTTGTGTGTGTGTGTGTGTTTGTGTACGTTTTCCCCAGACCTTGCAAGTGCTGGTGCACGGCGAGGGTCCAGATGTGACGCCCGTCAAGGTGCTGAACTGTGACACCATCTCGCAGGTGAAAGAGAAAATCATAGAGCAGGTGTACAGGAACCTGCCATACTCCCTGAGGCCCAAGGTCGACAGTGTCACGCTGGGTGAGTAAATGAGGGCCACCTAAGAGGAGGATGAGTCGATGCATGAAACATCTAATAATGATGAATAATGTAACGCTTACAGGGAGTGGCAAAGATGTCAAAATGGGGAAGCTATTTCAGTCCTGACTGAAATGCATTTATAATTAAATCAGAATGTAATTATGTAAATAAATAATTGATTATTTATTTAATTTTAACTTCATTTAATAGATTATTTTTTAGGTTTCTTTTTCTGTGTCTGTTTGTGGAATAAAAAATGCTTCATTGAGACTGAGAAGTTTTTCAGTGTCAGCAGCATGAAGAAAGCCTTCATCCTAAAACAAAGTTTTGCTCACTACTGTAGTCAGAAACCTTGGGGACTGACTTGAAAGGCTAAAGCTCTATAGACATTTTCCAACATCAAAGCAATTTTTATTCCCACGCATGCTGTAGATCTCATTCCTTTATACATTTTAGATAAGCAGAGATCCGTCTTCTTTCATGGTGAATCACAAAGATAACCCCCTTATTTGGTGGTACTTGTAAATGAATCATATGTCACAGATGGTGTTGAGCTCAGGTCTACAGTGGTGTCAGATTTTTCTAAATTGAAAATGTTGGGGTGCAAATCACAGTTTAGAATTAGATTTGAATTATTCAGAAAATTTTGTTGTGTCAGTCCTTCACTCAAAACCAGCTCAAGTGTGTCACGAAACCCCAGGAGGGAGAGCCAGGCAGACAGTAGGATGGATTTATTTAAGACCACATTCTCACAAGATAAGTGCAGGGTAACAGGGACCCATGATGAAATAAATGCAGTCAGTGTTGAAAAAAATAATTTGCAGTTCACCTCCATCTGGCAGAGATTATTTCAACTGATTGACTTTCTCCTCCTGCCTTCACCACAGAGTGGCGTCCCGGCTCAACAGGGCAGATTTTGTCAGATCTGGACTTGACTTCCCAGAAAGAGGGCAGGTGGAAACGCATCAACACTCTGGCACACTATAATGTGAGTACTGATGAAACTGAGATGCCTTGATGCAACATAAAAGTAACATAAAGGATGACTGGAAATAGCAAAGGATCCGAGGAGGTATGGGGGAAGTAAATAACTGTACGTGGGCGTGGGGATGTGAATGGGGTTGCCTATTTTCATGCTATTTCAGTCGGAGGCTGAGCTGTACATCTTGTGTCACAGTCGTGTGTGTGTGTCATCTATGTCTGCTGCAGATTTTTCAGGCTCAATTATACCAGTATCCACCAAATGATTTTTTTTTATTGATTCTCTTGATTTTCACAAAATTGCTAAATGTCTAATTTCTATACTATTTACAGTACCACTAGTCAAATCAATGTACAGACATGTGTACTGTGAGTGCATAAAAACATCTTTGTCTTCATTCACTAAAAGAATTTGGCAGTATACTGTAAACTTGCTTTTTACAATAACACTACAATATAGTGCCCTATATTTACCCATTTAATTGTAGTGTTCACATTCTGAGTGGGAAGATTTAGTTTTCATGGCAAGCATACTGCTCTCTGCTTACAGTCCCACAATGCAATGTGTTGCATTTTATACATTTAGAAATTATAGCCATGCAACCCTACAGATGTGGGTGAAGACGCAAAATGACAACGATGATTAAGTGTCCAAAATCCCACTTTACTGGTAATTTACTGGTATTTATTATACAGTGAGAAGTGAATGGCACAGCCATAGTTTTGTTTAGGAAGGCGTTTAACCAAAAACCTGAATTTGAAACCAAACCAAAATTTGATCTAAGATTAGACAAGAAGGCCAAAAACTGAAGACAGACCAACAGACAACTAACAAGCTATTATTATTTTACTGGCATTCGAAGACTGAAAACCCTATTTTGACACAAAAAGGTTGTGATAAGTGTGTGCGGTACAGTACGGTACAGCACGTAAGGATGTCAATGTATGACATGTACTCAAGGTCAATATTGGAAGTTGTTGAAGTGGTCCTTCAAAGCCTTTTATGTGCCTGTCTTTTTGCAGTTCATCAAACAGCTGTTTAAATAAAAACTTAAAGTTGTGGGAATGGCTGGTTTGTGTTTGGGTTTGAAGCTGCCAGTTTGAATAATTAGGAAACTGTGTAAAAGCTAAACGTTTTGTACTAAAAGTGCTGCTTGTAGATCCTTGGTAATGTGGACAAGATGGAGCATTTGCAAAAAATAAAAAATAAAAAAATGTATACAAAGATAAATGTTTTAGTGTCCTCAAATTAAATATACAAGACAGCAGTGTATAACCGTTTTCCTCCACTGTTTGCCTATATCAGCTCAGCTATAGACCTATGATTTTAATTTGTCACGTCCGGGCAGTTGAAAATGCCTGGTCTTGGTCTGCTCTCGTCAGCTCTCAATGGCGACAGAACACCACTAAATCTTCTTGGAACTGTATTGATCCTTGGAAAATAAAGGTCACTCACAAATATCCTCTACTTGTCCTGCTTTTCGGGCCACTTAAATCCCCCTCTATCAAAGGTGGCACTCTTTCTTTCATCCTACCCAGCAATGTCTTGCAGTTGCTCTTAGAGGACGGCCTCGCTGCCATAGATTCACTGGCTGTGTCAGAGTAGTGCTAATCACAGTATTTGTGGGGTCAATAATGGGTTGACGCCAAAGAAAATGGCCTGTAAATACCCCAATAAAGACCCAGTGCTGTTGTCCACTCGATCCAATTGATTATGAATTAGTCCTGGGGTGCTAAAAGAGACTGCTGACCTCAGTCACAGTCCCTGTTAAATTCAAGGTGTTTGAAGTCATTGTCTGTGTTTTTCTGTCTAACAAAACACTGGTATGTGCATTCCAGGTGCGAGACAACGCTACATTAGTCTTGTCCAGAGTGCTCCACACTCAGCAGAACTATGACCAGAACCAGGAAAACCACGAAGAGCGTAGGTGTCTCTTTATGCACATAAACACACTTGTTGAACCCAAACTAGCACAGCTCAGATGTGTACTTGAGAATATAATGCTTGCCTTTGTTTCTTTTCCCCAGGGCTTTTGTCAACATCCCCGCTCTCTTTTAACATGCTAATACATGTTGTTTTATGTATAGCGCTCTTTGAGATTATGCTGAAATAATACGCACTTTTATCTTTTCAGCCTTTTTATGTGCATTTCAGAATCGCTGATTGTTAAGCATTTCTACTTGGATATTCTCTCTGCATTCAGATTGAGTTGACAAACACCCTCCCATTTCTAATCATCTGAATATTTTCTGTAAGGGTGTGCATGAATAAATAAGGAGTAGAATTATTAGAAGTAAGTTTTGAAAAAGTGTTGTTTCTCCCTGGTAGGAAATGCTCTGCTGGACGACGACAAGGTGTTTCACTTGGTGAGGCCGGCAGACGAACTGGATGAGATCAAATCTAAACGAGGAAGCATAAAGGACAAGTCGATGACCAAAGCCATTACAGAGATCTATCTAACACGGCTCCTTTCTGTCAAGGTACAAAGACAGAATCATTTATTCAATCAGTCATTTGTTAAGGTACTTTTAGGCAAATAGCAATTTTTCTTTTCTAGGAGGTTAGGTTAAGGTAGGGACGGGAGAAGTGTAGAAAATGCTAAAATACTCTTTCCTTTCCAATCTTCCCTCACACTGGGTGCAGATAGCTACGTTTCAGGACTTTGATTATCTCTGACTCTGCTCTCTGTCTGCGCCCTGTCTCACATTATTTGTGGCACCTTTCAGGGAACACTGCAGCAGTTTGTGGATGACTTCTTCCGCAGCGTGCTGTGCTCTGGGGCAGTGGTGCCACCGGCTGTCAAATATTTCTTTGACTTCCTGGACGAACAGGCGCTGAAACACAACAATGTGGATGAGGAGACCATCCATATCTGGAAGACTAATAGGTAAAAGTACTGCAGGCCTGCGTACACTGACAGTCACTCTCAGAGTTCTTTTGTACGTGTTGTAAACCACAGTTGAATAACTACTCAGAGTCTTGACTTAAGTAATAGAACAATACAACAATGCAAAAATACTCAGTTACAACTAAAAGCTCTGCATTTAAAATCCTACTAAGTACAAAACTATTATCAGCAAGAAATCAGCAAGAAGAGCTTAAAGTATCGACAGTAAAAGAAAGATGACCCCTGTGACGTACATATTAGTATATATTCAGATATTTTGTTAATAATGCATCAATGCATAAGTCGCATTTTACTGTTGTAGCTGATCAAGGTGGAGCTAGTTTTAGCTATTTTATATACAGTTAGGTTGTCTAGTCCAGTGGTTCCCAGTCTAGAGGTCAGGCCACCCCTACAGGGTTACAAGATACATTTGAGGGGTTGTGAGATGATTAATAGGGTAAAAAAGAAGAAAAAACTAAGTTCTATTTATTTATTTTCTATCTCTAATATTTGCTTGTTTTGCTCTTTTCTTGAATATTGGATAATTTTACCTCTTTGTTATTGAAATTAAACCATGTGAGCAGTATAGCAGGGAAATCATTCTTTGAAACTGATAACAACTCAGACATATTAACTCATAGTTACAGCTTTTTTTGTTAATGATCTCAAGCCAAAAATAATGTGAACCGCGACTTTAATCTTTAACAATATATTGTATTTTAATCTGAAAAGTAACAAGTAGTCGAATGTAGGGGAGACAAATGTAGTGGAGTACAAGTATAAAGTAGCCTGAGATGCAATTACTCGAGTACAAATACCTCAGCTTTGTACTTGTGTAAATGTTCTCCCAGCACAGACACACACAAACACATACCTGAGTCTGACCAGCGCACAAATCTCCCTTCCTGAGATACAGTAACTCTCCAAGAAATAAAACTTACTTATCCAAGAAAGAGCTGAATACAAATGCACAATTCCAGCTCACTTAGTTTGCATTTGCAATCCCCCTGCTCCCATGTGACATTTAAGTGCATAAATTAGTGTCACGTCGGCTAAGGCTCAAGAATACAAGACGACGTGTTGCATGTAGATGCCAGTGATTGACGTAAGGCTAGCAAGAGAGCACCCACACAAGGATAGGAGATGAGCGATTTAATTACCTACTACATTCCACACCACATTCTGCATCCACCCGTTCTGTTTATCAAATCAAGTGAGGGCCATGTATTAAATATGAATGTGTGTATGAGGCATAACAACAAACAAACATGGTAATTATGTCCCAAGCTAATTTAATTCTGTGATTATAGCAACATTGCTATTTTTATGCTTCCATTGTATCCTCTCCGCAGCCTTCCCGGGAGATATTACCAAACCAGTATGAATTTTACACGGTGTGCGTTTCATGTCTCAGACGGCGGGGCATTCACACCGATCAGTGAGGAGAGGTTTTTTTTGGAAACTACTGTATTTTGGGGCTTTCTTTTGAATTCACAAGCTGCCATGAGGTTAGACAGATGCGCACTGAGCTTGTGTTTCCCTGTTCAGAAGGGAAATTAGCGCAGTACTCTCGCATTACATTATGTCGTCAGTGCTTCAGGTCGTTGAACTGCACGGGAACATAAAAGGTCAAAGTTTTGCTGTTACTTTAGCATTTCTAATCACTATTCGTTATAGTCGAGTGGACGGGCATCATTGACCTGCTCAGTGTATGTTTGAAAAAGTTCTCAGGTTATTTTCTTTGTTGTTTTCAATGAGCAGCAATAATTCTCACAGAGGTCAGTATCACATGAAATAGAAATACAAACTGACAGTCGAGGGTATTGCTCTGAATAAACTGACACCTACAAGAAAGGCTTTTCTCTATCCCTGTTATTATCTTGTACTTGCGTCAATTGCACCTCAGGCAAGTGCTCTCACACATGAAATGCCTACCTGACTCAAATAGATTCATAGATGTTATGTGGTTGATGAGATTTTTCTCCATTCTGAAGCAACAATAATGATAACAGCCCCATTGATGGACCGTTTTCTTGGCCTTCTTGTTGCCATGCAGCCTTCCTCTGCGGTTCTGGGTGAACATCCTCAAGAATCCCCACTTCATCTTCGACGTCCACGTGTCTGAAGTGGTGGACGCCTCGCTCTCTGTCATCGCCCAGACCTTCATGGATGCCTGCACCAAGAGCGAGCACAAACTCAGCCGGGTGAGTGGAATCAAGTTGAGAACATGGTGGATTACATGAGAAGTAAAAAGGTGTTAGAAGAGGAATGTCAAATGTTGTTTAACGTAAAGTGCCATTGTTTTCACGGTTGTATCCACTTCTTGTCTCTAGGACTCTCCAAGTAACAAACTACTCTATGCAAAGGAGATCTCCACCTACAAGAAGATGGTAGATGAGTAAGTCCTGACTGCACTGTCATGAGCTGTTGTTTTTTTCATGTCAGCTGAAAATACTTCATTGTAAAAGATTTGTCAGTGATAATTACATGATCTGCCTCTACCTCTTGCTTCGTGTGTGTCTGTGTCTGTGTGTGTGTGTGTAGTTACTACAAGGGCATCAGGCAGATGGTACCTGTCAGTGACCAAGACATGAACACTCATCTGGCAGAGGTGTCACGGGTGAGACATACAGCTGTCATTTTCTGTGCCATTTAGTTTAACCTGCCATTAAAGCTACACATCCTTAAGATTTCACTCCTGGTTGATTTGGTGACAGCTGTGGTTACCGCGGTAGCAGCAATTGCGGCTTAGTAGACTGCATTCATTTTCAGTTTTAAGCTGCAGATTGTGTCATCAGTTTTCCCAATATCAAAATCACTTGTCCCCACCGGACACACCATAGCACAATTTTAAGCTTGTTGACTTGTGCCCAAAAGCACCCTGGGAGTTGCAGTTAACTCCTACCTTGAAGTTTCTATGTCCACAGGCTATTCCTTTGAATCCCTCTGTCATGTGAAGGCAATTTGAATTCATTGCAGGAATGGCAAACCTCACCACTAACAATAAAAATACTATATAGAGAGGTTCATTACTGAGTGGGAATGCATTAACCTTTTATTAAATGCTCTGATTTTTGTCCACAAGCCTGAAAATAATGTACACAAAATAGAAAGGTTGCTGTTCCTTTTGATTACAGTCATAACCCTGGTCCTCTTTGAAAGGTAACTCTTTAAACTTCACAACCAAAAAGTCAGAATGGGATACTGAACCAAAGTTGAGGCACAGGCATAGTAGAAATGTGCCTCGTCTATTTTAGTTGGCATAAAAAAGGGAATAAAAAGCCTGTAGTAGCACTTTTTATGTGGAAAACACTTTGGAGCCATACCCACTTCGGAGCCTAAGTCTGAACCAATTCTGTCTCAACAGCTGTTGCAGTGAGGTGGGGATCCTAAAATGCTCTGCACTGATAGAATCAGGAGACTTAGAGCTTTCAACCAGTGTTTAATTTGTCAAGGTTGTGTGAACACTGAGTCCAGTACAGACCAAAACACACCTGAAGTACCAAGGCTAAAGCCCATGGGTGGGAAAGAAGATTTTAAAAGGTTAAATGGAAAAATGCTGACAATAAACAGGATATGATTTCATGAAATCTTAAGGATTATGACTTTAATGTCTGACGGTTAAAAATCACAGCCTCTTTGATTTGCAGATTTATTTTTTAAACCTGGAAACAAGAAGCCAAATGTTCATTCAATTCTCTGCAGTTCTGCCGTTTTGCAGTTTTTTTTCTTTCTAATTGAATTAACCTTTAAACTGTCATTTCTGTTCTCCAGTCTCATACAGACAAGCTGAACACACAAGTGGCTCTCCATCAGCTTTACCAGTATGCCAGCAAATACTATGATGGGGTAAGAGGCCCTTCTCTTTCCTATCGCACCCAAAGGAGGCTATTCCACTGAATGCACTACTGCCCACTATATTATTGCTTTTCCTTTTTTCTCTCTTCACTCTTGATATGCCAGAAGAGTGATTGTATGAAATTTTAATTGAAAGCATTTCTGTGGGATGTGAATTGGAAAATTGCTCTGGGAATTGATTTTTAAGCGTCCATTGTGCATTGCCACTTGAGGTCACGAAAAGGGGATAAACAAAACCTAATGAACAAGTTGGATAAACAAATGGGGCTGTCAGTCTCCCCTAAGTGGGGCTCACAAACAATAACAGCTTATATGACGTGACTGTTGATGTCAAATAATACCATCCTCTCCTCCCACTCTCCACCCCGTTTCTTCCTCTTTGTCCTGCGCTAATTCACCCCCATCCTCCCTCCCCTTGTTTCTTCGCTTTTCCAACATTCTTCCTTTGCCCCGCTCCGCCAAATCATTCCCCGTCTTTCTCTCTGCTTATTGTTTCCTACCTCTCCCTCATTCTCCTCCGTTTCTGTCCTCCTCACCTTCCTCCCCCTTGCAGATCATCACATCCCTAGACGAGGACCCAGCTGCCCAGAGTAAACAGCTGACCCTGCGGCTCCAGCAAATAGCAGCCGCCCTGGAACACAAAGTGACTGATCTCTAACCCACCGAGTGGAGGGAGGGAGGGGAATAGTAGGATGCTGCCAGTGACTACAGGGGCTTATTTCTTCTTTTTAGAGAATAAGACATGGAAATATAGAAAGATGAGAAGGGAATCATGTAGGTGTCTATATTGTGCAACTTGGCCCTGGGACAATTTTCTGTACTGTGGATTAACAGGGACTAATGAAAATGCAGATAAAGAGCGAATAGGGGAAGAAAATGATGGGTTACACTGTCATAGGTACGCCTTAAAGCTCCCTTGCCAAACCTTAAAGGTCTGCGCTCTCACTCATGCTTCACTGACTATTGCTCCCACAATGCAGTGCGGCAAACCTCTCTCTAAGAAATAAGCCCCTCTGTGGAGCACTGGCACAGGAGATAATCAGATGTTCAATTTCTTTCTGTGTAGAAGAGGTTTTAAGAATTGTATTATATATTTTTTTTATTGTGCAGTCTTTATGCGGAAAGCTTTATAAGGAAAAAAAATTATCTTTTTAAATGGATCACCTTGTGGTGTGGATAGTGTTTTTATTAGCCTGTGTGTGCGTAGATGTCTGTGTGAAGTACAACATGTGAACAAGAGCGTGCGTTGCTAAACTTGAGTGTGTGTTCACCCGGATTGTAAGTGTGTGAGTGTGTGGGAATGTGTGTGCACACACAGGATGCCTACTGTCAGGCGTGAGGGCGAAAGGACGCCTGCTTTCTGTCATTTTGATCCCCCCTATACCCAGTGACACACTGGAGCCTGTGCTCTGACCGAGCTTTTTGACAGAGACCAAAGGGTCCCCACAAGGACACTGGTTAATCTAGCAATGTACAGGCTCATATGACTGACAGGTCACATGTAGTTTCAGAAACGTTTGAGTTAAACTCTTTGCTTTTGGCTCAGATTGCCATTTGTGCTTACGGAAATCAGTAATAGCACAGTCTGTCTCCCTTTATTGTACAGTGCCATGATACATTCCACTTCAACTAAAGCACAGAGGGGAAATTTTTAAAGACATTTCAAATTATGACTGTTTTCTTTGCTACAAAATGTTCTTTTTTTTAAGTGTCAGCAAGAAGCAACTCTATTCTGCCATGGAGCCATGTCACTCATATTAGCCCTGCAATAATGTCAGAATACCATGAGCCACATTCAACTGTTGCATTAGCTTACTAAATGTATTATTCACATACAGTAGCAATTCAGCAATATGTTAGACATTTTTCCAAATTGAGTCATGCATCGTTAGTGTTCACGATTTTAGTGCCATTTTTTTTTTTTTTTAGTATTACCCTTATGATGTTCCAAATAATCACCAAGCATTCTGCCTCTAAAGCTATGAAATAGCCTATTGCATATGATGTTAATGATCTGCCAGAAATGTAGTTGGTACTTTAATGGAATGTTCTGAACAAATTACAGTGGTTTTAGCCTGTGTATGATGTTGGGGAGGTCAGGTTCAATCATGTACATAATTGTTATAGTAATTGGAATATTGATATGTCAGTGTCAGAGCCGAGGTGTCAACAGGGTAGGAATGAGGGTTTGATATTTCTTGGGCCATTAAACGCCACCATGTTTTATCCCTAAATTGTAGGTTCTGCTGTTGACAGATGATTTAATTGTACTCCCTGTATCTGATCATGGATGTGTGTAGTTGACAGAGCATAACGAGCTCCAGAGACCCCAGAATGTTAACGATTCCTGCCTTGGCTAGAGAGAGGTTTGCACAGACCTCAAGCCTGCCTGCCTGCCTGCCTGCCATCTCAGCGTGGCACCCTGGCATCCCGACCAACAGCACTTGGCACTGCCCACTCAGCGCAGTGCAGAGTGGCACTCTGTATAATGGAATCAGCAGGGGAGGCTTTTGATCTTAATTGCATGCCGACTGCAGACTCCATTCTTGTCTCCACTGTTGTTTACTGCTGACTCCTCTCTCACTGACAGAGTCGATGCAAGACGCTTCTTTCAGAGCCTTTCTTTAACCAAAAATGTGCCTTATCGAATAGGATGATACATATATATATTGTTTCTAAATTATTCTAATGGTAACCTAGGTGATTATGATGATGATAGTGCTATAGACACAGCAATGTATTTGGACTCGTGATATTATGTGTGCTGTCTAAAATGCTAGATGCCCTGCTGCAGCCAGTTGCGTGCCAATAGGCTGAAGACATTTCAGTATGATTTCTTTAATGGTTGCAGTTTCGATGTGTGCATTTCCTTTGGGTGTCTGTGGTGTGTGCTTAGTAGGACTTTGGTGGCGAAGGCAAAAAGCCAAAATGAATAAATGTAAAACAGTGGCCAATGTGATTTGGGTTCAAAAATGTCTGGCATTCCTAAATTAGTCTGAAGTCAAAGGGTATCCTTATGTAGATTGAATATAGCGCAAAATTGTGTTAATTTTGGTGTTAATTTTTTTGCCCTGTGTTTCTAAGCTATTCCACGATGTGTACGAAAAATGACTATCTATACTCGACAAATGACCTTTCTTACTGCTGTGCAGTTATTATTTTTATTTCTTGTTTCCTATACCATATAAATCTTTGTAAACAATGTTGAAATACTGTATTCTAACTGTATAATCCTATGCATTGAGTCCTGGGACAAAAAAAAACAAAAGCGAAAAAAAAAAAAACACTGTTTGTGCAGTTGTCGAGACTTTTTCCATTTTGAAACTTGTGAATGTGCCGTAATGATAAAAGAAACTGGGACACTCCATTTTCAGTACAGGACCATTTAATGGAAGCCAATGTTTTCCTCCCCATCCAAGGCAGCTCAGAAGATTCTCGATCTTGCACCTGATCTGGTTGTACTGGATGAACTTAATTATACAAAGGTTGTGTTTGGACGGAGCAGTTACCCACAGGTTTCATCATACACTCCTCCGTGAATAAACTCAGAGACATATACGCCCTTCATATCTGCTGTGTTTCTTTCACTTTTAGAATATTGATTTGCTTCAATTGAATACTCACCTCCCATGCATACTGCATGAGTTACAATCACCTTGGGTGACAGGGTAACACTTGCCACAGGTTGTCAATTCCTTGTTGAGGTGAATGGAATATTTGCTGTAAGACTGGTATTTATACAGCTCATTAGAAAACCCTAGATTCACTGAAGAGCTTATACACACGAAGGAGTAATAGGTGAATTTATCAAAATTATCTCTTATTCAAACCAACCAATCACTTTATGAAAGGGAGGGCCAAGTGCTTGAACCTCACAGTCTTTTCTTCTTATCACAGATATTCTTGCATATTATGACCCCAAATGACTTCCTTGATAGCATCAGTCTCCTTATGCAGCACAGCCTATGATGGCGGACGCTTTTTTTTTCTTTTCCAAATGCCACATCAGGTTCCTGTCACAAGGCACAGAATACCAACGAGAAGCCAAGGTCTGGCTTCATGAAATGAGTTGATAATGTAAATAGCCGCGCAGCATCTCTGTCACCGGCAGTGAAGGTTGAAAAATTGCTGCGAAAACATTAATTAAGTACTGACAGCTATGAATGAAATTGGAAAAAAGAAAGATGAAAGGCAAAATTGCCTCATCTGACTGCTTAACTAACCCCGACGCAGGGGTGGAGATATCAAAGACAGACCAGAGGCCTGCACATGCCATCTTCTAACTGAGCAGATCATTGATGCAGCAACAGATAGAGCAACTTCAAGGGCTGCTGCCAAAGCAAGAGTGATTACACTAGATTATCGCAAGCACTGCATCTTGTACACTATCCTTGATCACTGGTGGAAAATCAAAGGCAAATACTGTACTTTATATTTCTATTACAATGTTCAGCTTACATCATTTTGAGAGTCAACATTATTTGCCATGCAATGCACTTGTGATAAGATTTCAAAATAACCGTGCCCTACGATGTCTAGAAATCAATGATACTGCACACTAAGAGTAATTATTTCAAGTCAGCCTCTTTGCAGGGTTTTCTTACAAGAAATTGGGTTAAAATCTGCATGTTGCTGGCTTGTGTTCTTCTGCCTGGGATGCTTCACACACAGCAGCCAGCCTCTTCTTCAAAAGGAGGTAGTCGTGTTTACCAGCAGGTTGTATTTCACCTCCACATGTTTCAAACCTTCTAATGAGATTTGGCTTTGATTTCCTCTGCCTTAGGGGAAGAGGAGGAGGAGGAGGAGAACTTGGTGAAAATAAAAACAATGATGGTGTGGTGTCATTTTAAACAGTTGTTCTGATGAATAATGTAAAAACCAAACAACTGATGCCAGGGATCTCTAGGCCCCGGCATCAGAGATCATTTTAGACCATATTAGAATATCCAGTTTGGTTGGTTTGCATTTTAACACACCTGCATCATTTTAGAGTTTGAATTGAAGCTCTTTTAAACCAGAGCGAGCCAGGATATATCGGCAGGCAGTTATATCTGCCATCTTTACGAGTGAGTTAAATGGGCTGAGAGGTGAGTCCAAGGCTGACGTGTCTAGAAAAAAAAGAAACTGTTCAGTGGGAGGTGTAGAGTTACAAGCCACAAATACACAACCACAAATATTTAAATGATAGAAAACCATATCTGCGTGTAATGATGTGCACGAAAGTTATTTTCAAAGACAACATATTTGTGCGCTTTGGCTACAGCTTTGAGTTAGGCACCTGTAGTTCAATAAAATTGTCTCCACCATTGCTCTATAGTCTCTCTTTTTATTTCCTTAAGTTACATTTATTTATTTAATCTGGTTAAAATGTGGTTAAAATCTGCATATTGCACAAGAATAAACATGTACAGCATAACAAACAAGGTAATTCACAATTTACATGCACAAAACTGTGGCTCCACATTAAATATAATAATTTAATCTTAAATTTAAGTCTTAATTTAGTTTTAAAAAGGATTGATGTTTAATGTTTTGAAAATATTATAAAAGAAACTGATTTTAATTTGAATGCTTTTTGTTATTTATTCTCAAAGAGATAGTATTTGAGGCCATTTCTTCCAAATTCATTTTGAACATAAATTGTCCAATATAATAAATGGGGATTTACATGCCCTTTTTCAACTAGTAGTCATATATGATCATACTCCCTATAGTAACCCTGTTGTGTCCTCAGAGGAAATGTTATTTGATGATTTTCTAAGTTAAAAATGTCTTTTTGATTTAGCCATGACCACACCATGAGGATGGCTCCTACTACAAATGATTTCACTCTATGAATGCACTCTATGCAGGCCACCTGTTTTGTAAGATCTTGGTGCTGTGGGGTGATGCTGTATGAATAAAGAATAGGTTCAGACTTTATTCAAATGTGTCTCATTCCCAGGTACACTGAAAGAGTTATTGTTTACACTTTGATCTCCTCCTGTCCATACTGGCCCTGAAGAGATACCTTCCTAACACAAGAGGTGGGGGATAAAATCCACTTAGCCTGAACTAAAAACGACTGCAAATTGGGAAGATTCCCACTTGATTTCATTTGCCACTGATCCCTCAACCCAACACTGAAATGCATTTTTGCTCAAAGCTGCTGACACCCCACCCCCACTCCCACCCCCATCAATTACAGTTTAACTTGAAAAAAGTCGAATCTACCCTTCAATTTCATGAATCAAACCAGTGCGTAATTACGCAAAGCGCACTGCTGGATACGGACTAGAGAGCTGTCATCCCTACCTGCTGCTACAGGGGTGATTACATATGTTTATCCAGCGGAAAAAAGAATGACATTACTCTACAGGCCCACCAAACATATGCAGCCTTCAAAGGATGTGGCCCCTAAATTGAGACCGTACACAGCTACAGTCTTGTAATCCTTCTTTCTTTTTGTTTGTAGCCCTTCCAGCTGCAAATGTATCCATGAGTCTTTAAATCCCGCCTTTCTCAATATTCTGACGCTGCGTTCAATGCCCATGGGATCGACGATGTCATGCAACTGAATGCGATTGAGTCCTGCAATTTCTGGCTATTTTTGTTGATTGATTTGCTTAATTAAAGCGACCAAATACGCTACAAGTCCTAAAAGTTCTACAACTAGCTAGTGCTACTGCGTATGTCCTGAAATGACATTTTGAAATGTACGATCCTCAAATACAGAAATCGTTCTTTTTGCTTACTTAAAATGAAGTTAAAACATAATACATAAAGCATAAAAGATTCCCTCTGATGTCCTTAAGTGACATATGTACCATTAAAACTGCCATAAACTGTATGAAGGTTGTATTTACATGTTTTCCTTTATCACTTGAATGCAGCAATACGCGGTGGCAAATAACAGTTTTACAATCCTGTGATTGACTAACATGACTGACCAACCAGCGTGGCTGCTACAACATCCTCAACCAATCGCCGCATGCAAAATATTCTATTGTCCAATCACATTTAAGGGGGCAGATTCCAATTTTGTTGTAGCCCCGCGGTAGATGATTCGACTAGCTAGCCTTTAGCTAGTGATGACAACATCACTGCATATTAGCTGGCACTAATATGATGGGACAAGAAACAACGAGATAATAAGGACACTCTTGGAGCTGCTTAAAGTGTCCACTCACTGGTTTCTGTATGCTTGGCACATAAACCAAACAGGATCCAGGAGTAGCTCGCTAATAACAACCGTTAGCATGCACGGGAAGGAGTCGCCTGGGCTGGATGCAAGACTGGAACTGTCACCTCAATGAACTGATAACACACCATCTCGAGAGGGTAAATCATATCAAAAGACATTGTTTTATCTCGGCATTGAGCTAGTTAAATGTGTAGTTTAATATTGTAAACGTTAGCTAACATAGCTAAATGTGGGCTTAGCTAGTTGTCGTTAGCTGGCTCTGGTGCAGTTTGCTTACCAAAACTAATGTGGTAAAAGGTCTGACGTAGTGGTTTTTGGTTGGATTGTCAACATGTCTGGTTTCTGATGTCTAAAGTTTACACTTATCAAAGTCTAGCTAAACGCTTTCTATTATTATACTGGCAGCTGTGCACTGTATTTCCCACAACTGTACTGACCAACACAATTTTGTTTCACTTATAGACTGAGGCAACAGTAGGACCATGTACTCGAGCCCTAATAACACCATGAAGTCCAGCTGCAGCAGCAGCAGCAGCAGCATCACTGAGTTGCTGGGTGCCCTGTGTGACTGCAGCCTGTCTGGTGTGTCATGGAAGCGCAGAGCCCTGGGTGGAGTCTCAAGAGAAGGTTTCCGCAGAGCTCTCAAGAAGCGTGCATACGGTGCCCTACTGTCCAAACTATTTCAAGATGGCACCAAGGGGTCAGCCTCAGGACCGAGTACCTCAGCTAGTACGCCGCCCAGAAACAAGGTCCTGATGATTTGTTTTGACTTGCGGGTGGCAGGGTGCAGAGAGGAAGCAGAGAGGTTGGAGGAGCAGCTGGAGAGGCTGCCGGAGGGAGCATCCTCTTGCCTCAAGGAAGTAGACGCAGTCCTTGAGCTGCTTGTGCACCTAGCTGGTTCAGCACCTCCACCCCCTACCTCTTTCAGCAGGGACTACATGAGACGAGAGCGGCCCGTGCTGCGGAGGCCACGACCTTGGGGCTACCAGAGTGAGGAGCTGCAAAGACTAGAGGCCCGGGCGTGGGGGCTAGTGTGTGGGGAGGAATGGGGGACTTTGGAGAGTTTGTGTGGAACTCAGAGGTTGATGGATGCCCCTCCTGGTACAGGGCTGCTGGCTCTGAGAACTAAAATGGAGGCTGAAGAAAGGTTTGAGAAGGACACCAGGATGACACTGTTTGGAGCGCTGCAGCACACTCGCACTTCAGACATGGACATAAGACTGGACCTGCCTCCTATTCCTAGTAATATTGATGTAACTGGGCTGGCTATCAGGGTAGGACACTATGCCTTACTATAGTATCTAAGCTAATGCACAGTGTTTAGTTTAAGATTTTTTTGTCATTTGGCCATTTGGCCTGGTCAGTCGGAGAGTGGGTTTATATTTGAGCCATTGTTTCATCTAATTTTAAACCCCAGTGTTATACACTGTCATCATCCATCTTATTTATTGGGTGTCTATGCAGGTGCCCCCCTGTTTAGATCAGTCTGAAGATGAGGGCTTCCAGTCGGCCTCCAACCTGACCCCAGACTCTCAGTCAGAGCCCAGCTCCATTCCAGATGTTGATATATGGGAGGCTGTCCGCAATTTTGAGCCCGGAAGACGCCGATGTTGGGAGTCTGTTGGCTGGTAAGTGCCATGTCAGTTGTGCTATAGAAAGTTTTAAAGCAATTTTATCACAACAATGTCAAATTACTTTCCTGAGAAGATCTAACCCTCATGTAACCAATTCTGTAATTTGTTAAGGGCTGCATCCACCAACTGTTTTCATTGCTGGTCAACCTGTTTGTCCTTCTTGGATTAATTGATTTCACATTAAGTATGTAAAATGTTAAAATACCCATAACAGAGTAGAAAGTAATGTCATCAGCTTGTTTGTTTACAGCAGTCTAAAACCCAAAGATATTTAACAATCTAAAATAGAGAAAAACACCAAATTCTGGATCCAGTAGATGCTCTGATAAATTACTTAAATGATTGATGATGATGATTGAAATGAAACAATTATCAAAATATCAGTTGGTAATAAACCTGTTGATTGACTAGAACAGTGGTTCTCAAACTTTTTCACATAAAGGATAAGCTGACACAAATTAAACCATGGACCCCCATTTGATAAGATGTTGTTCCAGGGTCCACAATCTGGTAAGATTTTTGTTTTTAGATGTTTTATTACAGAAAGTGATTGAAACCTGGAGGTCCCTGGACCTCACTTTGAGAACCACTGGACTAGTAAATATGGTATGCAACAACACAAAGGCAAATTAAACAAAGCAGAAGATGCAGTTTAACAAGTAACATTCACATTCAGTATAAGAAGCCCACCTACATAGTCAGCGTTGTATTAGAGAGTTGTAGTTAGTTGTGTTTTCAGTTTGACTCTGCCTGTCTGGAACAAAACCCCAAATGTCACTCTGTTTCTACCACTAGCCCACCAGTGAAAAGGGAGTCTCTCTACCTAACAGAGAGAGGCAGGGAGGCCTTCGACCAGCTCTATCGTCTATGGGAGGGGGAGATGAGGGTGGTGAGCACTAGTACACCTTCTCCTATCCTCCCTCTGCCCCTGGACTCTCAGACACAACTGGTATCTGACCTCCTCAACGCCCTGATCGGAGTGGCGTCCACAACCTTCCCTCTTAACCAGGTCCATTTCATTATCATTATTTATCAGTCTCTGAAATGCAATAAAATGCAATTGATTTGTTGTTTTAGGGCTCTGTCAGACTGAAAAGATAAAAATGAATGAGGTAGTAAAAGCACTGTGACAGCACACAATTACCAAAAAACACTAGAGAAAAGGGAATCAGACAAAGAGAATCAATGGGCACTTTGTGCATGCCTGATAAAATAAACCCAGTTGATTTATAAAAGCACATGACATTGTAACAATGAAAAGAAAAATGGACAAAAAAGTGACAGTGTCAAGCATATACTCAAGTCATTCTCCTGACATGACACATTAAATGAGGAAGAAATAAATGAAAAGATTCCTAATGCCAGAAAACAAAACCACCAGGGAGCTCTTCTGCTGCTTTATTGTTTCCCATTAAGTTTTTATATTCGTGGAAGATTCTAGTTAGTTTTTACAACATAAATTGAATCCAAATTTCCTTGTTTACTCCCTTAGCCCTTTATGTTGTTTCTCTGGCGGATTTTTATCATTAACATGTAGGCTGGAGCAGGACATGGGCACATGTATTGTGGACACAATATCTTGAATCACCTTTACAGTCTAACGTAATCTAATACAATACTCATGCATGAAGTTCAATGTCTGTTGTGTCAAAACTTTGTTCAGATGGTCAGAGAAGTGTTTATTAAACTCAGAGGTAATCTTTGAGGCTGTGGTTTGCGGTGGTGTAAATTATTGTCTATGTTGTGTTTGTCCTCCCAGAAGAGTTCTGTCTATGAATTTTGTATCCAATTCTAATAAAAGAACCATGGGAAGGGCAAAATAACAAACACCTGATTATGTAATACAGTCTGATATAATAACACCACCAGCCATGCCCTCAGAAATCACCATGGAGGTGACTCCCTGACAGCCTCAACAGAAATTCAATAATATGAGCTTTACTAAGACAGTCTTTACTGCAGGGCTGTTTTATTGGATGTTATTAGACTGTACCGTTATTCATTGTATTTTCCTCACCATCTGTAAATATGTAATCTCCTTTCCAGAGTGTTCAGTTTGACGTCAGGCCTGGTGTGTGCGTGTCAGGAGCCTCTCCAGAGAGCGTGTCTCGTCTCCTGGGGGAGCTGGCCCAGTACGGCACCTACTACTTGAGGCTGAGTCGCTTTTCTCTGCAGAGTGCTGACAAGAAGGGCCTAGTCTTCCAGGTATGTTTGTGTAGTCATCATTTATACCACTGAGACAGCACATTTTACACCTCCTTTCTCCACATGTATTCTGCATGGGAGAGTTTTTTTTGTTTTGGGTTTTTTTTTTTACCAGTGTTGGGGTCATCAGTTATTCGTTTGCAAATACAAATACACATAACAATTCCTTCACACACATGTATAAATAATTTAAAAAATGTGATACTGAAAGAAAAGAGATGGAATACACAAGGGTAAATGGCAGTGGTAAATCCCTAGCTGATCCTCAATATCAAACACCATAAAGGCACATTAAAGGATAGGAGGTTCGCAAATTTTTCAAGTCTGTCTTAAACTGTAGGCAAATCAGGTAACCATATGAATTTCCCCTAGGAGATAAATAAAGTATGTATCTATCTATCTATATGCACACAGATACACAGATTTTGCTTTCTGGAATCATTCCTCTTTATACTTGGCAGCAAGAAATCCGCTCTTATTGCAATTACAGTGTAAGTGATTGGAAACTAAATCCACAGTCCTTGTTGTGTTTACAAATACATTAAAAAATGTAATCTGAAGTTAATATGAGACAACAGCAATCTGAGTTAAAGTGGATATCTTCCAGGGATTCAGTATTTTTAATACACAATTAACTTTCTGTTTCTCTCAACTGTGTTTCTTGTTGAGCAGAACAGGAGGGATAGTTATGCTAAAAGCACTGTAACTTTGGAAGATTTCCACTTTATTTGACCAAATCACACTGAATACATTTTTGGAGTGAGGACTGTCCCCCCTTATCACTTACATTGGAAATTCATTAAGAGGGGATCAGTATGAACAGCAGGAATGTTTACACGAAGAAGAAAAAGTTGTTTAATCGCTCATATTTGAAATCAGATCTGATCTGTTTTAAAATTGTGAACTTCTTATTTAAGTAAAAAATGCACAATATGTTGGGAAAAATGCATGTATCAATGTATGCACAAGGTAAACTGAGCATTTCAGAGGTTTTACACCCACACAGATCATAACATTTTTTAAGTAGTGTTTCTCTCCAAGGCTTTTACAGGTGGTCTGAGGAAGTATCTGCATTACTACAGAGCTTGTGTTCTCAGCACTCCACCCACCCTTAGCCTGTTGACTATCGGCTTCCTCTTTCGCAAAGTAGGCCGCCAACTCAGGTGAGGTCAACTCCTTTTTTTTTTCTTCTCTCTTTTTTTTTTTTTTTTTTTTTTGCTGATGTCTGTGCCTTGTTCATTTCATACTTCTGAAGCTCGGCCTCACCCAGTCGACAGCCCAGTCATGTCCTGACAGAGAGGACCTTGATGCAAATATCATCAATTCAAAAAATCTCTGCTTTCTTTTAATCTAAGGTACCTGTCAGAACTGTGCTGTGTAGATGGGCCTTTGGGTGCAGGCCAGGCTACCTTCCCTGTGGTGAGTGCTCTTTTATCTGCAAACTGCAATATGTCATCCATCATGGCTGTGTTTAGCCTATCAGATGGGATGTCAGCTCAGTGCCATGTGGCTCTCCTCAGGGTGTTAAACTGCTGTCCTACCTGTACAATGAAGCACAGAATAACTGCAGCAACGAGAACTACCCGGTCCTGCTGTCACTGCTGAAGAGCAGCTGCGAACCTTATACACGGTCAGTCACTGTGCTCCTCATACAGACATGTATCCTGAAAAGGAAATAATACAACCCAAGGACATGACTTTCTGTCAATGATATGTGGACCTTGCCGTATTGATCTGTCAGGATTGTGTCTTTGTTTTTACTGTGCTTCTCTTAGGTTTGTGTCTGACTGGGTGTACAGTGGTGTGTTTCGCGATGTTTATGGAGAATTCATGATCCAGGTCAATGAGGAGTACCTTAGTTTCAGAGGTGAGACAACACACACACAAAAACATTTCGTGCTGTTGCATAAACACTTTGGCTTCAGTCAGCAGGTTCTGAAAATGAAAAGCCTGGCAGACAGATTGTCTAGCAGAAAAAAGATAGATTTCATTACAGCCTTTATTGCCTAGTTGCATTTGTCCTTGTGTCTATAAAGGATGTCATGAAGTTATTGGATGATAATCAGTGGGAAACAGAATTCAGCTACCCCAGCTGTGGTAGCTGTAGAGCCACCTCCGCTCAGGAAGCCACAGAGACACACGAGTAAATGCTGTTCCTTTATCCTTTTCAGTTGATACACCATATGGGGTAAAACAAAACATCTTCTGAAATAAATGTTTTTTTTTTTCTTACATTTCATCTCTTGTAATTGTCCTTGACAAATCTAAACTGGCTGAATATTTATTTATTTTTTTCAGTACAATTAATGAATTAACTTGACTCCTTAGGGAGAGCACAAGAGTGAAGTAAGGACAGGAGGAGATGAGGCTTACAGGGCAGATAAATAAAGACCCATCTGTACTCTACAGGAACTGGCTGACTGACTTCCTGTGTGTGTTGGTTATTTTTGCCTTGGTCATGCTGCTCTTCAATGCCATGCCCTATTTCATGTCTACAATAGCTTTTCATTATCAAGACAACATTTTTATAGATTTTTATATTTACTATTTGATATGAAGACAGCTCAGGTCAAACTGCAACTAACCATTATTTTTTATTATCAGTTAAACTGCTGATTATTTTTTCAATCTTACAGATAAATCATTTGGTTGAAAAAAGAACAGAAAACAAACACAAAAAAAAAATCCATCATAATATCTGTCTTGTTTGTTTGTAACTGTCTTGTTTTGTTCACCAGTCCAAAAATCCAAAAAATGATTACATTACTACAATATAAAACCAAGATTTATGAGCCACCAAATATTTGCTGTTTTTACTGGAAAAATTACTTAAACAATTAATTAATTAAAACAATTATTTTTTTTTTTATTTACTTATCGTTGCAGCTTTAGTTGCAATAATAAAACAGTAGCGCACAAACATTCAACCCCAGCAATAAGACAAGTAAAGTTTTAGATTTAGTATCCTCGGTTGTGCCCAACATTAGCTGGTAGCAACTTTTCAAATGTGAGGATTTGATGTTTGTTTATTTCATATTATGGTAAATATCTTTTAGTTTTACACTTTTGGTCAGACACAATAATATTTGAAAATATCACCTTGGTGACCCTGGAAATATTTCACTATGCTGTAAAATTTTACAGGCAAAATGATGAATTGAGAAAGTCATTGGCTGATCAATTGATAGTGAAAATGTTTTTTAGCTGCAGCCTTTTTATTAGAGAATTGTTTATAAGTAAAGAATAATCTTGTTGACACCATGTTTCCCTAACGAGCACACACTGTAATTGCTTCATTCTGACATTACTCCATAAATATGGTTTTGTATGAGTCATTATAGCCTTTCCAAATACTGTATGTCATGCAACACCCCATCAAGGTCAGACCATCACCTCGGCTTTGTCTGGCTAAGAGGTTCATTTGCTCATCGGCTACACCTCATCAACTCCTGCAGTGAACCTCTGCACTTCTCGCGCCTGCTTTTTGGAGGACACACAAATGTCATTGTTCTCTTTGAAGTCCGTCAGCCAGGGAGGCAATCAGTGGCTAAGCTTTCTTGGCAAGCCGCAGGCTTCCTGTAAAGAGCTCTGGAAGCTCAGTGCATTCATGTTCTCTTATGCTTTTTGCTTAGGATCACTGAGCTAAGCGCTAACAATTTCCAAGTGTTAATTCAAGCAGCCCAAGTTTTGCCATGCCCCGTAAGTCATACTAATAAGGAAAAGTTTTAGGCCCAGCGCAGGCTGGGCAATACTCCGCTGCTGTTAGTTTTTGTACTTCTGTTGTGAGAGAGTTGTTCTGTTAACAAAGGCATAATGGGCCAGTAAAATGACTTGGTCTTATTTTTAGAGCAGTGTGTAATAGGCCTCCTTGTATTTCTACAGACAAACACTTCTGGGTTCAAGGCTACACTCTGATCTCAAAGGATGTGGAGGATTGTGTTCCCATCTTCCTGAGACACATCGCCAATGATGTGTATGTCTGTGGAAAGACCATCAACCTCCTCAAGATCTGCTGCCCACAGGTTTGTTGTGCACATTTATATATGTTGTTTAGGTAAATATGGCCTAAATTATCGTATTGACTGTTTTTTGTAACAAATAAGCATATAAAGTGATAATCCTTAAGATTTCCCTTCCATATTTGATCAGTTTTTATTTTTACTGTCATCAACCATTACTGTATTGGCTCGGAGATGCACAGATTGGCTCTGATATCGACAAAATCCACACGTTTGCCACAAATTATCCACCTGCCACAACAATGATTCTACCTATTTGGAAATCCATTCTACCCGCAAGGGGTAGGACAAATAATCAATACTGCCACATAGGTGGACGGCCTCCTGCAAAACATTATCAATATATTATCATCGGTATTGTGATACAATCTCTTGTGGTATTGAGGCAGAGGTGTTCCCATCATTTATTGCAGCCATTTGAACTCTGAACCGTTCTGCTTTCTGTCCATGCAGGACTTATTCCAGTTTGACTCCTGCTTTGTAAAATACTAATATTGATATTTTGTGTATATTTTCCTCCTTTGCGACGGAGCTATCATGATGTATCTAGGGGTGAAATGATTAATCAATCAGGCGATCTAGCTATTTCAATAATCAAATAACCGTTGGAAGTAATTTGTCATGTAAAAATGCCATTCGTTAGTTCCACTTTTGAAAATGTGAAGATTAGCTGCTTTTCTCTGTTTGCCTCATGTATACTGAATATTTTTGTGTTGTGGACTGATGGTCAAATGAAACTGACTTTCGCCAGTGAAACAACTTTTCCATCTTGGACTTTAAAAATCTATGGTCAGCATTTTTATGGACAAATTGAATAAAAGATTGATCAAAAAAACAAAATTCCAGATGAATGGCTGATAAAATGAATCACTGGTTACAGCAGTACATGTATGAGCTGATAACAGCGCTGCAACTTAAGCATTACTTTTTTTTTTTTAATTAAAATTATTTGGTCTATAAAACATCAGAAAATAATGAGAAATGTAGAAAGATTTTCAGTTTGGTATCATGTTAGACAAGGAAAAGCAGCACAGTGTCCATCACATTTTTTGGCATTTTTTCTCAAAAATGAAGTAATCAAAATTACTTAAATGACTAATTGATTATAGTTTGTTATGAATGTTCTTTTGATTTACTAGTCGTTTAACCAGCGATTTGTTTCAGATCTAGATGATATTCTATCAATATGTAGCAAATATCACAATTGCCTGTATGATGATGTCATTGTGCACTAAATATTGTCAGTGTGTCAGAGTCGGCCTGTGATTTCCAGCACCTGTATACAACCCTAGGCATCAGAGTTATACATGTATATGAAAGGACCCCTCACTGTGCACAATGGCAGTAAACTAAGCAAATGTAAAGCTTCAGTGAAGCATCTAAGTTTTTATGTAATCTAATTGTATTTAATTTTTTCACTTCACCGTGACTCACCTGCTGATTCACCAGCGCATGATGTTTTTTATGACTTGACCTATCTGACCTAAACCGCAGGGCCCATGCTTCTGACTAATTGGCTTTCTCTTAACTACGACTCTGTTTCTCTGTATGCTAATTTCCTTTATTGCTGGGTCCTGCTGTTCTCAGAGAGACTGCAGAATGGCTGGTATGAATACATGTGAAATTATGGATTGAAAAATGTGACTTGATGACATGGTGGGATGTGGCTGGTGATGTTTTATATAGCTTTTAGCAAAATTGAACATTTACGTGTAAAACAACACCACATAAAGAAATACAGAGCATCTAATCTAACAAATGGAGCCAAAAAAAAACAAGAGAAAGTAAAGATCAAAGTAAACATTTTAAATAGTTTTAATTACAATAATACAAGTATTAATTCAATGGGAATATATGTTTTATATTGTAGCATTGTAACATGTTTTATATTGTGATAAAACATAATTACATGATAAGATTAGACTCACAGAGGCACAGTGAGTGTGGTTAAGATGAATGTTTCTCATACAATCAAAACAAGGTTTCCATATATTCAAGGTTTTTCTAAAAGGTTTTACTCTTGTAAAAACCAGTACATAATTTCCTCTAGTGGTATGTAATTATTCATTTCTGCAGTCTGGGCTCCAGGGTCTTCAGATTTCCATTTTAGTCTTACACATTATTTGGTAATGATTAATAAGATCCTGTAAATTTAACTGCATATTAATGCCATGCAAATGTGATGTGATATTACATATTAGATTGTTTTTAGATTTAACGGTGTATTTTGAAGCAAGACCAAGTAGAATGTATGAATGTGCCATCTCGATGTAAAGCTGATGGAGAGAATGTAACTGAGTGAATCTAAACCTTGAATTCAAAGCAGATGTAACCTTGTCTCTTCACGGGTCACTCCGTAGCGTCTCATTCATATTTATTCCCAAGTCTCTCTGCCATCTCATCCTAGATTCATTGTTAGTTTGTTATTGGGTGCATCTGTAGACACATGTTACGCTTTCAGACAGCTGGCAGCACATATTTTGTTATGACAGGAACTTTGTGGTTGGTGTTATCAAACATCCACCAAATGAGACAGGCATCAGGATTAACTGCCACTTACAGTGGCAAGAAAAAGTAAGTGAACCCAGTGAAATTACCTGCATTTAGGTATTAATATGTCTTTAAATATGGTCAGAGCTTCACCTAAGTTACAATAATGAGCAATCGGTTTTAATTAATTACATACAAATCATTGTATTGTTCTTGTCCATACTGAATAGATCGTTTAAACATGAGCCCCTCAGCTAACTGGAGTCAAAAATCGAGTCCAATCAATGAAACACGATTGGAGGTGTGTGTAAGAGCTGCTCTGAGCAAAAAAAAAAACGCTTGCTGTTCACAAGAAGCACAGTGAGCCATGCCTCACACAAAAGGTCTCAGAAGACTTCAAGACAATCAAGAACGGTTGATTTGCATAAAGCTGGAAAAGGTGACAAAGTCATCCCAAAGAGTTTAGAGATTCATCAGTCCACAGTTTGATACATTGTCTATAAATGGAGACAATTTGATGCTGTGGCTTCTCCCTAGAGGTGGGCTAAGATGCTAAGATGAATCCAAAGAGACGGTGCTGAATACTCATGAAGTTAAAATGACCCCAGAGTAACAGCTAAAGGCTTAAAGAAATAATTGGCTCTGATGAACATCTCTGTTCATGAGTCTACCAAACAGGAAGCTCAGTGTCCATGGCGGGACACCAAGAAAGAAGCCACTGCTCTCCAAATAAAAAAAAGTTTGCTAAAGAGCAGCTTGACACTTGAAATTTTGTGGACTGATGAAACTAAGGTTGAATTCTTTGGAAAGAACATTCAGCATTTTGTATGGTGTAAAAAGGGCTCTGCATACTAACATTAAAATATCACCCCAAAGGTGAAGTAGGGTGAAGGAAGCATCATGATTTGGGGCTTTGCTGCCTCCGGGTCTGGACAGCTCTGCATCATCAAGGGGAAAATGATCAAGGGACCTTACAGAATAATTCAGGGTGGATGTCCACCTGCTGAAGCTCAGTAGGTTGAGTGATGCTGCAGGAATATCAAAGTAGATCTACTACAGAATGACTTAAAACAAAGAATAGAGATGCTGTGGAATGACCTGAAGGGAGCCGCTCACGCCAGTCATCCTGAGAATATGGCTGACATGAAGCAGCTGTATAGGAAGAATGGTCCAAAATTTATCCTGTTTTGCAGGTCTGATATTAAGCCATCAGAAGCTCTTGTTTGAGGTAATTGCTGCTCACTTTCTCCACCAGCACTGTGAATATTTAATGGGTTTGTTCAATAAAAACAGAAAAGATTATAATTCTTTGTGTGATATTTGCTTAAGCACATTGTGTTTGTCTGTACTTCACTTAGATGAAAGTCAGATCACATTTTACAACCAATTCATGCAGAAAGCCAGGTACTTCCAAAGGGTTCACATGCTTTTTCTTGCCACTGTAAATCAGTGAGCCTCCTTTATGGCACTGACTTTCTGTTCCCTTTGTGTCCACAGCACTATATCTGCTGGTCGGAGCTGCCGGTGCCTCGCATAGCTGTCACCTTCTCCCTCCAGGAGGTGGAGGAGATTGAGAGGGACTGTGCGGTATACCGCGGACGCATGGAGAGGATTGCTAAACACAGTGCCATCAGCAGGGAGGAGCAGGTACTGAGACGCACACATATTGTTCCATCTAATCTGACATTTCTTTAATGTATTTTTCCATTTTTTTCCTCTGAAGTCTGTTGATATTTCTCCTCCTCAGTTTTGTCTGACAAAAGTCTTCATCAAGTTTACATAAAGATATAAAAATGTGTTTCATATGCAGTGAATGGTAGTAGACATTGCAGTCAACATGGTATCTTACATTAATAAAGTCTGTGCTAGCTGATTTTTAAAATCAAGGGCAGCCTGAACTTCAGGGAGGGAAGGCAAACCTGCAGTAAGACAAGTCATTACACAGGTATTGTCCCTTAAGATAAAGAGAGAGGAGTTTCTTTTTTCTTTTTTTTCTTTTTTTTTCTTTTTTTTTTTTTTACATAAGATGATCCATGATTGTGACATTACCCCTCAAGTACTGAGAATTTCAGCAGCAAGTCATTAAAATGATGCATCTGAAGTCTAGGGCTTGTACGCTGCATGATTTAGTGTAATACCCTGGTTTGTATGGCCTGTGTGGCTTGTGCTGCTGGCTGTGCTGAGTGGCAGAGGGTGGGAAGCAGAGGTGAGCTACAGGGCAGGTGGATAGATCTTTGTTAATGATGATTTCTTGTCTGTCTATTGTTAGGCCCTGCGTACAGAGCAGGCACGCCAGGAGCTGATCAATCAGGTCAGAGAGTCAGCAGCCAAAACCCTGGAGAGCATCCGCGGTTAGTATTACATTTACACACACACACACACACACACACACACACACACACACACACACACACACACACACACACTGTGGGTATAATTTTATGTAGTGCTTGACATACATGCACACAACCTCTCTGATGAGTATACCTTATTTACCTATAACCCACATTTACTTGTTGACTCTTGACCATGAGAGCTTTCTTCAGCTGCGCTCCTTCCTCTCAGTAGAGCAGCAGCAATTCATAGTGAGGAATGTTTTGAACAGCTTCCAGTACGACGGGCTGAGAAATCTAATTATTTCTCGCACAGTTTAGCAAACTCCTCGCATCATTTATTACTTCACAAGATGTGTGGCAAAGTTTGGGAGGGGAGATGGTTTGGTGGGGAAATGTCTGGCCTGATGCTCTGAGTGTGTCTTGGCATATTTTTGTGTTTGTGTGAGGCAGATGGTGAGGTTGTTTTGTGTGTGTGCGTGCATGAGAGAGAGAGAGAGAGAGAGACGGAGATGTTTCGTACTTTTCTGTGTGGGAGGGTAAGCAGCCCACTGTTATCTCCCTTGCCTCCTGTAGGGCGCCAGGTGTCACAGCGTCTGGCTGAAGAGGCCAAGAAGAGGGAGCGATTTGAGGAGCTGAAACAGCACCTGGAGCAGGAGCAAGAGGTAGTAAAGTGTGTTTTTAAAACTGTTCTTGTGCATGCATCTGTTTACAAGAGAAATGCATGAGAAAGTAAGATGGTATCCATGTGACTGGAAAGGTATTATTATATTTTGAAAACAATTAGACGCCAAATGCCTGATGAAGAATTTTGAGGATAAGAAAATGATGTGAAGGACAATTTGTGTGTATATATATATATATATATATATATATTTCAGCTACATCATTTGTGGCCTTGTTTTAGAAGCTGAAAGCAATGATGTGTGTGTTTGTGTTTGTGTTTGTGTTTGTGTTTGTGTTTGTGTTTGTGTTTGTGTTTGTGTTTGGCACCAGTGGCGAAGTGCAGCCAAGAAAAGGCAGGAGGAAGATGACTTCAGCTTTGCCAGAGAGCTGAGGGATAGAGAGAAAAGACTACAAGCCCTGGAGGAGCAGCTGGAGCAGAGAGCCAGGTCTGACTGCTTTTACAGCCCCTACTAGACGTGTTAATCTTTTATTGATGATTGAATAATCTATGTTAAGATTTCATTTGCTCTAAAATATATTAACAAACATGATGGGACGTCAACTCCATCTTTGCAGTATCTTTCAGATGCTGGACTTGTGCTGAATTGCCATACAGTTGGGATAACTGTGTGATGCCGCGGCATGAGCAAATGTTAACAGAGCCTGTAATGCGAACATGGCGTGCGTGGATTTCCAAATGATGGCTGTAAGCTGCCATTTAGGTTGCCGGCGTGTTGGAGATCAGAGTTTACCAAAGCTGTTGTTAGCACCTGTCATCTGCAGCTTTTCATTCAGCCAGTTACCTCTCAACTTGTGCAGTATTAACCCTTGTAAAGATTCAAAATTGAAATACCTCATTTATTTAGGATGTGCTTGGAAAATGTTCCATGCCAAGTGTAAAAATAAAGCTTTTATCGTTCATTTTTTTATAGACCTTTGCTGATTAATCGATTACAGCTCATTAAAGTGGCTGACAAGAGGTTAAGGAAATTGCTCAAAATTGAATTCAAAGCTGTCACAGACCGTGAAAGCACATATTCACGCACAGACATATGGCAGGCCAATATGCTCATCACAATTCTTCATAAGGATGATTTGCACTTTAAATATAATTCCACGTAGATTTAAATATAAATATAAAGCTATGAATATGATTTATTCAGTTTTTTATAAGACTTAAATAACATCAGCCAAGCTGTTTTTAGGAGAATAATCATAATATTTATGAATGCATATTAATATTTTGCTGTTCTTATCTCAGTTGAGTACTAATATGAAGCTAACAAGAGCAGAGCTACCTGATGGCTGAGTGGTCTGGGGGGGGGGGCAATCCCATAAATTAAAAGCTGCACATTTGCTCCTCAAAAGCAATGTCCCCCATCATGTGCATGACACTTTCCTTGACATGCATTTACTGCAAGTTGCTCTGAATAAGTTGCTCTTGTGTGTTTCTACATTCAAATTGTAGGAAGGAGCTGATTGCCCAATATAGCCGTCTGTCAGAGGAAGCAGCCCGCAGAGAGAGAAGGGCCATGTGGAGGGTGCAGCGAATGAGACTTGATGAAGCCCGTGCTCAGTTCTTCATCCATGACAGGCAGAACATTCAGGTTTGTTACTGTGTATGAATTATCATAGAAGAGCACATGCAGAGGAAAAGGTTAATATGACTGAAGAGATTCTGCAACCAAAGCTCTTCTGACTTCTTTCCAGGCAATGCTCGAGAAATATCCCTTAGGCCAGGGGAGACCTCCTGTGGAAGTGTTGCGACCTGTTCCCCCAACACAACAGACTGTAGCACAACCAACACTGGTATGACAACACACTGGTTCTTGAACATTAACTAAATTTTTCCACTTTTTTATGCTCTTGTTAAGTGCATCCAATACACACCCTCAAATGAATGCCTTCTCTGAACAGGAATCTCCCATTCTGGAGCCGTCTGAGCAGCAGCCAACTGACACCCAAGAATCTGATGCCGTATCATCACCGCCACTTGACCCAACTTCATCCACCCTCACCCCCCTTACAGCAGACCCTGCCCTCATCTCTGAAGACATTGATATCAATGATTTTTTCCCCAAGTCACCAAATCCTGACAGTCAGCAAGTGGATGTGGCCCTACAGGAGATTGGGTCTGATTTACCTGAGGTGTGCCCTACAGCAAAACTAGTTGACTATGACTTCAGTGCCCCCTTTAGTCCACTTGAAGGTATCACTGCACAAGCCTCAGTTCAGCCCCGGCCTCGCTGGGGACCCGCAGTCCAGCCTGACTTGATCCAAAACCATCCCTCTTTCTCTCACATCCCCATAGGAGAGAACATGTCTCAAGTCCAAGAGAATGTCCCCAAAGCTAACCCCTTCGGTCAAGCCTCCAAATCCAGCTTTCCTCTTGGCCAGTATACCCCAGAGGAGCTCCAAAATGCATCTAAAGCCAGTGTTTATGGACATACCTCTCAAGCATCAGCACAGCCAGTAGATGGGAGTGAGCAAACCACAGACAACAAGCAAGAAGTAGTAGCACCTATGGCAGAACAGGAGACTGAAATGGGGATTTCGGAAAGTAAAGTAGAGGTAAAAGAAGATGAGCATGCATCTACAAAAGAGGATGATGTGGTTGCTACTGCCCCCTCCACCACACCAGGACGAGGCTTTCCAAATGGTGACCACAAACTAGTGGCACGTGTCTCTGACTGTGGTGGGGTTAAATTGCTTGAGGCAAACACTCAGCACCATAGCTCAGATGCTCAAGATAACGCATATGAAAATATTTCTTTGCCAGACATTCATGCTCATGTCTCCAGTACACACCTAAAGGTTGGAGAGCTGGTTTCAGATGTTGCTGACCCTCAGCCATCACCCAGCATCCATGGTCACTCCTCTGATGCTCACATAAAGGTTGGACAGTTTGTATCAGAGGCGACTGCGTCTCTTCCGTCTCCTGACATCCGTTGTCACGCCTCAGATTCCCACATCAAGATTGGAGAACATGTTTCAGAAGTTGATGCTCCCCTACCTTCCTCTAGTGTTCACGGTCACTCTTCTGACACTCACATTAAAGTTGGGAAAAATGTTTCAGAATTTGTCGCTCCTCTTCCTCCTCCGAACGTTCATGGTCATGCCTCAAATGCCCACATCAAAGTTGGGGAGCTCGTTCCAAATGAAATTGCCCCTCTGCCCTCCCCTAATGTTCATGGTCACAGTTCAGATGCTCGTATCAAGGTTGGCGAAAATGTTTCAGAAGTTGTTGTACCACTCCCTACTCCTAGCATCCATGGTCACTCCTCTGATGCTAATATAAAAGTGGGCGAGTTTGTGTCCAACATATCTGAAGCAAGACCTCGTTGGAGTAAGCACGGGCACACCTCGGATTGCCAGCTTCAAGCAGGCTGTGTGGTATTAGGAGCTGAACCAACCTTGTCCTCTTTACCTGGAAGTTCCCATGGTCACTCCTCAGACTCCACGTTAGGTGTTGGATGCGTAGTTTCAGGAGATGAACCCAAACGTTCTCCTCTACCTGGAAGTTCCCATGGTCACTCCTCAGACTCCACGTTAGGTGTTGGATGCGTAGTTTCAGGAGATGAACCCAAACGTTCTCCTCTACCTGGCAGTGACCATGGTCACTCCTCAGACTCAATGTTACGTGTTGGATGTGTAGTTTCAGGAGATGAACCCAAACGTTCTCCTCTACCGGGCAGTGACCATGGTCACTCCTCAGAATCAATGTTACGTGTTGGATGTGTAGTTTCAGGAGATGAACCCAAACGTTCTCCTCTACCTGGCAGTGCCCATGGTCATTCTTCAGACTCAAGTTTAGGCATCGGATGTGTTGTGTCCCAAACTGGACCACTTCCATCGCCACTACCAGGCAGCGCCTACGGCCACTCCTCTGATTCGACTCTGGGTGTAGGTTGTGTGGTGTTGGGGACACAGCCGCAACCCTCTGCACTCCCAGGCAGTGTGTATGGCCACTCTTCAGATTCTTCACTTGGAGTTGGATGTGTGGTGAAGAGCAAAGAGAAAACGGAGGAAAATGAAGATAATAAAGGTATTGAATAGTACTAAGTGATACACAACAATTCAATTCTGAAGGGTTGCAACTATAATTTATTTTCAACTAATCTGATGATTATTAATTGATTATTTAATAAATTCTTTGATCTAGAAAATGTCAGATGATAAACAAAAATACCATTTATAGTTTCCAATTCAAAACCTAGAGATTTTCAGGTCATAGTGAGGTAAAATCCCCACGTTACAGAAGCTTAAACAAATTACCAAAATAGTTGTCAATTCATTTTCTGTCCATCAATTAACTGATTAATCAGCTAATCATTTCAGCTCTAGATATTTGCATGTAATCAATATATAGATGCACCACTGAATATAAAGATGGAAGCTTTTTGCACTGACCTTTTGGTGTTAAGAATAGTACCTAATGTCACTGAAAACTGTGCTCTCTTTAGGTTCCAAGTCAGAGAGCCCTGGTGAGCAGCTGGCTGAGGGCTTGGGGTCCTGGGCAGCTAGCTATGGTTTGTCCCCTGGAGAAAAGTCTGAGCAGGAATACCTCTTGGCTTTGTCTGCTCAGTACCAGGTGGAACACTATGAAGACTACTACAGCTTAATGGGTGAGTTGAAATCATATGGCTCAAGGTTAATAGTTCCTTGTGGCTTATACAGACAATGTGATGTTCATCACATAAGCACTTTTGTGTTACTGGTACATTAAAGCCATGATTCTGGACATGATGGTGTCTAACTGGTATGTTAGGAATGGATAAGAAATAACATATTATAGATCTAGTTTTTTTTTTTTTATTGCAAACTTGAATTCTTTATTGACAAAAACAGAATCAGAAGTCAGAAATGACTGTGGTGTGTCTTAGTTAGACATTGGCCAAACTGAAACAATGTCCCAGTTGTCCTTGTTCATATGGAGAAAGTTTATAGACAGCCATTTTTTGCTGGATGTCAGCCAGACTATTCTACAGAGAGCAAAAAGATAATTCATTCACACGCATCTACAAGCACCTACTGTGTATTGTGCATACTATTATTAGCACAAAACTGAAAAGAGAAAACATAGCTACAAATAACTACCAAAATGCAATAGAGAGCAGAAGCGGATCTAAAACAGAACCTTGTGGAACTCCACGATTTAATTCTGTTGGAGAGGACATGGATGTATATCATGTAGAACAACAGAAAACAAGAATTCAATCAGTTAAGAACAATGAGAGAACAAACTATTTTTTGTCTAATTATGGTCAACAGTATCCCAAACTAAAACTGTAATTGCATGTTTTGTATAAGGTTATTGACTGTTGGTTACCCATATTAAAGTCATCTCGGTAACTGAAAACTAAACTTGATTTAAAGCTTTATTTCAGTTTCAAAGAAAATTATTTGACTGATAAATTGAATGAAATGAAATAATTTTATCTCTTATTGATGCTTTTGCTCCTTCTGTCATTATTTTACAAATGACCAAACAATCAATAAATTGAAAATAATCATTCTGCTAAAACTGTTGCCTTTTCTTGTGGACAGAAATTACATGACGCGGAGCACTAAAAACGAAGCCTAACCCATTCTTGTAGTAATGAAAATGACTGTAGCTTATGCCAGATAAGAAAAATAAAATGGACCCTGGTCTTATTCAAGAATGTGAAAATATTTATGTTGTCAGGCTGAAATAACTTAATGAGAAATTACGTCTTTTGAAATACGGCAAAACATCAGGTCATTTTGCAGAGAAATGAAAATTACACACCTTACAGTGGTGGAGCTGGCTTCATATGAATTTAAAAGAGCATTTTTACATGTTCAGGAGTGAGGCATTTCTTGAGGCTGTTAAATATTTACTCCATCAGCATACACAGGGCTTGAATAAAAAGCAGTGATATTTCATAAAGGTATTAAGTCTGGTTTATGTTTGGCTGGGATGCATCATGGCTCGTTGAAGTAATATCCTGTCTTTTTCACTCTGCATTTGTGGTTCAGTCACGCTGCTATTATTCATGCTGGCTTCTAGGGTCTCCATGAAATCAATCAGAATCTACTCTGTTGAATACATCTTCCACACCACTGATCAAAGTCAAGAACCCTAATTATTTACAGAGTGTTACTATAAATATAGAGGGACGTTGGACAAAATAACTGTTTGCTGTAAATACTCTCCATTGTGAAGCTTTTATGTTGTGTTTTTGTTGTCAGCGAGGTGTCAATTCAGCTCTAAGGACATTTTAAGACCTTAGTTTTATGTTTGTAACTAACAGTTATTTTCATTATCAAATGATTTTTTTCTTTATTTAGTTCATAAAATTTTAGAAAATGGCTAAAAAAGTAAAAAGTAAAAAGAAATGTCGATCACATTTCGAAAAGTCTGACCACTGTCAAAAACCTGAAAATGGTCAGTTTAATACCATAGAAGACTAAGAAAACCATCAATTATCAACATTTGAGAAAATGGAAATGAGAATTTTTGGCATTTTTACAAAAATATTTACTGATTAATTCTTTCAGCTCTGTATTGTTAAATCATTAAATAAACGTTTCAGACATTTATTTTGCATCATCATCCATTCTAGCAAACATTATTTGAATAATATTTGTTTAAGCTTCTTCTTTTTCATCTGACTGTACTTATTATTTCTTCTTTGCAGCATTTAAACCAGCAGAGTTTTCTGCCGTTCTGAGGGTGATATTTATTCAGTAACACACCTCATCTCCCTCCCCCACAGCTTCGTCCCCCGAGTGTCAGCTGCTGAAGCAAGTAACTCGGGGCCCCTGGGGTCTTCCTATGGACCCCACACTTCGCAGAGCTACAGACACCACTGCAGTCCAACTCAGCGAGATGGTTTCCCTGCCAGTTCTGATAAAACACTCTGTCACTACCCCGCTCATCACACAGTGAGTCTCTGAAAGAAAGCTATTTGTACGTTATTAGCCCCTTTTAAAAAAGAGATCCCACTGTTGCTGTTTACAACATCCCTCATTATGCCGGTTTTGCTTGTTTACACTGAACCAAACAAAGCTGGCGTATTTCTGCCCCAGTGTGTGATTTTGAGATGGCTTGCCATCGTTCCAGAATCAGAGGCGTGACGTGTAACACAACAGCATTGGCGTCTGTCCCTCCATGCCGGCTCTCCCTTTTACACAGATGTTGATCTGGCTCTATGACTACCTTCACTGCCGGCTTAACAGCAGAACGACAATGACCCCCCCACCCCCATCTATCTTCGTACCTTTTATACAGAACAGAGAGGCAGAATAAAGGTGCAACATTCCTGCCTTGTACAGGCTGTGTAAATGGGGCTTTTGTTTACAAGTATGAGTTTGAAGTGTCTGAGAAAGACATGTACTTATTTTACCCTTAAAGCCAAATCGTGTGTTTAACAGAAATGCAGGTGTGAGGTTTTTCACTGATCTCTTGTTATTTTTCTGCTACTTCAGGCCACTTAAACTGTAGCTAAGTGTATATTCTGCACTGCAGGAATAATTAAATTTCCTATTACGTTCCATCATTGTAGGATCTTTTTTCTGTTTGAAATTCCATCAGAACTCCAGACAAGCTTGTCAGTCTTCAACTACAATGTTTCTGCACACTTTGCAGTTTTGCCTTTGTGTGTAAAGAAATGGCTTTCTCATCCCTTTCTGCACACGGAGAGGGTGCAGTATATTTAGCGTTGGTATTCATAACTCTAAATTTTTATTAACACATTTTTATCCCATGCTTAGATGACACAGTGGAGTTTTCAACTCCATTTTTATCTCCCCCCTGCTGACTTTTCAGTGAAAGAGAACATTCCCTAAATCCCACTTTTATAGAAATGTAAATTACTCAGGAATAATTTAAAGTAATGGAACGGAGGAAGTCATCCTTAAAGTGAAAAAACACAACGTTATATTTCCTCAGCTTTCTTCAGAGCTGATGTCTATCATTCCCACAACCTGTATCAAATTTGCAAGTCAGCATCATTTCCACTCCTGATTCTTGTATCAAAACTTTTCTCTCCTTATCTTGGTCATGCTCTCCTCCACCTTCCATCACCAGTGTATCTTTGGTGAACAAGGCAGTGGTGGACTATTTCTTTGTGGAGCTGGGAGTGGAAAGACACTTTGAGGCACTGCGCCACTTCCTGCTGATGGAGGATGGCGAGTTCGCACAGTCCCTCAGTGATCTGCTCTTTGAAAAGGTGAGGCTCTCTCAGAAATGCCGATGTCACTGGTGCATGTTCAGCATAGGGTAACATATGGTATTTTTCTACAGTTTATTGCCTTCTAGGCGAGAACAAGAAAGGACATCTTGGAACAAGGTCAAATGGCCTTGTCAACATATTTTAAACTTTAAACTTTTTCTGTCTTTTGATTGATCAGCACTGCATGTATTTAGCATTGTCTACAAGCTCAGGACGGTCCCCATATAGCATAGAGACACACCAAATCTTGAATACATATGATTTAGACATGTACGTATGTGCAACAGTTGCAGGGCAGTTCTCCACAGGTAGTTGCACGACTCCTTTGTGTCATTCTCTGGAAAACGCCTGCAAAATGTAATTCATAGAGCCCATGTGAACTCTGTATTTCTCCTTAGCTCTATGAAGCATTGTGTCGTTTTCATTTTGCCACCTGCAGCCTTATGTTCTGGTTCTGTCACTGCTTTTTGCAGCATAGTTTTCAGCTGTTTGCAGCAACAAAGCTCTACAAACCCACTGTACACTACGTGTCGAGCATCAAACAGCAGACTGACACAGATAGCAACTGGCTGGTGAGCATAGTGTAGCGTTAAGCAGTTGTACAGCTAGATATTACCCCCAGATCTTGAGAGTTGGTTGAAACCAAAACAGAGCAAAAAGGAGGGACAGAGACAGAATATTAGACATACTATTATCAAGGGATGCAAACTCCAAATGAATGTTATTGTTGCTCTGTATCTGCTGGATGTCTAAATAAGCAACTGCTTGTGTGTTTACAGCTTTTTGTGCTGCCTCAAATGATCAAAAACTCCAGTACAGAAGGTTTAAGCATTATTGATGCTTAAGCTTGTTAGCATTTTATATTTGATTTCTCCTTGTGCCTGTTCTCTAGCATGTGATGCATCACTGCCAGATTTCTACTTATGTCAAGCCCAAGCTTCCTGGTGTGAAATAACAAGCACATCTTTTGCTCCCACCTTGGTGCCATTCTGCAGAAACATTCATGTACATCTGTCTCGTGAGGCACATGAAACAGAAGGTTTTTGTTCCAGCCAAAGACTACACCAGCTGATCTCACTGATTAGCACAACCGTCAGCTGGAAGGGGAACTAATCATCGCAATCAGCTACCTGTAGTGTTTGTTTGGAATGAAAACACTGCCAAATTTTAGGCCTTGATAGCACATTTGAAAGACAGGTGTAGGGGTATGGGTAGTTATACTTGTTTGACCTTTTATGTATTTACTTGGCTGATGTCTCTTCCACCCAGATGGGCAGTGGGCAGACTCCCGGTGAGCTGCTGACACCGTTGGTCCTAAACTCCATCCTCAGTAAGGCCCTGCAGTACAGCTTACATGGGGACACACCCTTGGCTGGCAACTTCACATTCGCCCTTCGCTATCTCCCTGAGACCTTTCACCCACACGCCCCAGACTCTCTCAACTGTCTGGAGCTGCGCTACAAGGTGAGGCAGTGTGTTTTATTGGAGGGAGTAACAAAAGTGTGTACACTTGCACGGGTGTGCTTGTCTCAGCATGAGTGGCAGCTTGAATGTGACAACCTGTCATGTTTTGACAAACTGCTCCGGGTATGGAAAATTAGCTTATCCCGCACTTAAATGGTTGAACCTCGTAGATTGATTGGAGTTGGGTCTTTTTCCGATGACATGCACAGTGACTAATGTTGCACATACTGTCCTCTGCTCTTGTTCCCGACTGTGTTTGTCACCTCCCATCTCTCTCACGACTGTTCGCTTTCCCTACTGAATCTCCATCTTCTGCCTTTCTTGAATCCTTTCCTCTTTTTCTCTCTTTCTTCATCTACTGCTTTGTGTATATTTTGCTTTGCTCTTTCTCTCCCCAAACATCTTTTCTACATTCCTCTCTCCATCTCTTACCACTCTGTCTTCCCCTCACAATCCTCTCACCTCCTTTATCACCATCTCTGCATTCACACCTCCCATCGCCTCATCTGTCACTCTCTCTTTACCTGTTCTTCCCAACTCCTGTTTCACTTCCCTTTGCTTTCTTTCACACCCAATTGCACTCACACCTTCACACTCTTTTTTTTTTTCTTTTTTTTTTTTGCCTTGGTGTCTCTTTTCTTTCGTGTCATCTCCCAGGTGGAATGGCCGTTGAACATCATCATCACGGACAGCTGCATGAACAAGTACAACCGTCTGTTCTCGTTCCTGCTGCAGCTCAAACACATGGTGTGGAGCCTCCGCGATGTTTGGTTCCACCTCAAGAGAACAGGTGAGAAGATGAGAGCAGCTGATTCGGCCTCAGCTCGGACTCCACCTCATCTCTTAGAAGGAAGAGTTCAGATTCTTCCTCTTGTGCTTTATGTTCATGAAATATTCATAGAGGGGAATGTTGCAATTCCTTTATGTTTTATTTATACAACACACATCTTATACCAGCGGGATTGTTGTAGACCTATGTGCTTCACTGGGTTACGTATTATTGATCAGCAAAAGCCTGTGCAGAGACTACGTAAATGGATTTCCTGATGGGGAAAAACAAAGTATTAAGTTATTAGAGGGATGTAAACTTCAGTGATTATAACATTAACATTACTGATCACATGGGGCAAATGGTGGATGATTACTTAATACACAACTGACAAAACCATGAGCAGCGCTAACATGACCGCACTCAAAGACAAAACTGCATGAGAAAGCAATTAACCAAGGTCTGTCTGTATCATAAACTTCAACTATCAGTTACTTTCATTACTAATTCATGTGTATTGATTTTTTACTAAAAGTATAAAATGACAAATGCCTCTTAAGTTTCCAGAGCACAACAACACAAATTGTCTTTTTTTTTCAGTTTTAGGAAAATGGTGAAAAGTAGCCCAGAGATATTGTATTATTTACGACATAAAAAAGCTGAAAATCTTCAATCTTCTTTTCCATACTTTGTGAGTCAATTCTTCCCATCTTTGTTTTTCTCAGCGCTGGTGAAGGGCGCAGGTCGCTCGGTGCAGTTTCGTCAGCTGCAGCTATACAGACATGAGATGCAGCATTTTGTCAAGGTGATACAGGGCTACATCGCAAACCAGATCCTGCAAGTGTCCTGGAGCGAGTTCACAGCCAAACTGGCCACTGCCAGCGACCTGGACGCCATCCACCGCACACATGCAGACTACCTCAACAGAGCCATCTTCAGGTGAGGGCTGGGACTGCATATGTCTATGTGACAGTCTTATTGCAATATAATGCTTACTGTCATTTCTGTGCACAGAATAGTTGATGCATGATTTATTGCATTCAAGGAGAAGATAATTTGGAACAAGACCAAATGTCCTCATCTCACCTTGAATCCAATACATTTTGAATTGTTCAGCATTTTGAATGATTACAGCTCCATGTATTTAGAGTTACCAGCTTTTAGCCTGTGCACCACATATGAGAGCACAGTCTGTGTGTAGACACTACATAAGTATATGCTCTCTACACCAAAACTCATCATCAGTCCTTGATTTAAAATGCACGTGCTTCAGCTAGAAGGCAGTTCCCTTCAAGAAGTCACACCACACCATAGAAAGAAATGATAAAACGACATAAGATGTTTGATGTGTTACTGCAAAATACCATAAAATGGTCAAGATCAAAACAGAGTATATGAAGATCTGTTGAATGAATGTTGTGACACATGCTAAATGTTGCACACGGGCACAAATTTATGGTGTGTGATCAACTTTTTCTCATCTTGGCTGAACTGAAACCTCTGCACCTTGGAGAAAAAATATGGTTCCATTTAAACATTTTCTTTCTGAATTGTCACATCTCCTTTGGGCTCATTCAGGTTCATGTCCAGCTGCTCTGAGATTTGTGTTGAGCCTAATTTAGAAGTTGATTTATCTATTAATCAATAAACAGAAGATTAACCAGCAGCTAATAATTCATCATTTTTAACAGCAAAAAATTAATTAATTAATTGTTTGGTCTAAAAGTCAGAAAATGGTGTTGTTGTCATCAAGTATATTATATATAATCAACAAGCCTAAAGATATTCAAATGAACCGCAGAGAAATCAATAAATTTAATAATAAAATTCAATAAATCAACATAGTAATCAATAATTGTAGCCCTACTGGGTACAACTTTCTGGGATCCCAGACCCTTCACATACAGACGGAGTCAAAACTATTTGTTGCCGAAGGTGTTCTCCAGGGTGTTGTTCGCTTTTACACAGACAGGAAAACTCTTAATTGAAACCAGCAGGATTTTAGGCTGCAACACCACAAACTGCAGAAAAGGGCAAGGGAGTGAAATCATTTCTCCAGGCTCTGTACATGTGCAGCAAGTTGAAGTAGTGCACTCTGCACCCATAATTTCATATAAAATTGATTCATCCTCCTTGTAACAAGTTAATTTAAATTCCAGCTGGATCTTCGGCTAACTCTTGAACCCGATGAATGATTTAATCTCATTAGGAGAGGTTGTCACTATCACACTTTTCTCTGTGTAATTTCAGGCCGTCTGAAAAGTCATTTCAAAGTTCCTTGTCATGTTTCTAAACTTTGCACTCTCCCTTCTCGCTCGTCTCCCCAGAGGTTTGCTGACGGAGAAAGCGGCTCCGGTCATGAACATCATCCACAGCATCTTCAGCCTGATCCTCAAGTTTCGGGCCCAGCTGATCGCACAGCCCTGGGACAGCCAGCAGGGGGAGGCAGTGCACCCCAGCTTCATTGCAATGCAGCAATCATACAACACCTTTAAGTATTATTCTCACTTCCTCTTCAAAGGTAAGGACACCGATTAATGTTTTAGTCTGTTTTTTTACATTCCCCCACAATTAAACCCTGGAGAAGGATCATCAGAGTGAAGCAGCTCTGAAACCTTCTTGTTGAGATCATTCTCAAACATATTCTCATTTCTCAATTCAGGTGTTGCTCTGGTTAACAATTATACACAGATATCCTTTGATATTAAAACCACTTGACATGAAAGCAGTATATTATCATTGGTGTATATATTGGTTTAATTAAGCAAATTAAGTTAACAAAGTGTAATGTGTAGATTTTCTTCTTATTTCAGGCCTGAAGGTGCCTAATTAAGGTTTGCCAAGATTTATAAGAGTTTTTTTTTTTTTTTTTTTAACATATCCACTGTAAATGCAGGAGATTAATTAAATTGTCTGCTACTTTTTAATGGTTTTCTTCACACATACAATGTGAGTATGATCTTTTTTTCTGTAATGTGCGACAGGGAAATTTGTGGTTCAGGTGAGCCGAGGATGTAAAGCATCGGCTTCTAGATTAAAAGTAATTATTTAAAAAATAATGTCAAATATGCTGAACGAAAAGGGTTGCATTTTTGAAGAAAAAAAAACCTATGGCTTAAAGTAGCTTCCAAAGACTTTGTGCAAATCCGTCACATATGGCAGAAACACTAAGATAGTGTGTAGTTTTATTTTTGGAATAGGAAAGGCTGTAGTATTTTGAACTGAATTAAACAACACCAAGTGTTGTATCAACTTGTCTGGATGTGTTAAAGCCCTTCCTCCTTGTTGTGATTATTTATACATTAGTAGATGATTAGTGTTGCACTAGTTGTGGATAAATCAATGTCATTTAATTTGCTGCAGCAATGTGTTTCTTGGGGAAAACCCAGATCTAACAAATGTGTCTTTCCTTCTCTCAGTGGTGACCAAGCTGGTAAACCGGGGCTACCAGCCTCATCTCGAGGATTTCCTCCTCCGCATTAACTTCAACAACTACTACAAAGACTCCTGAGCTGATTGTTGCTGTATGTGTAAGTTGTACACAAGCTTAATGTCACAATTTCACATAAGAAGTGCTCTTTGTTAAATATACACCATTGTGTACTATGAGTGTTCACATTTTAAGAATCCCTTGTAAGACAAAATACAGATAATCAAACATACGTAATAAATTAAGTTCATTTCAATGTGCAAAATACATTTAAAAACCCAACTGCACTGTATATTAGGGCATGAATTTGGCAATCAATCCACATCAATGTGCGGGATTTGAACTACATGCCTGTGTGCTTGAATAAATTAGACTGCTTCTGAAGTTTGTATGCTGCCAAAGGTTGTAATTGAGATGAAGTTAATGCCTACTGAAATGCCTCTCGTGCTCAGGTGCGTCTCCAGCTGTGTAGATTTTAAGTGCATATAAATGAAATGTCAATGATATGTAAATACTAAAGGAAAATGCTTTGTTTAATAAATGCTCTATTCTTTGGTCTTGTTCTTAAAGTTCTTTAATGGTGTAAAAAAAAAAAAGGACAACATTTACTTGAGTAAGAAAAAATGACTTATATTTATTAAAGATTGCATGTTAACATTGATTTTAGAAAACTAGGGCAAATTAAGTGCAAAGCCTTATGCGTAGTGGATTCTGTCAACTTCTGCAATTTAAAGACAGGGCAAAGGGAGAAAATGCATTCCTTGCTATATTACGGAAATTTATTTTCTCCACCATGAGTACCAGATTTTTCCTGACGGTGCATAACTTAGAAAGCAAAAATATATCAAGACTATGCAGCACAGCTGTAATAAGTGTAATGGGCTGCAGCAGGCCACATAGTGTAAGAGGATTTGGTTTCTTGACTGGGTGGTTTAATTGCAGAAATTCTTTTCACCACCTGAGACAGGAACAACACAGGTACCAGCTTGTGCAAGTCCACAAACTGGGAAAAAAAAAAAAGTGAAGCGTCTTAACCAGCGCCCGAGGAAGGAGGGTTAGAGTCTTTTAGATGGACACATTTTTCTTTATAGCATCAAAAGACCTGCCAATATGCATTTACATCAGGCAACAGAAAGAGAAATGGTTAACAGTTAAGACTTAAAAAGCAAAAGTTTGACAGTTTGGAAAATGCACTTATTCGCTTTCTTGAGCTAAGTTTGTGCGCAAGGTCATTAGCCACTCCCTGAAATGATACCGAGTCTCCCAGCAACCGTCCCAACAGTCTTTCATCTTCGAGGTCGGCCCAGGTACTGGACTATTTCAAACCAGTCCATCTAAACACAATTAGTTATACGGAGATCGTGATGGCGCACAAGCTGGGCATTAACTATTGATATCCCTTTCTGTTTACATATGCATCCTTGTGGACGCTGTTGGCTTTGATTTTGAAGTGAGTGCTATCAGTGCACCCCACCACACCCAGAAATCAAGCCAGCTGTCAGCTGAACAAAGTTATGTCACGTATCACCCAGTCACGGTGAATAAGTCAGTTTTTCGATTAGCCAGTCCAGTCACGCCACACAGACCTCAAGTAGCAATTTTGTTCTCAAAGCTGGTAAATTGTTCCAGTGGTTATCAGTTACACAGCTGTTACATCTACTAGTTACTAGGTGTAAATGTTTTCTAACAACTCTGTGTGGTGCAACGCACTTACATTTAGTTATGTGTAAATTTCAACTAGGTAGGTATAACTAGGCAACAAGCTGCTGGTGCAACCGGCTCTCATTGGTTGTAGTCAAGAAATACTCTTGACACATAATCATCCTTTTGACAGTGAATTGGTGTTTTAACATTTTGGTTAACTGGCTGCTGGCTGTTACACAGTAAATCTATCACTTGTCTCATTTATCTCCCTGTAAGCCGGTAAAAAGCGCATTTCCCCAAATGTCAAACTATTGCTTTAATTCCTTTAATTACAATGTGTAGTATCACGAGCAATCCAACATGATCAACACTAATTATTTCACCAGGCGGTTCTAAATGTAATATCCAGTTTAACGTGTGTTTCTGCCAAGAGCTCCGGTGTAGAGTAGAAAAAAAACAAGCAGACAAGCAAACACTCTGGTCAACACAATGTAACTTTCACGATCAACGTCAAGTCAGTGGCTTTGACCTCGTCTGTATCTCACAGTACAAAACATGTCATATTCAAACAGAGCATCACGGGCTTCCACTGTCCATTGAGATTAGTGTTATAGCTCAGACGGGTTGAACTGGTACGAAACTGCACTGGGGTCCAGAGGGAAGGAAGGATTTCACAGATCAACTGCTTTCCCATGTGCTTTCTCTTCTGATTAGCATTCATATGTATGAGCGAAGAGCCAATTGCTTTTCAATGAGTATGTAATAACCCACTGTGGTCTGCCTGCATGTGTTACTGTAATATTTCAGTGGGGTTTTTTTTTTTTTTTTAGTATTACAGCTCAGTGCTCAGTGTAGAGGTTTTAATCTTCTGCGAAGGAAAAGGGGGTGAGAGCCATAATTTAATCATGCACGGCATCAGGCCTGGTATACTGACTCTGAAAGCTTTTAATGCAGCCGACTCTAATTAAACATCATATAGACACTTGGACAGATCATATTTACACAGGCTTTCAAGAAATGGAGCTCAAAGTAGTTCTTAATTGTACTAAAGAATATTTAGGCTGCTTGAGGAGGACATGATATACGGATCATCATAAGACTTGATTTGTACAGGTAGTGGAGAGTTTTGTCAAACGTGACGTTAATTCAGTTTTAGTGGGAAATCTTGAAACGTTCAGTATGTCAAGTCTGAGTGACCTCGAGGAGCAGAAAGAACAAAGACGTTTAGTCTAATCGCTCCTTTCCACAGCTTCAAGACACATACACTCACACAGAGTAACGATAATAACAAGCAATGCAACAGTCACTGCTCTGCAGATGGAAAAGGAATTGACATGATTTTCTATTCTCCGTTCATACATTATCTTAGAGCCTTCAAAATTCTCAATTAGTGCATTCTGTAACCATTAAGTGTTATTAATAAACAGATATAAACCTTGGAAGTGCAATAACTTTTTTTGTACATGGCTAATAAAAAGTAGTTGCATGAGAGTCTTACATACGAGTTAACGTGTGAAACAAAGTACAGGAATAAACTCTCCAAACAGTCTTCAAACTATGTAAACCTAAAATAAACGTAAACCTAAACCGCAGCAAATGATTCACCACCTTCACTTAAATGGCTGGGGATATTAGAAGACAATGAAACTCAGTCAGTACCTTTTAGATGAGAGTCCCTTTTGATGTGAGTACCGCCCACAGTGGTGTAAAAACAAAGACTAAAAAGACTAAACTCCAAATCCGGAGACTCGTGCTACAGTTGGGCCGCGGAAACGTAGATCTAATGGAGGATCCAGAACCCGCCCTGCCGATGTTTTCTTCTTTTATCACAGAAAACTGGAGATCTAGTAACAAGGTGAGTGGAAGTGAACTACACTCTAATATGGGTGTTACGGTACCAGAGTTAGGGCTTGAGGGGTCACGATGAAAGCATCCAGGGAAAGCCTTCTCTCCTGGGTAAAAGTTGGACTGTGGTCTTGATGGTGTTTTTTTTTTTTTTTCCGGGGGGGGGGGGGGTCCTGACTGGTACTAGGCCTCAGACTCCAGGTCTTCTTGTCCTGCCCCATTGGTCATGTCTCCCGTCTCAGGCTCCAGCAGCAGGAACTTGCCATCATTGGTAAGTGGCATGTTCTTCATCAGCTGGGCCAGGGCCTCAGGGTCCTGGGGAGAGAAAAAAAAAAATGAAAAAGGGAATTTCTGAGTCCAGCTGAAAAAGAATTCACTCGTGTGTGTTTAAATTCCTAAACTGGCGACAGTAAATTTTGAATGTACCTACTTTGTGTCATCTTTACACTGTGAAGGCTATGGGAGGTAAAGTGTTGACCATCGCCCTCTAGTGGCTGTGTGTTCATTAATATCTCCAATTTACAGAGATTATCGTTTTCACTTTCAGTCGTGTCGTATTAATTCAGCCAGTGAAAAAGTTGTGTTTCCCTGTTGTGAAACTATAAAAACCTAAAACACATTCGGACTTTGAGGGCATATGATAGAACGATAAAGGTTTGATTCAAGTAAAGTGACATAATATTGCAATTGTCTAACAGAAAAAGTTTTCAATGTCCATACGATGGCATTACCTTCTTGGCTTCAGTGATGTCCTTCGCCAAGCTAATGGTGTAACATATCTGTGAAAAAAGACCAAAAGATGAACTTCAATATCCACTAGTGCATCAGATAACAAGTGTTTCCCCTGTTCGACAAAACATCAGTGTTCGGTGTCACAACCTTTTCGCCCTCTGTGTTGCTCTCAAAGACGAAGGCGCTAAACGAGGGCTCTCCCTCCTCATCTCCGTCGCTCCAGTCTCTGCCCTCAACCACAAATCCCATCAGCCTGCCGTTCTCTTGGTGAGCTGCAAACTGACACACCTCTCCAAGCTGGAACTGAGAAATGTATGTGAATGTGTTGAGAGAGAGAGAGAGAGAGAGAGAGAGAGAGAGTGGCTGAGCCTCTTAACCTCTTAATGAAAAAGAGAAAAGATTATTTAGTAAAAACTAATTTGATCTTTAGTGATACTTACACTTATTCTTGTAACTTGAGTTTGAGGGTCAATCAACCTATAGTAAAGACAAAACAGAGACTTCAACAGGGATGTAAAAACACTGCTATGATACTTAGGCCTTGACTTTGATTTGTTTTTGTCAGCAAGCTTGTGTCTCTCTGGTCATCTTTAGTTATGAGCAAGAACAGAACAATTTTCTGGCACATTCTCAAACAATATGACGTGTCCTTAGTGCCTGAGTGAATGTGTCTCCTCATTTGTCTGAGGATATTGCTCTCACAAGGACAAACTTGTTAAAAAAATTTGAGAAAGCAGTTATGTGTTCAGCAGCTCGACTGTGCAGCTTTTTGTTGGAAAAACTGAGCCTCGTTCAAAAGACTTCTTTGTCGCAGATGTTTATGCTTTGATGAGGCTTCAGAAGGTTCTCGCTCCAAGGTCCTTCCTCACTGTAGTCTTCACAAAGTTATGTACAGCCAAGTCTTGGCGTTAGCTCGCAATGATGGACCTTATCTTGAGACACTATAACAGACTCGTTGGATTTTATAGGTCAGACTCTCACAATACCAACTCTTGTGCACAAGAACACAAAAAACTAAGTGCAATACTGTGGACAACATGGTTTAGCTGCACAGAACAACATGTTTTCATGTTTTAAATGCGATATGTCCTTGTGGCATCGCATGGTGTGGGAGGCTATAGGACTTCTCCATCGTAGAACTGTTTTATTATCAAGGTCCAAACTAAACAATCACAAAGTTTCAATGTAGCAAACTAAACTGTAAAGAGAGTTTTAACCAAAATTAAATTAATTTCTACACATTGTTTATAAGACCGAGAGGCTGTGTGAGGTTAAGATTATAATATATATACCTACCTTTGGCACATGACAAAATGGTAGAATACTTTAGCACTTGTAATACTGTAACAGCCCCACAAACTGGCCCTTTTAAACTACTGGCTCCATCACCAAAGATCATCAATAACTGAAGCATTTGTTTTGGCAATTTCTGTCTATGTTGTTGGGAAATTCATGAATGCATCACCATCGTTATACACTGAGGTGCGATCAGTTGTTTTTTGTCTTTGTCTGTCCTCAGAGGAGGTATTCATGTAACACTTCATAAATATGTGATAAATCCTACCTGAGGCTACTGCTGGTGACCATGAGGTGGGACTCGGTGGTCCTAAAGATGTTGTGGATGGCTCGGGCAGCCAGCACCTGCCTCATGGCCTCATAGATCACCTCCTGATTGTCGCCACAGCGAACCGCCATGGAGCCCAGGAAGCGCACGGCGAATACCTGCTGCAGGAGGGAGTCTGCGGAAAACATCCAAACATCAGCCACACTGATAAACCAAGTCAGCAGCATAAACATGCAAGGACGGTAAACAGAGACGCACTGGAACACTCATGTAGGAGAGTAAACTCGAGGTGCGCACACGCGCACGCACACACACACGCGCACGCACACACACACGCGCACACACACACACGCACACACACACACACGCACACACACACACACACACACACACACACACACACGGTCCATTAAGTTTTACTTGGATGAGGAAAATGTTTACCGTCACTTTCTGTTGAACAATCATCGTCTGTTTCTCCAAACGGATTTGTGCGTCTGTCAGGAAGTGAGCACACACACAAGCAAAGAAAAAACACAATTACACTCCAGCACCGAGCAAGACAATTCAGCTTCCTGGAAATAATATAATAACCACTATGAGGCCAACTTTCTGGAAATTTGCGTCATCACCCGTCAGTACCTCATCCCTGTTTCTCACAAACATGCACCCACACAAACTTCCTGGTCCAGTCGCCCCCTCACCTCCCTCCGGCTCTGTTCTGATCTTGAAACTCAGAGGCTGGCAGCATGATGTCAAACTGAATGGGCGTCCCAGGGGCTATCAGGTCCTCTGGTTCAGGAGCAGCCCCTGTCTTCTGGGAACCACTGCTGGTAGCGTGTACACCTCCAGGCTTTGCTCTGCAGGAATGAGACGGGCAAAGTCAAAATGTGTGGGAAGTTTTTAAGAATAAACAACCACTGCTCATAAGTTTCCAGCCTGAAATATTTCAACAAGCATCACCCCACCATCGTCTAGCCCCACCATCTGGTCCAAATTTAAATTTATCCAATACTTTGTGACCAAATCCCTTCAAAATCAATGACACGCTTATCATCACTGATGAAAACAATGATGTTGAAATCTACAGAAATAACAACCATAAATACATTAAGCATGAACTATACATATCAACTATAAGTACTTCACACATAAATGTTCAGAACAAACAAAGACTGTATTTGTGACATCTCATCTGACACTAAATATGATGCTAAGCTAAGTTCGATCAGGAAGACTATCATTATGCCTCATTCATTCTCATTCTCTCTCACTCTCTCACCCCACCTCTTGTAATCACCTGACTTCAGGTAACCAATCAGATTTTGCCACAATCTCAAGCAGCCAATCCAACTTAAATCTATCTATTTAAGTCAACCTAAAATCTGTTCTCCTCTCTCCTGCTGTCATGTCAGTGCCCGAGTCGAGCTCATCAGAGTCTCCACATCCAGATCTCCAGCATTCTCTTCTTCCCACCACCAGCACCAGTGTCTAGACCCTGCACTTCGCACAGCCTCACCCCCCAAGTTTATTTGTTGACTCAGAATGAAGTCTCTCCTGATTAAAAAGGTTAGAAAAGTGATTTAACATTTGGCTTCACACACATGAACTATGTCACACTACCACACACACACATGCTCTTTTCACTTTCATTCTTAACACACTAACACACTAAACCTTATCGGTATAGGTTGCCAAAGACCTTAATTCTGACTCCATCCACTGGTAAATTACTGCACGTATTGACTGCTTCAGATCAAAAACACATTTCGGACCTCGGTTCATATCCGAGTTTAGTTCTTTTCAATGAGCAATACAGCCTCAAAGAGCCACCAGTGGCAAAATGCACATTATATTTTCAGTTAAATGATCATCTCCCTCAGTGATCACAGGCCGACACTTTATATGGTAAGACCAAATACATGCAGAAGAAGATGTCTTGTTCAAAGAGCCAAAACCAAGTTAGACTTATCACAACCTAGAAGAGAAGATACAGTATATACTGTCGTCAACATGGAACTGAGTATCTTAAGAGAGAGAGACATGCCCGACCTGTCAGGGTTGGGGGAGCCTTCTTGTCTCTTCTCAAAGCTGGTGATGGGGGTGACAGCCTGGATGGCGGTTTGGTTCAGCCGAATGGCCACAGCCTAACAAAAAGAAACAGGGACATTGCAGCATCTCCGTATCAGCAGGTGAGTCATTTATAAAACCACAAGTGTGTGTAAATGTGCCTAAGACATTTCAACCTTACGTCCAACCAGTTCTCTACATGATCATGTTATGCCTGTGAACCATGATGTCACGGTCATGTGAACCATAAGCAGGGTCTATTCATCAGCACTAATCCCTCAAAAACAGCGTGGGTTCTGTTGGTTTGTTTGGGTAAAGAAAAGGAGTCTTTCTTGCCATTTCTGGGCAGATGTTTAAAATGTGGGTGGAAGAATAGTCCTTTTACTGAATACAGCAATTGCTAACAAATTTTAGTTTACATTGGCATTTGATAATATTAAAAAGAAACCCAAAACAACTGACCAAGTAGTCCTTGGATACAATCATTTAAGTTGGATTGTAAATTGAAAAGAAATTATAATTAGAAAATAGTCCATGCTTTAAATTGAAAAATATGTTATTATAATAGAGGATATTATATATTAAGGATTTATCGGGGGGCAAGTTTTGCCCTCTATTCCGAGTTGTTTTAATCTATTTAGTAGAAACAACATCTCCAGTGTTCGATTAATTCTAATGAAACACTTAACACAGGTCACGAGGAGAAGAAACAAGACAAAGGAACGGCCACAGAATACAGATCACTGACCAGACATTTGTTTTCACACAAATAAGGAGGAGTCCCTGCAGTTTTGCACAAACACCCACACTGGGAGAGAATGAGGGCAAATTTTCGACATTGACAACAACTTTCACAACAATTAGATTAAGGAGGAGTGTGTATGAAACCATTCTCCATTTGCTGCTTGGTGCAGCCAGTATGTGAGTGTGAATTCTGTCAAATAACAACTGTTCACAACTGTTTACAAAAAAAAAAAAAATCCTACAATGCTGCACCCTTTCTCCTGAGATGACAAACATGTCATCTGCAGTGACGTGGCACCGCACCTGTCAGTGGTGACACAAACTGATGATTAGTCTTGAAATCTCAAATTATTACTTACTATATGAAAAACTATAAAGTGATTATCATGTAGGGAAAATAAATAAGTGAGTGAGAGAGAGAGAGCAGATTTGGATACAGCTATAGTCTGTCTGTCTGTGGAGAATCTGAAGAATAAACATTTTCATGGAGCCAAGCCTCATGCAAACATGCTGAATTCTGGGACTGAAAAGCAATGAAGGCAACAACAGCTGTGAGACACTTCAGAGGAAGGAGGGAGGGCAGTCTATGTGACAACAGTGGAACAATGCCATCACTCTTTTATGTCTCTAAAAGAATACGTTTCCAATATTGTGTGTTTCTAATTAAAGTGGTGGAGCAACAAATAGATGTCTCATTGGTTTAAAAAGATCAGTGAAATGTTTTGGATTCAGAAGCTGGGTTCCTTTCTTAGACATCTGCTGAAACTGAAACATTTACCTCTGGGTTGTCAGTCAGGTAGATCTGTCTGGAGATGTTGTTCACTGTGCAAATCCACTGAGAAAGAAACAAAGAGATCCACATTAGGACTTTCTCTAGACCTGAGACACGAGCCGCCTGAAATCACTTGACTGATAGCAGCTGTGACAGGCCAGTCAGATGTGTCCGAGCAAAAAACACAGACATGAAAACCACACAAATGAGTCTTGACAGCTCCTCCATTGTTCTGTGACAGATACTTGTAGCAGCAGATATCTCTGGGATAAAGATGTAAAACAATGAAGAAGATCAAACACAGCTGTTTGAACAGTCTCTTTCAAATTTACCTCTTCATATTCCTTTTTGCTCTCAGCTTGCAGAATCATTGACCTGGAGGCATCAATGACAACGAAAAGAATTAAATAATATAAATCCAATATCTCGGAAATATTTATGTATCACTCTCATTGACGAATAAGTATACTTACGTTTTGCCAGAAGGGGACGTTATCTGAAAACAGTAGCGTCTGTCCTCGCACTCCACAGCCATGACGGAGCTGTTGTCCAGGTCCAGCACCATGCCCCCTGCCACCGCCCCGCGTGGCTGGCACATGAGGTTCCCTCCCTGGGTGAAGAAGTACAGTCGGTCCCAGGCTGTGGTCACCAGGCCCGTTTTACTGGAGGACAGAGGATAACAAGGGGCAGGAAGGGAGGGTAAAGGTCAGTGCCGCAAGATGTGATTTTACAAAACAAGATGAGAGCTTTTTCTGCCACATTTTGGCAACATGGAAAGCTTAATGAGAGACAATGGAAGAGTAAGAATGTCAAGGGTTTAAGACTGGATGTGACGGAAATTCCTCATATCTGGCTTACAAAGATGGTTGGAAAAAAAAAAGAGTCCTTCTCCCCTTCTAATGGTAGATGATATTAAAACATTAATTGCACATACATTCATTTAATTAAGATTGGATAAGAAGAAAATTCAAAAACACTTGAACCTATTGCTTGTTGTCCATCACGTTTCCTTAGATGGTGCCATGCTGCATGAAATATTTTCTGAATTCATTTGTTTCTGTCTTCAAGAAGATTTTCATTTGTACACTGGAATAATGTGATATTAGTCCTCTCAAAATCAATACTGTTTCCTCTTCTATTGTGTCCCCACTGACTCCTGTTTCATCCAAATGTCTATTGTGATGTTATTTTTCAAAGACTTAACAACAGCTATTGAGATTTTTTGAAGTCTGGCAAGTCATTGTTTTCCAGATGAATTGAAATTACAATGTTTTTTTGCTACAGTATATGCTTGATGTAAGATCACTATTTATTTGGTCAAAATTGAACCAAAAAGAAGAAATTCAGGTTTTATGTATTTTTCTGCAGTAACGTTGGACTAACAAAATGTTGAAAATGAAAGAAAAGGAACATCTAACTTGTAGAAATCAGTGCTAGCTCGCATTTTCCAAGTGGACTTAACAGTCTGATGGAAAAGGGGAAAATCATCTTGTATTTTTCCTCCTCAACTTCATTGGCAAAAAATGATGATAATGTACAAAACCTGTATCAACAGTCCGTTACGACGTATTCCAGTTGGTTTCCCACACACAGAAGTTGACATCTCCTAGCAACACTGGCCCTCATATGTTACTCCTGCCATGGCAACCACTTAGACGCTGTTTCCACAAATATATCTGTAACAGTTTTATCCTCTTATGAAAAATGGAAAAATATGCCTAACAGTACAAATAGAAAAATTACAGTTTGATTTTCACCATTACTGCCTCTTTCTATTGCCTGCAAATTATAACAGTTACACACAATATACTTAGAGAGAGACTTAGATTTTGTATAAACGTCAAAATGTCTTTTAACGACATCACTTTATTGACGTAAAAATCAACCTGGTGTCATCACAAATGTGAATGCTTGACCTATCTAAGCCTATTTTTATAGTAAATCATAACATCCAACTGAATTAGTTGTAGGGTCCAACACATACCTTTGCTTATGCAACTATGTTCATGACCTGATCAATATGATTCTGTTCATGAACGTTTATCACCTAAGAAACTGAAACAAAAACTGTGTGAAGTTACGCAGGGCTCAATTCTTGGTTCCTTGCTGTTTTATATTTAAATGTTATGTGACATTATGAGGAATTACTGATTAATAGGACATGTATCATGTGCAGTAAACTAAATTCCTCAGATTAATAACTCATGAAAAGTTGAACCGGAAATATCACATTAAGTTAGTTTGTAGAAATGTAACAGCCTTGTCTTTTAACACATACTACACTTGTTTATGGTAATGTTACATTTTACACCTCTGATCATCATAGAGGTTTTATGCAGCTTAAGAAGGGGGTCAGCCGTATTGCTTAACTGTTCCAAACCAACCCTTTCTCATTATTTTACATATTATTTTATTTTTTCATAAGCATGAGAAAAAATTCCCTTTCAAATGTGAATGCTTGACTTGTCCTCAATCCCCGTTCTAACAGCAAAGCTGTTTTGTTTTGGTCTTGAATTTGTCTTGGCTTTTATGGCTTATGTAAATAAATAATTATAAATAAGCTACAATGCAAATTAACGCTGAGTCACGTCATTCCACAACAAAGATACATGTGTATGACTCATCTGAATTGCTCATCTGTAAGCCTCTTTTTCGTACATTCTGTTTAAAAAACATTCCCAAATAATTTTCCTTTGATTAATATCGGAGTGTACAGCTCACACTGCCGCGAGTGACTCACACACTTAATATTGAGAAACCATTCGAAATAGCAAATGTTCTCTGGACTCAGCTCCATCTGACAAGCGTTTGAGGCTGCTGGCAGTGTGTGTCATTAAACAGAATGGCATTCTGAGGAAACCTTTTCTCTGGTGTCACAGACATTTGTCAAAGACTTTGGATGTATATGAGGGAGAGACAGAGTTTGACAGCTCTGACATTTCACTAAATCACATTGCGGGCTACGCTGCAGTTCTACCCCCTGCAGCCATTAAGGAAGTTTCCCTACTCATATATCCACTCTGCATTAAGCTGACAGTGCACACTGTCGACATGTTACCTGACCCACCTTGTCTACTGTGACAGACTTATTGTTTACCGTGTCCATGCACATTTTGAGAAACTTCTGTTGCACCAGACTGAAATTCTCTAACAAAGCCTGAAATGTCACATATGTGAAATGAGGACAGATTCAAAACTTGTTCCTCCGCTATTTAATTCTTTTTTCCCCAAGAAACCACTTAACATACTGACGAGCTACGAACGCTACATGAATAGGAAGTGTCCTTGGATTTTAGATAGGGCCATAATGAGTGTAATTAATCTTACTTCCTAATGTTGAGGTAGCCAGCCTTCTGGATAAGCGTGCGATTGACAGGCTCAGTGTCCTTATCTGGCATGTAGACAGTGTCCTCCACAGACAGAAGCTCCCTCTGAGACAGGCGCATGGCCTCCGCCTCCGCGTCCAGCTGGGCCTGGATACTAGACATGAACAAAGTTTTAATAAAGGCAGAATCCTTCTTATACGACTTTCAGAGAGTTGATTTTTTTTTTTTTGTAAAAAAAAAAAAAAAAAAAAAAACAAGCATTAAAAGACTTCCATTTACAGAGCATCTCACTAAAATGACTTCTTACACATCATACTGTATACTGTCCTGTCATACCAGAGCTATGGAACATCATGATAATTACTGTTAATGAGTTTGTACCTTTGTGTCATGTTGGACACAGAGGAGAGAAAGTTATCCATCTTCTTTGACACCAGCTCAATGCCTTTCTTGAAGAAGCTGATCTGAGAGTTCAGAGATAACAGTGGGTCATTCGAGATTTATTTTATTGCATTTTACTGAACTTTTAATGTAGCAAACATTTCTAAAAACCAATAGTAATCATTTTCTTAATAAACTAACAACCATTCATATTACAGATTAAACCGCTCTTTATTTTCACAATTAATTGTTTTGTCTGTAAAATGTTAGAAATGTTTTAATTTTCCACAACCCCACATTCAAATAGCTTGTTTTATTTGGCCCCCAGTCCAAAACCCCATGATATTAAGTTTATCAAACAGTATATGAGAAAAAAAAAAGCATCCAAATCCTCACATTTGAGAAGCTGGAACCACAGAATATTTGACGTTTTTGCTTGAAAAATTGCTAAAAAAATGAATTGCTTCAAAAGAAATAATTGCGGATTAATATTCTGTCAATGAACTTATCGACTAACTAATAACTAAATGTTGTTGTTTTTTTACCCAGTAGTTGATATTGCATGAACACACTACACAATAATAAGTGTACTTTGTAAACTTAATCTGTCCCAGTGAGAAAAAACACTTCTCTTCCGTAAACACTGAACTGATGGTGATGTCAGTTAGTATGCCAACAGCTGCTCAGTACCTGTGCCTGTGTGTACCCTAACATGGGTTCAAGCATAGCTACTCTCTTGCGATACTGCAGGGCATTGAGTGCGCAGTAATACTGCAGTGAGGCCTGGTGCTGCTTCCTTCTGGTGTAAGCCACCTCCTTCACCATGTCTGCCTTCAGCTGTCCAGACAGGAGAGGGTTAAAACATGCAAATACACACACGTGCACGTGTCCAGCGTGAACTGACTACCAAGCTCTGTACACACACACACTTGCAAATATGGTACTCTCACAACTCAGTGGCATTATCTTGTACGTTCAAGAAGACACATTCAACAGAGGCAAACAGCAGAGGAATCTTATCTTTGCAGCCATTATTGTGCAAAGTGTTGCTACAGTCTCACTACAGCAGTGAGGCCTGGCAATGTTTAATTCCATCCATTTGTATTTCAAATGCTTATAAAACACTCCCACTACATTACCAGAGCATTACTGCAGTGTGAGGCCTTTTACAGCCTTAGATCGATGCCAGAGAAGCTCCATTAGTGGAGATGAGAGAGTACTTCCCATTCACACTACCTTCTCATTCTCCTTCTTCTTGGGCAATCGGCTGTACTTGACCATAGCTGCCTCATGCTCTGCAGGAGAGGAGAGAGCGGACATGAGGATCAGATTATCACTCCAGGCTGTGATTGTTTTCTGTAACTGGTAAAAGTACTGTATGTACTTACCATCAGTGGCGATGCCGAATATTTCCTTCAGTGTGCTTATCTCTGCAAAATTCAATGTTTAGCAAACGTTGTTACAATATCCTCAAGAGATCCACATATTAAAATGGCATTATTACTTTTTAAAGTTGACGGGTTTTACAAAAAGAATCCTATATGCTATATTTTAAAGTCATTAAAGGATGAATTTCTTATGTAGCTTTTTTCTGAAATTAGTTTTTTGGTCTGCTTTCTACTCAAATAAATGAGCTCTATACTTCAATATGCAAATTAAAAATACAAATGCTTTGTAATAATAATAACATATCAGAAACATATTATGATAATGAGTTTTGAGCACGTGTGCGTGTGTGCGTGCATGTGTGTGGTCCTACCTGTGAGGTCCTTCTCTCGGAATTGGATCAAGGGGAAGACCATGCTGTCAGCCATCTGGTTGGCCAGCTCAGAGTGGAGCGAGTTCAGCTGGATGAGACAAAACAGATTATACAAAAATATCAAGTTGCTGCACAAGGACACAAAGAGAAGATGTACCCCCGCCAAACATCTTGAGGGATTACAGTTTATTTTAATATGTACAGTGACATTTGCTACCAGTTATTCCTGCAAGAAGATGGAAAGTAATTTTTTCAGTGAAATAGGTGCATAACTGCAGACAATGTCTCCCCTACATCATAGAAAGGCCATATTGTGGAACGGTGCATTTCGTGAAGAGAATAATAACGAAAGCCTTCTGTTTACTCTGATATTGGAAGCAGAACCACATATCGCACACAGAAGAAATCCCTGCCATAATTCTTTATGCTTATCAGCAAGCTACACTCCCAACAGTTTAACAAGCTGACATCCACTTTAATCTGAATTATTTCGCAAGTGCTAAAGTTCACAGGATTAGGTGCAGGGGTAGGCCTAATTCTCACTACGAAACGAGTTCTCCTCCGTACATGACGAGGTAAAGGTCAAACAAACAATCAACCTGTGTCCTCTGAGCATATGTGTGTGTGTCCTGTATGTTGTTGAGTGCTGATTGTGTAGGCTTGTGGGCCCCCATGGCTGAAAGAGACAAGCCCATCTGTTATGTTTATATACCTGAGCCTACGCACCCCCTCCTTCATGTATCCATCTATCCACCGACTGCCGCCTCCCTCCCTCCATCCATCCATCTATCCGGTGCAATAGGCATCATATCCACCTCTTAGCGTCACTATAGTGTCTAGTCTTACAGGGAGGATAAGGTCTTTTCATTGACGTCATTTTCACCGGTGTGCTACGGGAGTGCAGGTGCAATATCCTTTGTAACGTGATTAAGAAGCAACTACTGACTGTGCAGTAGTTTATCATCCCTCTCTTCTGCTGTGGCTGGGTGCGCACACACACACACACACACACACACACACACACACACACACACACACACACACATACATACATAAAACAGCAAAACTGCAAACACAGGCCTCACCTCCCCTACAGTTTTGGCGAAGCTCTGCAGCGTGGTGATTACCTCTTCATCACCTTTTCCAAGGGCAAAATTCTAGACAGAAGAAGAATAAGGGAAGAGAGACAAGTTTAAACCATGAAACTGCATAATGTGGCATTGAGCGAGCATATACTAGGGGCTAAGAAGTTAAAAATTACCCTGTTCTGCCAGGATATTTGGCACATCACTTTCATGGAACAAGTCCAGAGATGCAAATAACCCCCATGCTAAGATGCTGAGTTTTAAGCTTTGTTTAAAAAGTACCAAAAAGTGCATCCATTACAGGTCATTGCAGATTCTTTTTTCTATCCAACATCCTCTCTGCAATCCAGAGCCACACGTGTTTCTTTTTCAGCATGATTTAATGCACCCGCTGTGTTGACTTCAGCAACTATTCTATTTTGAATTTATTGTTTGCTACATAACACAAGGCCCCGTGATAGATGACCAACAGAGAAGCACCTCTACATCGAGATTCCCTCATGCGCAGAGATTTCACAAAGACACACATGCAGAGATGAGGAGTGGCAGACACATGCACTCACACAAGGAAAAAAAATCATATGAGCAGACATGGAATTGTTATAGCACATTAGCAGAGCTACTTGAATTATTTAACTCAAACTAGGGATCGGCATACATGTTGGATTAAGTTCAAGGTGAAGGGCATAATTTTGGTTTCAACAGTAGATGATAATTATATTTCACTTGAATAAAATTACATATTAATGGTTATATAACAAAAAGCAGAAATGCTTTAAAGCTCTGTGTTGTAATGTACTCACCCTACCTAAAATCTATTAGTTTTTGATAATGCTAAAAAAAAGTTTTTTTTATCCACTGCAGTGTGCTGTGTTTAACTGTCTTGTCTTGACTGGTGTTTAATGCTAGCATATTTCTGTAGGAGAACACTGTATAAAATATAAATATTGCCTAAAACAAAACTGGAAACACCTTTTTTCATCCCTGAGTAGTGTCTGCAGCTATTCCATTCAGGTTGTGTAAACAATATCCTTACTAATCAAGCAGGGCAGCCTGTTTAAAGCCCGAGAGGCCAACTCAGGGCCAAAGAAGGCCAGAAAACACCTCACACACCACTTGTTGCTGCTTGTTAAGCTCACTGCTTTGAGCAAATGCTAATAACTGAATGTGATTATGATAAGCATATCAGTCATTTTTTGTCAATTATTATCTTCCCTTATCTGAGCAACAGTGACTGGACAGCTCAGAGGGACTGCAGTGAGACAGTTAAACTGAAACAAGAAACGTGGGGAAGGCAAAAATAGGATTTTGATTGGAAATTACACCCTTGATCATGGTACCAATACTTACTTTCTTCTCATAATCCAGAAGTTGCTGCGAGAGCTGCTCTGTGGCCAATCCCATCTCACTCTGTAAGGGGAACAGATTGAGGGGAAAATGCAAAATTATCAGGCTGGATCATGAGGGATTTGTCCCTAGCTTCTACGTTTGCCATTCTCGTTTCAGGCCTTGTGAATCACGAAGGGATAATAGGAAGTGAAGGGACAACAGGTGAATCAGGGTTCAAATCAAAATTCCTTTGAGAAAAAAAAAACAAAACAAAAGGTGATGGGTCATATAAATGCCAGCTCCACCAGTGAACTGTCATTGCTTCAGAAAAGGTCTGAAGTTACATAAATTGTGCATGTTTTCAAAAAAAGATAAGTAGCATTTATTGTGACTGCAACATTTGAAAGTGTTGCTCAATGAGACGCTATGTACAGAAACATCTACACCCGACACTACTTACCGCACATCACACTCACTGAATACATTATACAGAAATTTGTCTGATTTGTCAAAAAAAAAGGCATCAATTAAGTCAGAAAACTGGTTCAAAATGTTTCTCCTCTTACTAGCTGGATCTTTGAACTAATATTATGTTGTTACACACACGCTCGTCCCAAAGTCCATGCTCAAAGGTTCTCCAGCTGTTTCTCCAAGAACCCTCAGTACATAATGTTTCATTCACCAGTTTGCCTGTGTGAGGTTGCAAAAAAACAGCATATAATATCCTAGTTTGGCATCTGTCCAGTTGAAAAATTCCAGAGAGACTGCACCACCATTTTTGGTCCAGTGCAAATCAGAACAATACGCTGCTGTAGTTCAATAATGCAAATTTTCAACCTGAAATCAACTTCAGTCAGGCAAATAATATGGTTCCTGTTCAAAGTCACACCCAGCTAACAGAATAAAATGTGTGTGTGAGTGTGTTTGTGTTTTGTTTAGTACCTGAGCTCCAAACACCCGTTGCATCGATTGTAGTAGCTTGTTGGTGTAGTCTGTAAGCATCCCAGCATCTTCCTCAAACACACTGAGCAGGGAGCGAGTCTGCGGGAAAAAAACATTTGATGAATAAGATTAAGATATGTTCACAGGAGACTGTGAATGCAGCAGAAAAAAAATACTAAAAATGTCAAACATTCTCTGGTTCCAGTTTTCTCAAATGTTAGGATATGCTGGGTGTTTTGTTTTTTTTTGTCATGTATTTTATTAAACTAAATATCTTTGGGATATCAATCTTAAAACATAATCTCAGGCTGTGGGAAATTACAGAAGGCATTTTTCTCTGTACTCTGACATTTAACTGATCAATCCATTGATCTAATAATCAGCAATATAATCTGCAGACTAATAAAAAATGAAAATACTCTTCAGTTACAGCCCATGATAGTTCAGGTGGAGTTGAGTATGCTTTGTTGTGACAAATGTTGCTATTACTCATCTGTTGGACAACAGTAGTAAAACACCACACCCACATGGTACCGAAGTTAAAAACAAACAAAAACAATGTGAGCCAGGTTTGGCAGAAACCTGTAACTTATAAAAGGGAATTATTAATAAGAGCATTGCCGGAGGTTAAGACACAGACACAGAAATTAGGGTAGCTGCAGTACTGAGGTGGAGCTTTGAAGTGATACTCTAGGCATAATGATTTTACTGCAGGCAGGCTATGCAAAGCAAGGAAATCCTGTTTGGGTGAAGGTGTCTTTTACCATAAACAGGTGCAGCTAGGCAGGGCAGGTACAGCACAGAGGGACACACCCACTGGATCGGGTCTGTTCACAGTTCGCTCCAGCTGACTTTCACCACAGAGTGACTGACAGTCATTTCACACTGACAGGAAATCATCTGGAATATTGAGAAACTTTTCTCCCTTTACATTTTACTGCTGGACAGCACCAGGCCTATTTCCTATTAAAAATTCAAATAACTTAAGTACATGTCAAGAAAGAAAATAGTCTCCAGCATGGGCTGCACTTAAGCAGAACAATCAAGGAGGTCAGCCATGTTTAGGGAAAGAGTGATGCAACAGACAACAGAAAATACAGGCTACATTAGATGTGCATAATCGCAAAAGGCTGTCCTGTATTTCATTGTACCCTCACAGATATCCATGCATGACGCCTAATGAACAACTTTAATACTGCAATTTAGACCTGTAAGCATCAAACAGCATTTGGTGCTCACTACTGTCAGCCACCACTGCCCTGTTGCAGGCTATTGACTAATTCCAGGGGAGTCTGATAATGGAAACCCCTCCCACATCATGTGAATCAGGCCCAGTTTGACTCTGGTCTCAAAATCTGGAAAATAACACTGGGAAATATTTTGAAAAAGGTTGCAGGTGTGTCCTGTTTGAGCTATGTGGTCGTGACATCTTCCATACTGTTGTATGAGTTTGGATGTATACCAGAATATGTGCTCTGACAGAGCGAGGAAAGCCCTGTGACAAGCGGTAGTTGTGTAAATACAACACAGACACCAACACACCGATAATTATGACATGGTGTATAAACTCGAACATTTTTTTACCACAGGGGAGCGCAGCCACTCCTGAAAGAGGATTAGATTCCCACAACAATGTGTCAATTGAGAGCTGTCATCGACCAGTGGAAACAGACTACAACGGGAACAGGATACTGCCTGGGTTAGTAAGCTAACTTCAGCTCTCGTAAACGTCTTTCGTGTGACAGCTGGGTCTGTAAACGTGATATAACCCTCACAGGCCTACCTGAGGACTGTCCTGCAAAGCGTCCTCCAGGAGCAGTTTGTGATGTACGGCCGGCATCTTGTTAGCGTTGGAGGAGAAGGGAATGGGGGCTTGAATTATTTAGAGCGTGGACTCGGTTTCCCAGAGCTCTCTGCGCCAGAAGGACGAACACGTAGAAGTTGGAGGCGGGCCCAGTCTGACCTCATCCTAAATTGTTATGGGACAACTTGTGACCGGTAAAATAGCTGCGGCTTAACTCTAAACTAGATATTTGTATTATATTATATTTTGTTTGTTTCTGTTGTGGAGATTTGATTTGTTTTATAGCGAGTGGACGGACAGTTTAAAAGGTAGACTACGTCTACCGTTGTACCATTTTAGTATCAACAGTGACCCCATGTGGCCATAAAAAGAAGTACACCGTTTAATTTAAAAATTAGATTAAAAAATGTGACATCTACCTTTTGTTCTAGTTTGACCAAAGGTTGAATAGAGTGAGTCTTCTAATCTATTCCAACAGTGGTGGAAGAAGGAAATGGCAATACCACAATGTCAAACTACTCAATTGCAGTAGTAATTGCAAGTTCTGCATTCAAAACGTTACTTATAAAAGTACAGAAATATAATTTAATAAAATATTCTCAAAGAATCAAAAGTGAAATGACTCCTTGTGGAGACTAATTAGCCCCTTCCATTGACATATTTTTTTCATTATTAGAATTTACTTAGTACCATCCAACTACCATCAATTACTTTTTTCAACATATCAGTTCATTGTTTAATCTATTAAATGACAGGAAAAAAAGGTCATCTCATCCGAATTTTCAAGAGCCAAGGCTGACATCTTCAAAACTACTTGTTTTGTAGTTTCAGTCCAACATGAATGGTGTATTAATTTTTGTCAATCAATTAATCGACTTGATTGTTTCAGCACTACATGGGTCTATTTTGACTACCTCTGGGTTCCACTGTAGATGGGATAATTAAAGCAATATTCTGATCTGGGAATTATTTGTAGCAAAATGAATGTACAGTATTAAACCATATGCCAATTAAAATCACATCTACTTTATAAAAACTCCTGCTCTCATCTTGTTTTGTCTTGGTCATAATACGCAGCGCATGAGATGTTCTGAGTATTGTTGGAGGTACTTGCTCTCTAATTACTTCACCCTTCTAGCAGATGCTGCACACATTCGGAAAAAAATTCCTTCTGAGACTGATCCCAGTTTGGATGATAAAGTTAATAGTCAGCCAAATGTCAAATACTCTGACTGACCACATACTCAAATGCCATGCTTTCTTTTTTATTTTCATGTAATTTGATCTAATTTACACCCACCGTTAAACTGTATGCCCTGAACCCATGGTACCTCAAATGTTGTCTAGAATGAAACAAAACAAAATATTGGCCAGAAAAACAGAATTATCAAGCATAGGCATTAATTCACATAATTCCAGAGTATAAGATGGCATGTCCTCTTGTGTTATCATTAATTTACAGTCTGTTGAAGAATGCGTACGGTCAACTGCTTCTTCAAATTAAAATGTTTGCCTAAACTGTCTCAATGATTTGGCGGTTTAGTCTTGATTTGAGTGTACGCTCCATCTAGAAAAGAACACAGATTTAACTCTTTGTTTCATTTAGACTGATCCAGTTTACTATATGTATAATAGTAAGGTCATACTAATATTGATGGGTTTGGTGTAAAGGCTATGGTAAAATAGTCTGTTGACATCAGATTACTGTCTTCTTCATCTTCATAAATTGATTAAAAATGGTGGTTGTATTTTCAAAACAGTATGCTCCAGGGTTAATTTTCCATTGAAAAGAGCAACATTTTTGAGGGATGAAAATGATACAGTGGGTGTCCTAGGAATTAAAAACAACGATTAGAGTGGTTTATTTTTTCACTTGTATCTTTAGCCAGTATTAGAGCAATTGATATTGCCACATATACTGTGCTACAGAAAAGCACTATTAACCTATTCTCAGCTATTTGTTGGGTAAAGCCTAATCTCTAATGTGAAGTTTATACATCATCTCATTGTGTTTACTTCTATTAAAGGTTAAAGTGCAAGTGATTTGCAGCTTACAAACAGAGAGGTAAGAAGTAATAAAAAAAATCTCCATTTAACAAGTGTAAAATAAACTGAATTATATTAGTTCATCTGTTTCCAATGCAACATGATCTGAGAACAGCAATCACACCATGTTGTTACCAAGCTTTCTAATTACAGGATAATGTCACGTAAAGAAATCCTCAAAAGTGGAAGAAACACAAAATGTAAAACTGTAATAGTCTCTCTCGCTCTCTCGCTCTCTTTTATTTGATCCAAGACATTTTAGGTCTCAGTAATAGTCTAATTGACTTGTTAAGATGGTCATGTCTTGTTGTGTAGTGTCTTGATAATAGGCAAGTCATGACAAGCAGTGCTTCCTCATCATGGAACACATTCCTTCCTCCCCAGTGGACTTGTGTTTTTTAATTGGTTAAGTTGTGGCCCTAAACCAGACAAGACATTTCAGTCTACTGACTTTGATAATTAATTGTGTTTGCTGGCTTGCCTAGGTTTGGCCTATAAAAAGAGATGCTTTATGTCAGTGGAACCAACCTGGATTAAACAAAGCAGTGATTCAGCTGACCAAGGAAACACTCTCAGGAGAAAGTAGGGTAGAGCTGTAGCTTCTGGAGAGCAAAGGCTTGGGACTGGGTCAGTACATTCAATTACTGTTTCTTACGAGTCAATTATTATTCACGTTCCATTTATCCTTAAAATGTTTGTTTAAACAAAACATGTATCAGACTATACATAAAGACTAAGAGTCACACTACAGCCACCTTAGCCTCTTTGTGAGGCTTTAACATGCTAACCGGTTCACAATTCCAGTGCTAACATGCTAATATTTAGAAGGTGA